CCCTCCCAGTCTTTCTTGCTCACAATCTCTCAATTGTATTCCCTTTGATCTCTCGCTCTCATATCTTGGTCTCCATAACTTGGTTTCTCACTTGTTTATCACTCTTCCATTCCACCCAGTATTTGGTTACCTGCTTCACCTTCCCAGATATTCTCAGCCTTTAGAAGGTCATTCTTTACAATGCTTTCCAGGTTATTTTTGACCTTCCGCACCTCCCTTTCCCATTTGACTGTCATTTCAATGCTTGTTGGCTCACTTGGCAGCATGTTTGCTTCAGAGTCAGAAATTTGTGAATTCAAGCCCTGCATTAGGACTTTTGAGTTTGAGGTCTAGGCTAAAACCAGTCAAAGGTGCCATCCTTTGGATGAAATGTTAAGTCTTATATGCCTGTTCATGTGGACATTAAAGAACTAATAACTTATTTCAAAAGAGAAGGAATTTCCTCTGGTGTCACAGAATATGCGGTCAATTCATTTTACAGTATGTTCTGTGAAGTGCTTTGAGACGTCTCGAAGATGCTATATCAAATGCAAGGATTATATTATTATTTATCTAACCTTTTGAAAATCGCTGGTTAAGAACAAAGGTGATCTTTAAATCTTTTCATTGCTTTCTTTATGATTTTGCAGAATGTTTGATGTTTGATTTTTTGTTTCTATATCCAGCTTGTTCTTCAGCCATTTTCTTGTCTCCAGCAATGCTTTTCAATATAATGATTCTAAGATCCTTTCCTGGAACTAATAAGGGTTCCCCAGGCCAATAGGTAAGTGTGAAATATCTTTAATTTTTGCTTTTATGAGATATCCATAAGAATTTTTTTCTTGCAACTATATCATATGTGATAGGTGCATTATCATTTTTTGCATTATATCTCCACTGTTTTTGTTTATTTTCGATTGTTATTTTGGCAGTCCTAATGCTTTCGATTCACAAACTTGTTTATGAGTTTGAGTTGTTGACTTCTTCCATCTTAACTGGTCCCAAAATTTGTCTCACATTCTGTTTATTCTTCTTTCTGCATTATTCAGGTTTCTTTGTGATTTTTGTCTTCTTGGAAGTGTTTGATCTTGTAAACTTAATGTCAACCTGGCTCAGTTGATGGCACTCTTGCCTCTAAATCAGAAGATTGTAGGTTTAAAGATCCACAGTGGGATTCTGAGCTGATAAAGTCTAGGGCTTACACTCCAATGCACTGCTCGGAGCATGCTGCAATGTTGGAGGTACCGTCCTTCAGATGAGGTATTAAACCAAGGTCCTGTCCAGATGGATGTAAAGTTTGAAAAGCGATGTGTCCTGATCAAAACCCACAAATAAAATTTGTCACTCAGTTCATGGCTGATTGTGGAATATTGTGGGACTCTTTTTAATCTATATAAATGACCTGGACTTGGCTATAGGGAGTACAATTTCCAAGTTTGCAAATGATACAAAGCTAGGAAAAGTAGTAAACCGTGAGGAGATTAGTAACAGACTGCAAAATGACATAGACAGAATGGTGAAATGTGAGGCACATGGCAACAAAATTACGTTTGCAGAGTGCCTTTTAGAATATCCCAAGGCGATGGACAGGCAGAGTTACAGACCCAAGCTGGGGGTCGGGGTCAGGGAAGGTGGAGGGCGGTGGGAAGCAGGGAGATCGAAAGCACGGTTGAAGAGGAGGGTCTTGAGATGGGTCTTGAAGATGGCGAGGGAGGGAATGAGGCGGTGGGACTGCGGGATGGCGTATCCAGCGAGTGGGAGCAGAGCAGCAGAAGCCCCTTATGCCAGTATTCAGGCGAGCGAGGCCAGGGACGTGAAGCAGCCCGGAGTTCGCAGAGCGGAGGGAGTGAACAGGATGGTAGGGGGTTAGAAGGTTGCAGAGGGAGGGGGGAGCAAGACCATGGAGGGCTTTGAAGGTGAGGACCAGGATCTTGAATTGTATCCTCTGTGTGATAGGAAGCCAGTGGAGTTGGGCGAGGATGGGGGTGATAGGGTCAGGGAGTCATGGCAGATGAAGTTTAATGTGGAGAAATGCAAAGTGATGCATTTTGGAAGGAAGAATGAGGAGAGGCAATATAAGCTGATGGTACAATCCTAAAGGGGGTGAAGGAACAGAGAGACCTGGGGGTCATATAAGTAAATCTTTGAAGGTGGCAGGACAGGTAGATAACACTGTTAAAAAAGCATACAGGATACTAGGCTTTATAAATAGGGGCATAGAATACAAAAGTCAGGAGGTTATTATGAACCTTTATAAAACTCAGCTAAAGTTTTGTTCTGTGTTCAGTTCTGGGCACCACACTTTAGTAAGGCCTTGGAGAGAGAGCAAAAAAGATTTACCAAGATGGTACCAGGGATGAGGGACTTCAGTTATGAGGAGAGGCTAGAGAAGCTCGGATTATTCTCCTTGGAGCAGAGAAGGTTAAGGGGAAATTTAATTGAAGTGTTCAAAAATGATAAGGGGATTCGATAGGGTGAACAGGGAGAAACTGCTTCCACTGGCGTGTGAGTCGGTAACCAGAGGACACAGATTTAAAATAGTTGGCAAAAGAAGCAGTGGGGAGATGAGAAGAATTTTTTTCACACAACGAATTGTTTGGATCTGGAATGAATTGCCTGAAAGAGTGTGAAAGACGATTCAATAACAACTTTCAAGAGAGAAGTAGATAGATATTTGGGGAGGACAAATTTACAGGGCTATGGGGAGAGAGTGGGGCAGTGGGATTAATTTTGGACAGCTCTTTCAAAGAGCTGGCATGGACACGAAGGGCCGGATAACCTACTTCTGTGCTGTATAATTCTATGATTCTATGATTGTTGTGCCAAATTGACTGCCGCATTTGCCTATGAAAAACCTTCATGCACTTTGCAGAGTCTCCTGTGAAGTGCTTTGAAACATCCTCCTAACGTGAGACGTGTTACATTAAGTGTAAGGATGGTTATTATTATTGACAATTTGCCCACAAGTAAAATCCCACAAGCAGCCATGAAGTTAATGATCAATTAAAAGAGTACAACAACAAGATTACATTTGTATAGCGCCTTTCACGTCGGGAGGACGTCCCAAGGCACTGGACAGAGAACAGCATTTCAGATCCGAGCTGGGGTCAGGGGGGGTGAAGGGAGGGGAAGGGGGGTGACCAATGGCATGGTCGAAGAGGAGGGTCTTGAGTCGGGACATGAAGGAGGCTAAGGAGGGGGCGAGGCGGAGTGACTGGGGGGTGGAATTCCAGAGGTTGGGGGGTGAAGGCTCTCCCGCCAATGGTGAGGTGGGTGGGTCGGGGGACGTGGAGCAGGCCAGAGCTGGCTGAGCGGAGGGAGCTGGCGGGTTGGTAGGGAGTTAGGAGGTCGCAGAGGTAGGGTGGGGTGAGGCCACGGAGGGCTTTGTAGGTGAGGACCAGGATCTTGAACTGGATCCTCTGAAGGATAAGGAGCCAATGGAGTCGGGCGAGAGTGGGGGAGATGGGGTCATGGAGTTTGGTGCGGGAGAGGACATGGGCTGCAGAGTTCTGGATTATCTGCAGCCGGTGGAGGGAGGAGTTGGGAAGGCCGACAAGCAGAGCGTTTGCATAGTCGAGCCTGGAATAGCATGAAAGGAGTAAAAAGCTTTAAAATATAGGGGGAAGCGGAGGAAAATCCCCTTCCTTATAGAAATCATTTAGGCAATAAATTACAGCTGGTTAGGCATTGCAAAGCAGCACGAAAAATAGCTGGTGAATTTATGACAAAAAGGATTACACAAAATGATATGTTAATTAAATATAAATGTGGAAGATTAATCCATAATAGAGGCAAAGCGCCAGGAAATCACAAGGAATCATTATGGGCAGGGCCTCTGCTGCCCGAGGGTGTCTGAGAGCCACAGATGGCTGTGAGGAGCTGAGCTGCTTTCACCACTCCACACTGTGCAGCGGCTTCAGTCTCGGGTGTCCCGGCACAGTGCAGGGTGTTATTTATGGAAGCGAACAGTCAGGAACCTCTCAACATTTCGCTCATTTGTTTTGAGAGAAAAAAAGCAAAATGAAGTGAAGCGGAGATCCTTAACCCCCCCCCCCCCCGGGCTATCACACTGCATCACACTGTGCAGTTTGTTGTTGTGTGTCAGTGTGTGTGTGTGTGTGTGTGTCAGTGTGTGTGTGTCTGTGTGTCAGTGTGTGTGTGTGTGTGTGTCAGTGTGTGTGTGTCTGTGTGTCAGTGTGTGTGTGTGTCAGTGTGTGTGTGTGTGTGTCAGTGTGTGTGTGTCAGTGTGTGTGTGTGTCAATGTGTGTGTGTGTGTGTGTGTCAGTGTGTGTGTGTCAGTGTGTGTGTGTGTGTGTGTCAGTGTGTGTGTCTGTGTCAGTGTGTGTGTGTCAGTGTGTGTGTCAGTGTGTGTGTGTCAGTGTGTGTGTCAGTGTGTGTGTGTGTCAGTGTGTGTGTGTGTCAGTGTGTGTGTGTCAATGTGTGTGTGTGTGTCAGTGTGTGTGTGTGTGTCAGTGTGTGTGTCAGTGTGTGTCAGTGTGTGTGTGTCAGTGTGTGTGTGTGTGTGTCAGTGTGTGTGTGTCAGTGTGTGTGTGTCAGTGTGTGTGTCAGTGTGTCAGTCAGTGTGTGTGTGTGTGTGTGTCAGTGTGTGTGTCAGTATGTGTCAGTGTGTCAGTGTGTGTGTGTGTGTCAGTGTGTGTGTCAGTATGTGTCAGTGTGTCAGTGTGTGTGTGTGTGTGTGTGTCAGTGTGTGTGTGTGTGTCAGTGTGTGTCAGTGTGTGTGTCAGTATGTGTCAGTGTGTCAGTGTGTGTGTGTGTGTGTCAGTGTGTGTGTGTGTCAGTGTGTCAGTCAGTGTGTGTGTGTGTGTGTCAGTGTGTGTGTCAGTATGTGTCAGTGTGTCAGTGTGTGTGTTTGTGTGTCTCAGTGTGTGTGTGTGAGTGTCAGTGTGTGTGTGTGTCAGTGTGTGTGTGTGTGTCAGTGTGTGTGTCAGTATGTGTCAGTGTGTAAGTGTGTGTGTGTGTGTCTCAGTGTGTGTGTCAGTATGTGTCAGTGTGTAAGTGTGTGTGTGTGTGTGTGTCAGTGTGTGTGTGTGTGAGCAGCAGCTGCAGTAAACGTTTCCGAGGTTGTGGAAGGGATGACCCACAGTGTAGAGCCGCAGTTAAAGGAAGGAAGTGACAGGTCGCGCTGTGTGAGAGGATGGAAAGTCAGTAGCTGAGCCGCTGTAACTCGCCCCCACACTATGGCTGACTTTAAGCGGTCAGAAGAACACATTAATAAACTTATAGTTCGTCTCCAAAACGTGCAAGTGGACAAATCCGTGGACACTTTGCTTCAGATCCTGGAGGACCTGCTTCAACACACTTCTGCTGAAAATGGCAAGTGAAGCTTCCCTGTCCAGTTCTGCTATTGGTTTGTCACTATCAAAAATAGGATTTCTAACTTTGTTTCTTCTAAAACAGCCTCAAGTTTGTTTCAAAATAAAAATGTCTACATCAATGTGCTGGTGGTTTTGGAGTCCTACATCAATATTACCAGTATTCAGCAGGTAGGCCTGTGATTTTTCATACTGACCAATTTTTCTGGTTTGTTTAACCATTACGCAAAGGTGTGTGAGGGTTAATAATGTTCATGTGCAATGTTCATGTTTCTAACCTGTTACACAGTAAGTTGCATTATAAGGTTCCAGAGTGAGACTGAGTTTTTAAGAGGTTCAATACTATTTTACGAAGTGAAATTCTTGGGGGAAAAAAGTCATCATGAAAAAGTGTTTGACAAATGTGTTTTTCTCCTTAGAAATGCACAACCTTATTTTGGGAAATATATTGAAGTACATGAAGAAAGGCTGTTTAAGATGTCTGCCTGCCTCGGTTGAAAGCAAGAACAACAATTTGGATTTATCCAATGCCCTTTTGTGTTGGGAGGACATCCCAAGGCGCTGGGACAGTTGAGAGTTTGCACCCAAGCTGGTTTGCTTCCCTAGTCAAGTTCTACTAGAAGTAAATGCAACATATGTCTCACAGCAATCTATATTGAGCACAATGGAAATCACCTCAGTAAGATCAATTTACAGTTAAAGCAATGTGGGGTGCTCCTCCCCCGCATTGCTTTAATCAAAATTTTCGATCTTAATTGTAATTTTTGATTGAATTTGATCTTAGCAAAGTGATTTCCTTAGTGCTCACTATAGATCACATTCATAACTATTGACTGTCCTGAAACCTGAAAATGTCAGGTATTATTGAGTCACACTTTACTTCAGCATCGTCTTGGAGTTGGGTGGTGGAGCACGACTGATGTAAGCATGTTGCTTAGCAGCTTTCTAATGTGGCAGGCTTTCTCGAATGAAAGATGAAAATTGTGCTCTACCTTTGTTTGAGTAGGATTGACGAGTATAATTCAACAAGTAGAAATACAGGGCAGTCCCATCAAACCGAGCCCCGGTTGAGGTAAGTCAACCATGGACCTATGCTATACTAGATGCCAGTGACCACATCCTGTATATTGTGTGCAGGAAACATTACTGGTATCACATTGTGTGCCCCACTTTATCGGGCACACTTTTGATCATCTTTGTCTCCACCCCAGTTTGGGCTGTGATGCAGCTGAGTGATACGCTTTGATACGACTTCCCAATGTGAAAGGCACTATTCAGAGTTATTGTTTTGTTTCCAGGGTTTCTCTTTCGAGCTCTATTTTTGTTTCTATTAATTGGGCAATGTTTCCGTCCAGATCAACGTTTCATTTTCATGTGCTTTGATATTAAAAAAAATTGTTAAACAAAAACGCTTATGTTTGTTACACTGATACAATCAGTTTTTTGGGCTGTACAGAAGCTCTTGTTGCTAAGTTTTATATTTTTGAATTGTCTTGCATCTGCTGTGCACAGTATTCAGAGGAAATTATAAGTTTGAAATTTTTATTGTCTGAAACAATGTAGATAAAGACCTTTTCGTGTTGCTGAAATGATATGAAGAGATAATGTCTTCATCTGATGTGATGTTGTTTTGGACTTTAAATAGGCAGGCTGGTCTTTACTCTATAAGCTGATTGAGCTCTGTCCAAGTATACTTAACAAACTGGCTGCTCCCTGGGACGTGGGAAAGGATTGGGATGTACTTGGAGTCCATAAGTAAGTATTTATGTGACAGAATCACAAAGTACCATTCATAGAATCATAGAATTATACAACACAGAAGGAGGCCATTCGGCCCATCATGTCTGTGCCGGTTCTTTGAAAAGAGCTTCCAAATCAATTCCACTCCCCCGCGCTCTCCCCATCGCCCTACAATCTCGTCCTCCACAAATAATTATCTATTTCTCTCTTAAAAGTGATTATCGAATCGGCTTCCACCACCCTTTCAGGCAATGAATTCCAGATCCAAACAACTTGCTGTGTGAAAAAAAATTCTCACCTCTCCTCTGTTTGCTTTAACAACTATTTTAAATCGGTGCCCTCAGGCTACCGACCCACCCGCCAGTGGAAATAGTTTCTCCTCGTTCACCCTATAGAATCCCTTCATAATTTTGAAAACTTCTTTTAAGTCTCCCCTTAACCTTTTCTGCTCCATGGAGAATAATCTGAGCTTCTCTAGCTTCTCCTGATAACTGAAGTCCCTCATTCCTGGTACCATCCTGGTAAATCTCCTTTGTTCCCTCTCCAATGCCTTGACATCCTTCCTAAAGTGTGGTGCCCAGAACTGAACACACTACTCTAGCTGAGGCCTAACCAATGTTTTGTAAAGGTTCATCATAACTTCCTGACTTTTGTATTTTATGCCCCTATTTATCAAACTTAGTATCCCATATGCTTTTTTTTAACAGCTTTATCTACCTTTCCTGCCACCTTCAAGGATTTACTTATATTGATGTAATAAAAGAAAATATTGGCATAACTGTTATAATTGAATTGATGCCATTAACATGAGAATATTAGTATTTTTTGCCACATTTATTCTGTAAGTAACCAAAAAATTATGTTATTCCAATTAATCATGCTTCAGATTTAGAAGGTATTCTGTTTTTTTTTGGTCAGCTGAGTGTCTGACAGCTAGAGAAACCCATCACCATGCTTAAGAGTATCCAAACCAAGCTGAGATTTCCATGCATCCCACCTATACATGGAAAACATAGAGATACATTGGAAGGATGCACCCCTCTCTCCCTGGAGGAACGCATCCTACTTACCTAATTCTGGAAAGTATTAGGCACAGGTTGGCAAGAGCCAATGCTTGAGGACCCCACATGTGCATTGGGGTACTGCTGGAGTCTCACCAGCTAAACCCGCATAGCTTGCTATTGATATTGCTGTTTGGCAAGCTTTCCCACTGCTTGTCCAGCTAGGACCACCTTACCCATTAGGGTTTTGGGTTGTAGGGTTAACGGAGCCGAGTGGGATTCCCTGCTCCCAATGATTGGTCTGCCCTTCTAGGCCCTGCCGATGAGCCAGGCTGGCTGTGCTGTCATCAGCAGTGCCCTGGGATACTGGGGACTCACTTGGCTCAGGAACCAGCCTGAAACATTTGAAACACTGTTGAATGCAACAATTGAACCATTATAGGCTATAAAATGTTGCTAGAGTATGTTAGTGCTGCTGTCTGTATCAAACCGAAACTCTATGCCCTCTATGTGCACAAGTTTTAGGCTTGGAAGGACTGGACATTCCTATTGATTTAGTCAATTATCGGTCATTTCCATTCCTCCCAGCATGTATTTCAGCTGCTTTGAAACAGGAGCAAAGCAATATCTCCATAGAAAGATTGACATTTACTCAGAAATCCATTCAGTTCCATTACTCTGCGGTTGACTGTACTACCATCAAATATCTCCTGCTTATGCTCCTTGGGAAGACCCTTCATTTTTTTTAACAACTCCAATGAAACAAATGTGAAGTCCTGTAGCAAAGTGCTTGTGCACTCGCCTTGCAAACGAAGGTTGAATTCCTGGGCAGGGCAAAAAAGTTTCCCTTTTCCACACCTCTCTGTTTACCCAGCAGTAAGTATGAACTGATTATAGCTGATTGGCGGATTGCTTTCTGGGGTAATAATCCCCCCACCCATCAAAAAAATGTGGTCACTCAATTCACAAGTCTGTGGGACACTGCTGTGTGCAATTGGCTGCCGTGATTCACCCACAATATATACAGTAAATTCACTTTACAATATATTATGTGGATTGATTTGAGATGTCTCAACAATGTTATAAAGCACTATATCAAATGCAAGGATTATCATTATCATTATTAAAATCTGTCCTACAAATTAATGAAAACGGCTATTGTCAGGATTTTTTCAATACATATTAAAAAAAGAATATTAATTATGTCAAGTCAGTTATTGCCTGCCTCTCTCTCTAACCTTTTGCTCGAATTTACATGTTTAATTAATTCTTTCACTATATTTGGAATTGGCACGTATGATATAAATCAGCAAGGATGAGAAAGACTGCAACCGGTCCAGCCATCAACAAAAAAAATTGCTGTTTGTGGGGCCCGGTGTCTTTAAGGAAACCCGACACAGGGAAGATCTAGATTCAGATCCCTCAATACCCAAAGACACCCGAGAAAAAAAAAGTCACATCAATGAACCCCCAAAGTAAATCATGTCCCCTTGCAATAATGCTAATCACACATCAATAATAATAATTATTGAGATAATTATCCCTCCAAGATAAATAAATAAATAATAATAATCCAATCCATGACTGTTTGTGGGACACTGCTGTGTGCAATTGGCTGCTGCGTTTCGCCCACAAATACACAGTCAATTCACTTTACAGTATTCTCTGTGAAGCCCAATCATGTCATTGAGACTTTTTGGGAACATTTTTTTTGGAACATCTCCTTTTGTAGTTTTTCTTTTGACTGGAAGTTTTGTTCTTATGTTAACGATCATCTGTTTCTAGTTTTTTCCTGAATTTCTAGCCTTGACCTAAACTATTTTGGTCGATCTTTCTTACCTGCTTGTACACATTGTTCTTCATGGAGTATATATTTTAAATAAAACTCTCTTCTAGTCTTGTAGGCCTGAGTAAGACATTGGCGAGACTGGCTTACTTCTTTCTGATTTCCTGGTAGCACATAAATGTCAAGAAGTGGCCCTGATCTATGTTGAAGTTTCCGTCTGAAATTTTGCGCAATTTCTCTTTCTTTGAATATCTGTGTTTCTTTTTTTCAAAAAATCTTAATACCAACTAAAACAGTTTTGATATTGAAATTGCATTTTGATTTTTTTGTGCTCTCTTGTTTGTATTTTAGGCAGATCCTGAATTTGTTGTTTGTTCATAGTACTCATCCTGCTTTACAGGCACTTGGCATTAAGGTGCTAACACTCCTTGTTCATTCAGGTATAGTAATTACAATGAAATCAAAATTATTATTCTGAGTTTCTAGTTTAACATTGTTACCACTCTCCTTTTTCAATAGATATGTTTATGGAATCCTTTAATTGAAAATATAATTCTACCTTAATTTTCTTCAAATTAGTTTTAAAACTTAAATCTGTTTGTCAACTTCAGATTATCAATTCATGAACTTGTGGTGAGGGCAATTATTATTCTGTCTAACAGGGCATCACCCTGAACAATACATGGAGTAATTTGTCTGTCTCTCAATAATGCCCGAAAAAAACAAGCTATCCATACCAACTCCACATTGTTATTAAAATACACAGTGATATAGAGCATGAGGATTATCTTGGGGTTTGGTAAACACTGAAAGTCACTTTGTGATATATGATATATATTCTGCAGCAAAATGTCAAAAACTAACACTTTGATCATCAGACACTATTGTTTTTTAAGTAACATTAGCATTTGTCACCTTTTTAATGAATCACCCTTATGCTATACAATATACTATAGATAGTTAATGGTGTAATCTATTGGGGGTGGGGGAAAGGCAAATGATGTCCCTGTATTGTTTGAACATATGCTTGGTGTGGTTCATGAAATTCATCTGAAATCCCTGAATAATTTGTCTTATTACATATTTTGAACAATCATTTTCACGAATGTAATATTTACCATGTTCTGTGTCTTAGAATGAATTTCTATCCATCTGAGAAAGCTTGAGAGAGGATATCCTTTAGTTGTTGGTTCATTGACCTTGGTGATATCTGGTTGTTATGGAAACATCCCATTGTAAGAGCTCTCAAAGCCAAGGTTGATCTATGTATATATATATTATGATGATGTATTGACCAACTACTGCAGAATGCCCTTCCCATTTCTCATTTTCATTTTTTGTAAAAATACCTGTTATTTACACTCATCTTTCGCCTACAAAATATAAAGTCAGTTCACTTTTCAGTATATTCTGTGAATTGCTTTGAGACGACTCAGAGACGTGATAAGGTGCTATATCATATGCAAGGATCATTATTATTATCTTTGTGAATTGTTTGTCTCATGAAAGTCTTGGCCAATTCTACGTACTCCTCATGCACCACAGGGACTACTGATTGTTTTAAAAATATTAGAGGTATTTAATATTTGGCTACAATTTACTTTTCAGTATTTTGTTTGCTTCTGGTTGATATAAATCTAGTATTTTAATTGCTGACTGTAGAGACATTACTAGTTCTGAAATCTCATTGCAGATTCAATTTCAATGTTGCTGCGAGATGAGGATACGGATATTTTTACTTTGGTTGTTGAGGCCATGCGGACCTTTGCTACTGATTCAAGCATTCAGATGCAAGGAAGTCAAGTGTTGTGTGCACTTTTAGAAAAAGGTAATTTAGCAGAGAAAACAATTCTGAATGCATTTGGTAAGATTTGTTTTTGGGAGCAAAACCTAAAGCAAAAAGATGTGGATAGTGTACATGGAGATTGTTTTTAAAAGAAGCACCCTGTTGAAAAACAAATTGAACTTTTTTCATTTTGTTTTTAATCATCATGGGAATGAAACATTTATCAGCTGCTCTCCTGCAAGTATTGTGTGAAAATAAGGACTTTTGATTTTCCAATGGGTTAAGCCACACCAGTTGTAGCATTTAATTATACAAATTTGAAGGTTAAAGTCAGTCTGCGGTGTGCTAGCTGATCTCAGCAGGGTAGTAATGTAATTCCGGGCTACAATTAGCTTGGTATCCCAGAGCTAGGGAGGGCAACATTAAACTGATCACTATCCATAGACACCTGCCAGAAGGTGGGTGTTGGCTGATGTTTGGCTATCAAGCCTTCAGTCCTCTAGTCTCCATGCCAACAGGGCACTGGGATCTGTGGAATTATCCACCTCTGTAGAGAAGGGAAAGGAAGAAAATGGGAGGATGAGAAAAAATGCTATTGGGTCAAAAAAGAAAATAATTTACACGACAATGATGAGAAGGCTGATATTCTACAAACAGTTTTCGGTGACTATTATTTTTGATCCTTGATAAATAATATTGTGTTTTTTTAATTTAAGTTTCAGATGAGCAAGTGATTGAATTTGTGGAAGGGAAAGATCATTGGGTAATTTTAGAAGCCATAAAACACTTGCAACAAAATGAAGATTCTGTGCTACATGCCCTGAGGGCTCTACTTCCATTGGCTAGACCACGTATGTTTGTCTCATCATTCCTCAAAAACTTTTAAGAATTTGAGGCGTAACTGTGATCAATTTAAATATCCATTCAATACTTCATGATGTAACTTATGGTTTAAACAATAATTTAGCAGCTATAGGCTTGCTTTACACTTTTCATACAGTAGAAGTTGACATTTATCAAGTGCCCTCTGGAGTATATGCTGAGAGGAAAGGTTCACTTTCCATCCTACCAAATTGAATTGTATCCTCAATTGGTCATTATTGACTAGTGTAGTGGAGGTGAATGAGATTATGTTTTTTTAAAAAAAGACTCTTGTTACTAGGAGATGACTGGTCGTAAACAGTTTGGTGGAAAGGGGAAGGAGAAAGAGTACAATTTTCACCTCAACATTAGGAAAATGCAACATATATTTTGTTTTTCAGCAAATAATGTGGAAATTCTGATGTCTGGAAATGAAAAGTGTTACACTGTTGTAATGACTATAATGACATCATTTCCTGATAATGAGGCAATACAAGACATTGGTTGCCGTCTGTTTCAGAAGTTCACACTTGGTAAGTTTGACTTGGCAATTTTTTTTAATATTGTGTATCAAAGTTTTGTAAAAAACTATTAACGTGATGAATATCGTTTTTTGAAGAAAACATCAGAAATTGAATGATTTATTTTTGTTTTCCCAGATAATTTTTACAATATTTTGGTATTGAACGGCGTTCAAGAAGTTATTGTGAAAGCAGTTGTAAGATACCCAGCGAATAGTTCATTACAAGCTGCAGGTCTAAGTACTTTGGCTCTTTTAAGTAAGTACTGTTCCAAAAGGATTCTGGCGTCCTTGTTCAGAGGCGCTTCCATTGTATATTGAAAAATAAAAATTTGAATCAGAAATGCTTTGTATTCCTACAGATATAGAACATTGTTTTATCTAAGCGGTTTTCAGCCATAATTGATATTTTGCAACAATGTTCCCTTTCCTGTTTTTCAATGTTTCTATAACAACTCTGGGGCTCACTTTTTGACTTTTGGTAAACCTGTTGCATAAAATGAAACTGAGTTACGCAGAAGCAGAAGTTTGAAGGCTCTGAAGTTACACTCTGAACAACTGCTACTTCCCAAGTTGGGGGAGGGGAGAATTTGTTAGGTTCTGCCTTTCTATCTCCATCCAATGACCCACAGTGTTTGAGATGAAATTCTGCTGGCCCATAAAGTTAAAATCTTTCCTATATGTGTGTGGAGAAGGGGTGGAATAAGCATCTATCTATTGGACGCATGGCTAAAAGAGTGGTGCGGAACTCAGGGGTTTCTTTTTATGGGCCATTGGCACGAGTATTGGAGGAAAAGAGAGCTTTTTCAGAGAAATGGGCTGCATTTAAATCGGGCTGGAACAAATGTCCTAGCTAAACGAATTAATAGGGAGGTAAATAGGAATTTAAACTAGTAAAGCGGGGGGGAATATATAGGTAAGAGAAACCATAAGTTAGCGTTAGAAAAAGTAAAGATGACAGTGCAGAATAGTATGTCACATAATACTAGCTCTGTTAATTAGGGATGAAATAAAAGCAATGGAGAGGAAGGATCTGAAATCCAATGACCAGGAGGTCAAGACAATATGAGTGGAAGTAAAAAATAATAAAGGGCAGAAAATATTAATGGGAGTGGTTTATAGACCCCCAAACAGCAATCACAATATAGCACGAGGTATTAATCAAGAAATCAGTGGAGCATGTAGGAAAGGTAAAGCGATAATAGTGGGTGATTTCAATCTCCACATAGATTGGGAAACCAAATCTGCAAAAGTAGGTTAGAAGAAGAGTTCATTGAGTGTATGAGAGATAACTTTCTAGAGCAGATTGCCGAGGATCCAACCAAGCGGACAGGCCATCCTAGACCTTGTTTTGTGTAATGAAACAGGGCTAGTTGGCAGTGTAGGTATTAAGACTCCTCTAGGGCAGAGTGATCACAATATGATTGAATTCTGCATTAAGTTAGAGAGGGATACAGTTAAATCCGAGGCAAGTATTCTGAATTTAAATAGGGCTAATTTTGTAGGTATGAGGAAAGATTTAGGTAAAATAGACTGGAGAATAAGATTAAAAGGTAAAAATGTAGACCAACAGTGGCAAATATTTAAGGATGTAGTGCAAAATTCTCAGCGGTCGCATATTCCCTTGCGGAATAAGAGTACCACAGGGAAAGCAATTCATCCGTGGCTAACTAGAGCAGTTAGGGAAAGCATCAAATTAAAAGAAAAAGCTTATAAAATTGCCAAGAAAAGCAGCAAATCTGAAGATTGGGAGAGTTTTAGAAACCAGCAAAAAAAACTCAAAAACTCATTAAGAGTGAGAAAAAGGAGTATGAGGGTAAGCTAGCTAGGAACACTAAGTCTGATTGTAAAAGTTTTTACAAATACATTAAGAGGAATAGGCTAGTGAGGGTAAATGTAGGTCCACTAAAGTCAGAGACGGGAGAAGTTGTAATGGGGGAAAAGGACATGGCAGAGTCCCTAAATGGGTACTTTACATCTGTCTTCACTCTAGTTGACACAACAAGTCTGCCAACAATAGGGATGCACCAAAGGGATAAGGACAGGGAGCAACTTAGGGAAATCTTCATTAGTAGAGAATTGGTGCTAGGGAAACTGTTAGCACTAAAAAGTGACAAATCCCCTGGTCCGGATGGCTTGCATCCCAGGGTTTTAAAAGAGGTAGCTTATGAGATAGTGGAGGCCTTATGTCTGATCTTCCAAAATTCCTTGGATTCTGGAACAGTCCCCATGGATTGGAAGATCGCAAATGTCACACCACTATTTAAAAAAGGTGGAAAGGAAAAGATGGGGAACTATAGGCCAGTTAGTCTCACATCAGTGATAGGAAAAATTTTAGAATCATTGATTAAGGATGTGGTAGTGCGGTATTTAGGGGAGCACAATATAATTAGGCCAAGTCAACATGGCTTTACAAAAGGAAAGTCATGTTTGACAAATCTCATAAAGTATTTTTGAGGATATTTCGAGTAAACTAGGTAAGGGTGAATCAGTGGATGTAGTCTATTTGGACTTCCAGAAGGCATTCGATAAGATGCCACAAAAAAGGTTAGTCCAAAAGATAAGGGCCCGTGGAATTGGGGGGAGCATATTAATGTGGATTTGGGAATGGTTAACGGGAAACAAAGAGTAGGGATAAACGGGTCCTTTTCAGATTGGCGGGATGTGACTAGTGGAGTGCCACAAGGATCAGTCCTTGGGCCTCAGCTATTTACCATCTACATCAACGATCTAGATGAGGACATCGAAGTTAATATATCTAAATTCGCGGATGACACAAAACTAGGAGGAAGTGCCAACACAGAGGATGACATTAAAAAAATGCAGCGAGACATAGATAGGTTAGGTGATTGGGCAGGTAAGTGGCAGATGAAGTATAATGTAGGGAAGTGCGAAGTCATCCACCTAGGTAGCAAAAACAGTAGAGTGGGTTATTTTTTAGAAGGGTAGAAATTGGAATGTGTTAGCGTCCAGAGGGACTTGGGTGTCCTTGTACACCAAAGTTAGTCTGCAGGTGCAGCAGCAATTAGGAAGGCGAATGGTATGTTAGCATTCATTATGAAAGGATTAGAGTATAAGAGTAGGGAAGTCTCGCTGCAACTGTATAGGGCCCTGGTGAGACCACACCTGGAATACTGTGTGCAGTTTTGGTCTTCTCATTTAAGGAAGGATGCACTTGCCTTGGAGGGGGTGCAGAGTAGATTTACTAGGTTAGTACTAGGGATGAAGGGGATGAGTTATGAGGATAGGCTGACCAATTTGGGCCTATATTCTCTAGAATATAGAAGAATTAGAGGGGAACGTATAGAAACCTATAAGATCAGCAAAGGGCATGATAGAGTAGATAGTGGGAGATTGTTTCTCCTGGTTGGAGAAACTAAAACCAGGGGTCACAACCTTAAAATCAGAGGCCAGCCCTTTCGCACTGAGTTGAGGAAGAACTTCTTCACTCAAAGGTTGGTGAATGTATGGAACTCACTACCCCAAAGTGCTGTTGACGCTCAGTCCTTGAACATATTGAAGACTGAGATAGATTTCTTATTGCAAAAAGGATTAAGGGATATGGGGATAAGGCAGGGTCAGGTTATTAGCTGGAGTTAGATTAGAAGATCAGCCATGATTGAATGGCGGGGCAGGCTCGAAGGGCCGAATGCCCTACTCCTGCTTCTACATGTTATGTTATGGTATGTTAAATCCTAATCCATGCTTACATTGTAAATTTTCTAATCATCTGAAATGTGAAATCTAACGTAGTCTGTGAGCAGAGGCTCAATGAGCTAAACTTGTTCTCATTATCAGAATTGGAAGGGGAACAGGTATTTTTCTCAGAGGATTAGATGGGATAGAGTCTGGGGTTCAGTCCAGAGCTGTATGGTGTGGAAAGAGCAGGCTTACTGAATTGACTTTTCTGTTTAATGTTTTCTTGTTTTTACGTTCTTCAGAGAGAAGTTTGTATTAATACTGGGATTTATTTTCATCCACAATATATAGTCAATTCACTTTACAGTATGTTCTGTGAAGAGCTTTGAGACATCTCAAATTCATGATAAGGTGCTATATCAAATCCAAGGATTATTATTATGATTCAAGTAACACAGACAAGAGTTTTGTGTTTAAATTAAGCAGTAATTTTAAAATTATTTTGCAGTACAAAATTGATTTGTACTGAAGCAGCTGAAACCATCTCCTAAGGTGTGTTTAGGAGCAGGGCTCAGAAACAAATTAAGACCTGACTGCATTTTTGGTATTGATTCAAAATAAAATTAAATTAATGTCAATTGAACTGTATATTTAGGGCAAAATATTCATATTTTTGCACAATGTATTTGAGATTTAATGAACTGGGCCTATGTTGCTGTACAAATCCGATTTTAGACTCTATGCTGTTAACAAGGGTGAGAGTTGCTGTTTCATTTAGCCCTTGAAGATAATCTACCACATGGATTCTTGCCTTTTCTTAAAAAAACAAAGTTCATGTTTAGCAAATACGTTTTTATGAGTGATCAAAGCTTAACATTACTAACCATAAAGTTTGTTGATATGAAGTTAATGTTATCACTTCAGAGAAAAACGCAGTGCAACACCCTTTATGTCTTTTCTTTGTCAAGCTGAAACAATATTTGTGAACAAGGATCTTGATGAAAGAAAAGATGAGGAAGATCTCTGCTGGCTGGAGGCTTGTTGCAAAGCATTGGAATTTCATAAGGAGAACCAGGAAGTCCAGGTGAAGTACAAACATGTTACTGTTTTGTCATCAACTAATATTTATATCCAGTTTTTGTTTATTTCAGCAGTGCTAACTTGATTTGTTGTATAATGCTGTTTTTTAAGGCTCTGAAGTTATACCCTAAAAGTCTTCTAATTCCCAGTCAGGCTTGATTTTGAATAACCAAAGCTTTATGATATTAAAGTCCTGTGAAAAGTGATCCGGGACACCTCCCCTCATGAGTGGCACTATATAAATGCAAATTGTTGTTGCTGTTATTGTGAAGGAAATTATTATATATGAGTGTAATAAAACGCAATGCTTTCATCAGCTTTCATCAGTCAATATGATCTATAACCAATACAACAAATTTTAATTATACAACTGTGCTGATTCATAATTTTTCAACTTTCAACTTTTCAACTTCACTTTTTTCTTTTTTGTGTGGCCTGTAGTCTAACATCTATGTTGAGGGAATATAACTGCACTAAACCTAAATGAGAGGATGTGCTGTCACATACAGAATGTGGTGTTGTCCAGAATTGGCCCAAAATGAGCTCAAAGTAGTTTTTTTTAGGAAAGTTACCATGAACTATTAATAGTATACATGGCAAATTAAATGTTATATAGATACAAATTGAGCTGTACTTCTGAATCCTTAAGGACATTATGTAGATATTATCCTAAAGTTACTTAAAATTTTACTTTTTAAAATATTTACATTGACAGGAAGCAGCTTGTTGGGCATTAAACAATTTACTTATGTATCAAAATGATCTTCATGAGAAGTTTGGAGATGATGAAACAAGGTAACTGCATGTCTTACATTTAGCTCCAATAATAGTTTATTATTTCATTATTTTTAATGTTCTTCTGGTTCCTTTCCCTCTAATGTTTGTACTTATTACATTGTAGATTTCCAGTGCACAGACTGGTGATGGCAGCCATGTTATTGCATTCAACATCGAAGGAAGTGTTTCAGGCATCTGCAAATGCTTTAGCAACTTTGGCAGACCAAAGTGGTCAGTTAAACCCCGTCCCCAGAACACATTCAGTATATTAAGGTGTTAATATTTCTTCGATTACATTTTTTGTTTTTTATTCTACAGTGCGAATACGGAAGCTTTTATTGGCAAAAGGGATACATATCAATATTTTAGATTTAATGAAGAAACATTCTGATTGTTGTGATGTCCTGGAAAGTGCTTGTAAAGTACTTAATAAACTGTTCTTTGGAAGGTAAATTAATATTTTTTTCATGTATTTTATTTTTCTTGCAAAGGATACCCCTTCAAATCAATTTGGTTTTCTATAGCAATGCCATATGAAATATGTAATTGACTTGACTTAAGTTTAAAAAAAGTTACATTTTTAAACATAATATACTGTAGATAGCTGAAAGTAGACCATATTTCAATATTTTTGAAGGCATCAGGAATATCCTCAAAAAATCAGCCAATATTCTACTGTACTGCTGTGATTTTATTTTTCCATTTCACTCTCCAGCCATTCTCATGGCCTCTTGCATGTAAAATTGCTGACTTTCTGTGACAGGCACATGTGTCCACACTTGTCCATTTCTGACTTAAAAAGTATGAACCTGTACAGTAAGGCTACTTTAGGTGCATAGTTTCTGTCTTGAAAACCTAGATAAAATAATAGTGAAAATTAACCACCCCCATATTGTATTTTGTCACTGAATTCTTAATAATCATGTGATATCTCTTCAGTATCCTCAGCATAGATGTCATGAGCTTGAGTTTAACCAGAATAGTAAGTTCTATGAAGAGCTATGAACAATTTGTTTCTGTGCAACTGGAGGCCCTTCGAACAATATCACATTTCATTTGTTCCTGTAAGTGAAAAAGTCTTTACGTTTATTACTATGTGTGGTGATGTGGTTGGTATTAAAGTGGCTGAACGTTGTCACCCAAGTTTGAGATGTGTTTACCTAATTGTAAACCCTTTATTGGTTTGAAATGTTGTAACATAACTTGCCTAAATTAAGAGATTCTTTAAGTATTGAATGTGAACTACAACGCAGTACCATTGCAGTGTGCTCCACTATGGCATAAATTCACTTATAATGTGGTTGCACTGTGGATCCCGTTTACTCTGCACTTGTCCAGTTGCTGCTTGCTGCTTGCACAACAACCAGGTTTTCATACTAAAATGTCTGACATGTCATTAGGTCATCTCTCATGACACTTCCTAATATTGTATGAGGGCAGGGAGAAGGGCAATCATCCCCAGCATACTTGCACTCCATTCAGATTATTCACGTTCATTACTTGAGGAACTTCTTTACTTGACCCCAGTATGTCTCAATTATTGGTGGAATTAGTGTTAAAATGTGCTGACTTCATACAAGTTTCTTTAATCTGGAAATACAATACAAAATTACATTTGGATAGCGCCTTTAACATCCCTAGGTACTGGTTCATCTGTTACCTAGAAGTACATGGAGTCCTGTAGCTCAGTGTTTAGAGCACTCGCTTTGCAAACGAGGGACCTGGGTTCGATTCCTGGCAGGGTGAAACCTTGGGTATGGAGTTTCCTTACTCCATATGCCTGATAATAATCCCTCAAGAAAAAAAAAATTAGTCACTTCAATCCACGACGGTTTGTGGGACACTGCTATGCGCAATTGGCTGCCGCGTTTCGCCCATAAATATACAGTCAATTCACTTTACAATCTATTCTGTGAAGCGCTTTGAGAGGTCTAGAAGACATGAAATAGCTATATCAAATGCAAGGATTATTATTATTTTTATATACATCACCTGACTCATGTGAATTCCACTCTGAAAATAGATTGCACGAGAAAGAGATCCCACAAGTCAGCATAACGGAAGCCCATTTGAAAAGTCAAATTTTAGATCCACATTATCAATTTGCTTTCATAGAATCTTAGAATTATACAGCACAGAAGGAGACCATTCGGCCCCGTGTCCATGTCCGTGGCAGCTCTTTGAAAGAGCTGTCCAAATTAGATCTGCTCCCACACTCTTCCCATAGCCCTGCAAATTTGTCCCCCCTCCCCATTATATTTAACAATTTTTGAGTTACAGAGATTAGATGTGTTGATCTAGAAGTTCACATGCATTTCTATCCCTCAGAGGATAGAATTCAAAATCCTCATCCTCACTTTCATGGTCCTCCATGGTGCTGCTCCCTCCTACCTTTCTGACCCTCTATCAACCTGTCTGTTCCTTTTTTCAGCAGGCTCTGACCTGCTCAATGCCTCCTGCCCGACCTACGTTATCATCAGCGACCAGGCTTTCAGCCTCTCTGCCCCCACCCTTTGTAACTCCATCCCCAGTCCTTTTGTCTTGCTCCCTTGTCTTCTTCAAGGCACGACTCAAGACCCTCCTTTTTGACCGTGCTTTCAGCCGCGCTCCTACTTCTCTGCCCTCTCTCACCTCAACTTTGCCTCCCACATGCTTGGGTCCTAACCTCTGACTATTCAGCACCTTGGTACATCCTCCCGATGTGAAAGGCACTTTACAAATGTAATTTTGTTGTTGTTGCATTTGGATAATTTGCAGTTTTCACTTTGTTATTGGACCATAAATACTTTATTGTTTTTCTCAATTTGTTTTTTAAAACAAAATCTCATGTGCAATGGAGTTAGAGGTCAGCAAGTGCTGAATTCAAATTCGATACTCAGGTTTCTAGAGCTCTTTGTTTCAACAGAAATTCTATAGACTGTTGTATGAATGACAAGATCACACTTTAAACTTAATAACTTGTTAATAAGCTGTTAATAAGCGGATCCTGTCTTCCAGCATTTAACATTCCTGTATTCAATATTGGAAGTAAACCATCTGAGTCTAATTGGATTTATTGGTTTATTATCTAGTTTGCAAGATGAATCCGGAAGAGGTTGGCAGAAATTTGCATGAAGATACAGAAAGAATGGACTTAAAGCAAAAAGTAATTAAAAATCAGTGTTTGTTGGAGGGTGTTCACACATTGGTTCTTGAAGCTATGAACAAGGTAGGAGCAAAACAAAATGTGATATTATTTGTTTCATGTATTTATTCATCTACAACTTAATAACTTTAGTTTTCAAGTATCACAATAGCGAAAAAATTAATGTCTTTCAGTTTGTCGGCAACCCGGCTCTGCAGCAGTGTGGCCTAAGAGTACTGTACGCCATTTCTGATTGTTCTGGTTCATTGGAAATGATGACGGCCCATGGTGCGATGGACACTGTACTCCATACAATGCAGATCTATCCACATGAACGAGGTAGGAAAAGTAAACATAACATCTTGTAATCCTTTTAAATCCCCTCCACTTTTTAAAAAGAGGGGATTATGCATCTCAATAATCCCAAATCGTGCTGGAAATCGTTTTCTGGAAATTATGCATTTATAACATCCAGGCTCGACTACACAAACTCCTTGCTTATTGCCTTCACCAACTCCTCCTTCCATAGGCTGCTGATCATCTAGAGCTCTGCAGCCTGTGTTCTCTCACGCACCAGGTTCTGTGACCATATCACCCCCCTCCTCGCCTGACTCCATTGGCTTCCATCACACAAAGGATAAAGTTCAAGATCCTGGTTCTCATTTTCAAAGCCCTCCTTGGGCTTCCATCCCACAGTCCCTCCACCTTGCTTGCCTCCTTCAAGACCTGTCTCAATAACCTGCTCTTCGACTGTACCTTCGGTCACCCTCCTTCTCCCCACTGCCCTCCACCCTCTCCGATCCCGACCCCCCCCCAGTTTGGGTCCAAAACACTAATTATCCAGCACCTTGGGATATCCTCCCAACGCAAAAGGCGCTATACAAATGTAATTTTGTTGTTCTGCTCAGAAGCAGAATTTTATTTACACTGACTAAATCGATCATATGTTTGAGAACAATGTGTGACACTGAAAGGTGTATTGTATCTTAGATTGATAGTTGTGTATTTTGGTAACTTTGCTTGCCAATGTATAAATAACATTGACTAAGTGCAAGACCAGTTTAGTGATTATAAAATAATAGCGATGAGACAGTGCTGGCTGTTTATTTTACTTTCCTACAGCTGCTGAGTTTTGCATTGATGAGTTCTACATGTAGGCTTGAGCCAAGCCAAAGCTTTGGGAGAAAAAAATAAATAACTGTTTTTACTTTTATTCCTGTATAGAAGTTTTTGAAGCAGCAAATTTAATAAAATGAATAGAGTGAACAATGGGAGTTCTGCGAATTGTCTTGCTTTTCTTTAATCATTGAAAACTTTGATCATTGTGTAATTCTTAAAGAATTATCAGTGAGTTATGGATTTGGGGTCGAATTATATTGTTGTCACTATTGATTAAACAATTCATCAAATGAGTAGGTTTGATGCTTAAAAGTGTAACCAGTTGTCTTTGAGATTTCTGGCACTCAAATAGCTGAAATTAAGAGCCTTTTTCAACTGTGGATTTTTGCCTATTTTAGTGAAACAACTCATAATCCAGTACTACTCACTTTATTACAATAAAAAGAAACCTTGCATGTAATTTTGGTTTAGTGTCTCATCTGAAGGACGGCACACCTGTAGACAATGAGCTCAAAATCCCAACATATGGCTGGAACCTGCAACATTCTGAGTCGGTGGCAAGAGTTCTACCAAATGAGCCAGCCTGACAATCATTATTTCATGGTTTTAAAAACTGTCATACATTGACTGCATATGTGACCTGGCCAAGTCAACCTTTTCAATTCTGCCACTTGAATTCGCTGAGTTTCTGAGTCACTTTTCAACCAGTCTTTTTTAAAAAAAATAATATGGATCCAAATTGGAGCAGGTGGAGAAAAAATAAGAGAAAATGGGAAGACAGAATGTCAAAAATGGCAGAAAAAAGTTGATTTTTAAAATATATATCTAATAATGGGATCTAATTTTATGAGGTGCCTCACAGTGCGTTTAGCATAGGTTTAAATTAACATATTTAAAATGTCTTATGTATCATGATAGATTACAGCTGGGTAGTTGTACTTCAGTTTGGTGACCTATAACCACCACAGACTGTAATGTAACTGAAAAGACTACTTCAGTGTTTACTGCACACATAATTGGTGCAGTGAGCCAACTTTGGGAGATAATTTCTATGCAAATGTTCAGCTCTTCATGTGTGAGTAGATAAACCAGTGAATATATTGTACTCTCTTTTCTGTTGCAGAAATTCAGTGTTTGAGTCTGAAATTTCTGTTTGTCCTTGCTCCTAAGAAGCATTTGAGCAATACATTGTTAGCTTTATCAGCAAAAGTTATAGTGGAAACTTTACTCAGATTTGAAGAGGACACAGAGATACAGATACAGGTAGGTTGTTGTAACAAGGAAGGTAACTAAGACTAAAAGTAATTGTGTGTAGTTTTTTGCATCTACATCTGAATTTAATTTGAATCCACCTCCCACTGCTGGTATTTGAATGACTCTTCTATTGGATGATCGTGAGTTTAAATGAATTTGGGAAGTTTCAATCACAATGAAGTGACATAAAATTTCCTATAAATTGGTACACTCACTATGGCTATAACTTCCCAGTGAACAAAGTTCAAATCTTTATAAAGTGTTACAAAATGAACTTTTCTAATTTTGAGGATAGCAGACATTTTTGAGAAAAACAGAAGGAAATCTGTTCTGCATCTATCCCATGCTACTCCAGATCTAAGATTGGTTGATGCAAATAACGTACAAAATGCTTTGTAGCTCACCAGTGACAATTTTCTCCTTGATAAATAGTTAACCCCACTGTCATTAGAAAAAGAGATTATGTTTAAAAGATATAGAAGAATGTAGAGATAGAATCTAGAGATAATTTGAATTATGATAGAAACAACGATATGATGGTACACTAGAATAATAAGAACATAAGAACATAAGAATTAGGCGCAGGAGTAGGCCATTCGACCCTTCGTGCCTGCTCCGCCATTCAATAAGATCATGGCTGATCTTCTCACCTAACTCTGATTACCTGCCCTATCCCCATATCGCCTAATCCCTCTATTTTTCAAGAATCTATGATACAGGAATCTATAATATCTGTGCTTTGTTATGATAAGAGGCTGGGCAGCCTGGGTTACATTACTTAGTGCAGAGAAGGTTAAGGGGAGATTTGATTGAAATATTTAAAATAGTGAAAGGAATTAACAGGTTAGGTAGTGGATGAATCTTCCATTTGGTTGAGGGATCAATTACAAGAGGCATAGCCTTAAAATCAGAACCAAGATAGTTAGAACTAAAGTTGGAAAACGTTTCTTCCCACAGAGGGTTATGAAGAAGTGGAATCTTCTGCCCCAGAAAGCTGTAAGGGTAGAATGAATAGATCTATTTTAAAAAGATTCAGACAAGTACTTGGGCCCAGTAGAGCTATAAAGGGATATTAAAATTGTTGACAGTGAAAATCTGAGGGATATCTCCCTTGTAATAGATTGCTTGGATCACCTTTTCAAAGAGCTAGCACAGATATGATGAGTCAAATGGCTGTCTTCTGTGCTGATTTTAAGGCTATGCCCCTTGTAATTGATCCCTCAATCAACAGTAAACTGGTTAAATGCTCATAGAACTCATCTTACATAAGAACATAAGAATTAAGAGCAGGAGTAGGCCGTTTGGCCCCTCAAGCCTGTCCCCCCATTCAATAAGATAATGGCTATCTATTCTAACTCCACCTACCTGCCTTATCCCCATATCCCTTAATCCCTTTATCCACAAGAAAGCTATCAATCTCAGTCTTGAATATGTTCAAGGACTGAGCAACTACAGCCTTTTGGGGTAGAGAATTCCATAAATTCACTACCCTCTGAGTGAAGAAGTTTTTCCTCAACTCAGTGCAAAAGGGTTTAGCCCTAATTTTAAGACTGTGACCCCTGGTTATAGTTTCTCCAACCAGGGGAAAAAGTCTCCCACTATCTATTCTATCTTCCAAAGCATGTGGATTAGTGCTTCTGGAACTGCAGATGAGCAAGTTGGGTTGGAAAAGCTAAAATATACTTTTAATCATAAATCCCGTGGGTCAAAATAGAATCTTACAGCACAGAAGGAGGCCATTCGGCCCATCATACCTGTGCAGGCTTTTTGAAAGAGCTACCAAGTATTCCATCTCCCCCTCTCTTATCCCATAGCCCTGGAAATTTATAGAATTTATAAAATGAAATAAAAAATAGGGCACAAGGTGGTATTATGGTGCAAGGCACGAAGTGGAGTCCTGTAGTTTAGTGGTTAAAGCACTCGCCTTGTGAGCGAGAGGACCTGGGTTCAATTCCCGGAATGGTGAAATGTTGGGCAAGTTTCCTTACTCCACACACCTCTGTTTACCTACCAGTAAGTAGGTTGTTAGTCAACTGGGATTCACTTTTCTGGGGGTAATAATTCCTTCAAAAAAATAAAATAATTTGGTCACTCAATGCATGACTGTTTGTGGGAGACTGCTGTGCGCAATTGGCTGCTGTGTTTCACTTTGAGCACTTTGAGACGTCTCGAAGACCTGATGAGGTGCTGTATCAAATACAAAGATTATTATAAATGAAATCTTGTTGTTGTATTATTAATATTATTATTATAATCCTGCATCACTTATTAGTCTACACTACTGAAATGGGTACCAAGCAATTTTGCCTGAAAGTGAAAAATGTTTCCAGAATTGGGCAGCAAACCCTGTCTTTTTTCAATATAGTTTACAATTGATATAGCGGCTTTCAGTCCGGAGGATGTCTCAAAGCGGTTCACGCTGCTGGCTGGGCACACAACCTGGAGGTGTGAGTCAAAGAGGGAGGGAAATATAATTAAGAGTGCATTCAAAGAGGTATATTAAGACAGGCCTTGAATGATGGGAAGGAGCGAGTGAGTCGGAGGGAATCTGGGATGCAGTTCCAGAGAGTGCGGAATATTTATTTATCTTTAAGGATATTTTAAGGGTAGTTAACCAGAACATAAATACTTTTGTCATTTTTCATACAATAGATAACTGATAAAATCATGTTAAAATATTTATTTTAGGGTTTCCAAGTTGCTTTGATGTGTTTCACCATCTTGCCATCTGCTGCTACAACTTTCTTCATGGAGTCCATTGATAAAGTTATTTTTCGCCAGATGATACTTCGCTTCATGGATGACAGAAATAAGCAGGTCATTTATTTTTTGTTCTTGTGAAGCCATTGAGAAAAGTTATACTGCCTTTGCCATGTAAATTACTTGCATTTTGTATTTCATATGATTAGCTCCAGAACCTCATTTGTAAATGCTTGTCCAAATTGTGCTGTGACAATGCAATCAAAAACAAGATGCTTCAGAATGCCTGCTCAGAAAACAATGTCACTATGGCTGAATCCTTGATTATATTGGGAGCTGACGTCAATCAGAAATCTTGGAGTGAATCACTTATTTATCAGGTAAACGTGCAAAGTGGAATTTGTATGAATTATCCGAATTCTGTGGTTAATAAAAAATTAGTACTAAGCTGAATCCATATTAGCTTTTAAAAGCGGACTCGATAAATACCTTAAACAATAATAATAATCCTTGCATTTTGATATAGTGCTTTTCACGTCTTCTCGACATCTCAAAGCGCTTCACAGAATATGCTGTAAAGTGAATTAACTGTATATTTGTGGGCGAAACGCGGCAGCCAATTGCGCACAGCAGTGTCCCACAAACAGTTGTGAATTGAAAATGACCAATTTATTATTGTTTTGATTTGGAGGGATTATTATTAAGTGTGTGAAGTAAGGAAACTTGCCCAAGGTTTCGCCCTGACCTGCTTGGAATTGAACCCAGGTGTCTCGCTTGCCAGGCGAGTGCTCTAACCACTGAGCTACAGGACTCCACATTAAAGGAATAATTTAAAGGGTTCGTGGAACGGGCAGGACTGAAAAGATTGCTCTTAAGAGAGCCAGCACAGGCACAATGGGCCTAATAACCACCTTCTGTGCTGTAGATTTCTATGTTTTTATACGATAAATACAACATAGGTTTTAAAATGAGCTATTTACTGACCTTAAATATGTTAGGAATTCTTCTCTGAATCTTCTCACAGATGTACTCTGCTTCCTCCTATGAACAGAGACATTGTAGGCATTGAATAGAGACATTGTACCCAAAATATCCAGTAATAATACCCTTTATAAACTGTGGAAACAGCTGTTTTCTATTTGTGTAGCCTAATTTATTCTTCATATTGTTTATTACATTTGTTAAGAGCAGTTGAGCTGCAGTTGAGCTGCCTTTGAGTTGTGCTTTAGACCAGTTATATTTTGCAGGCATTCCTGGCTTAGGGTCTCAGGCAAATAGAGATATAAACAGAACTGATCCCCAGGCCTTTAAGTGAGGTGGGCACTGTTCCACTCCCTCTGAAAACTGCTGTCATCACACTCTTCCTCAAAAAAAAACACCCCCGATCTCTCTAATCTCTCACACCACCGTCCCACCTCCAACCTTCCCTTCCTTGCCAAAGTCCTGGAACGCATTGTTGGAGGTCAACTTCGGTCACACCTCTCCCTCCTCGAGCCCCTGCAGTCTGGTTTTCGCCCTGCCCACAACACAGACATCAAGGCTTGGATGAGTGTAAACTTCCTGCAGCTGAATATGAACAAGACAGAAGGTATACTCCTTGGCTCCCATCAATGTCTTCACTCCTTCAGATCTAAACTCCTCAACCTCCCTGGGCTCTCCCTTAGACTCAGTGAACCAGTGCGCAACCTAGGTGTCCAGTTCAACCCCCAGCTGTCCTTTCTCCCCCATATCCACTTCCTCCCCCACATCGTGCTTGCATTTGTCACCTCCTGCTTGAATTACTCCAATGGACTCCTCGCCGGACTCCCCAGCTCCACCATTCACAAGATCCAGCTCATTCAAAACTCTGCCGCTTGCATACTGACCCGGACCAAACTCTGTACCACCATCTCACCAGTTTTGGCCAGGCTCCACTGGCTCCCCATCACCGAGCAGATTGACTTCAAGATCCTCACACTCTTGTTCAAATCCATTCACTCCCTGGCACTTTCCTATCTCTCCGACCTCCTCACTCCCCAATCCACCACCTGGCGCCTCTGCTCGACTGGCACCGGCCTCCTGCTCGTCCCTCACACCCTCTGCCCCACCATCAGAGGTTGCGCTTTCAGCCACTACTCCCCAAAACTCTGGAATACTCTTCCTCAATCCTTCCACCTTGCCCCCCCCCCCCCCTCTTTCCAGTCCCACCAGAAAACTTTTGTCTTCGAACATGTTTATGGCCACCTCCCCCATCTTCTCAGGTAGGAGTCAGGCTCCGCCACTGTTAAGCGTTCTGAGACGCTACCCTGTGTGGAGGGCGCTACATAATATGAAGTTGTTGTTGTTATTGTTGAGGTAGTTTTAATATTTTAGACACATATTTCAATGACCTTCTGGATGTGTGCTGCTGTACGTAGACTGGCTGACGATATTAGCCCACATCTTTTTGCATAGTGAAATAAATTGAGTTTACATCATCTATATATATAGATGTTAGTTGCTTATAATATGTAAAAGCAATGCATTGGGCAATACTATTTATCAATTGGTTCTTTAAAAAAAATGAAAACATAAATAAGTGTAAAGAGATATTTAATGCAAATTGTATTACATTTACTCCATATCTTAAGTCAAAATTCCAATCTTTCACATGTTAAGTTGAGAATTAATACTTTCTCCTGATATATTCACTTTCATTTCTAAGAAAATAACTTGCTTGTGCTACTATTACAGTGGAGTGGTGTTTGTGTGGTACTATGTGCTCAATTTAAAGCAAATTCCAGTTCACTTGTACTGATAGTTCAAGGGATCTGAGTCACTTTGAGTTATTTTCTGTTTCACGTAACTGCTCTCTGAAAACCAAGGTAATAATTTCTGTTATTAATGAACAGCAGATGTTGAATTGGAACAAATTCATAGACCTACTTTCTATTTCAATGTATTGTCATCATTTTTAGTTTGCTTTCAAAGAGCTGCATCAAAAAGGGAAAAGTGCACGTAAGAGAAGAAAACTCGTAGGAATAGATACAATCTTCACATGTTTTTTGTGAGATGTATTTGAGATTTTCTTTTATGTTTTCAGGCAAAGTGGAGTAACAAACAAGTGTAAAATAAAAAATGCATAATTGTTCTATTTTGTTAATTTAAACCCAAACATTGGGTTTAAGTACAGAAACTACTTTGATTGTTCCTTGCAATGGAAGATTACTGATGAATATTATAAAAATTGCTTAGCACCTTCTTAATCTTTTGTAGGCTTGTGAAAGAAGCAACAACCCACTTTTAGTAGAACTTTTGCTTAACAGTGGCACACGTGAGCAAGATATTCGCAAATCCTTGGATGTCAGCATTAAGAAGGGAGATGCCAACATTATCGGCTTGCTGCTAAAAAAACTTGGATTAGACCAGAACAATAAGGCTATTTGCTTGGGTGGATGTCGTATGGGCAAAATTGAGGCTGCTTGGTTAAGTCCTTTGTTTCCTGATGAAAAGTTACCTGTTTCAAGAGGTCAATTAAGTAAGTAAATTAGATTTATCTCCCTTTTTTAGGTATCAACTAGAATCTTTACACATGAAACCTAAAATTCTGTTATAATGTTTTAGGGACTTTCATGATTTAGTTTATGCACAGTATGTCTCTTTTTATTTCTTTTTATTGTGCATTTTTTCTACTGTATAGCAATAGGTACTTCCTTGGCAAAGTTGGTGCTGAGATATAGGGCAAAACCTGGGGTGTTGTTAATGCATCATTCAAGTACAAGTTCTGACATGAGCTACCCTGAGGAAGCTTGGGAAAGGAATGATAACTGGATTTTGCTGCCAGAACTTTCAGCAACTGATTCAGAGGAAAGTGGTACATTTTGTACTGATGAGCTGGAGAGTGAAGGTTTGATTAATACTTTTTCTTATGAAAATAATAATAATAATAATCCTTACATTTGGTATAGTGCCGTTCACGTCGGGAGGATATTTCAAAGCACTTCACAGGATAATAATAATAATAATCCTTGCATTTGATATAGCGCTTTTCACGTCGGGAGGACGTCCCAAAGCGCTTCACAGAACACACTGTAAAGTGAATTGACTGTATATTTGTGGGCGAACGCGGCAGCCAATTGCGCACAGCAATGTCCCACAAACAGTCGTAGATTGAAAATGACCAATTTTTTTTTATTATTGTTTTTTGGTTTTTTTGGAGGGATTATTATTAGGTGTGTGGAGTAAGGAAACTTGCCCAAGGTTTCGCCCTGCCTGGAATTGAACTCAGGTCTCTCGCTTGCAAAGCGAGTGCTCTAACCACTGAGCTACAGGACTCCACAGGATATACTGTGTGTGTGTTTTGTGGGCAAACTCGATATTCCCAGTTCTCCAAAAGTCTGCAGTTTGTGTCATCTCTCCCTCAGGCTCCACTGGTTCCCCATCACCCCAGCTCATCGAATTCAAGATCCTATTTCTCACTTTAGAGCCCTCCAAGGCCTCATTCGACCATACCTCTCCTACAGCCCAACAACCCAGCTACTCCTTTTGCTCAGCGAATGCTGGCCTACTTCATATCCCCTGCTCAATCTCACCCACTATTGAACTTTCAGCCATTCTACCCCCACTCTCTGGAACGCCATCCTTGAGCTCCTCTGACTTACTCTCTCCCTTTCCTCAGTCAAATGTTGCCTCCTGATGGGAAAGGCTCTAAGTCAATGTAAATTGTATTATGATATGCCTATTCTGAGAGAGGTTTTTAAGTTATGGATTTTTGGGTTATTTCAGTTATTTTTACCTCATTGATATACTAAATGTACTAGGATTCATTATTATCTATCTGTCTATCATTTATGAGTCAGAGCCATACAATCTAAGCTGGACATTTTGTTGTAATTTGATTTATAGTTATGCTTCATTTGATAACTTCATCCTTTTTTGATGAAAACCACCTATGGTTCGATATGTTCATGTAATTTTTTTCCAGGAACAATGACCGAGAATCTTAGTCACAATGTCCATATTGTAAGAGGGTGAGGTAGGCAAATTTCTTTGGACTAAGGACTTGAAGAAACAGAACAGTCATTGGGTGTAGGGATTCTACCCACTTGGCTTCCATTAACTCTGTTAGTCAAAGCCTTAGCGTTGAATCGCTAGAGTTGTCCTAGGTGGACAAGTAAGGAAATATTTCAAGAAACTTCAGATTTCTTCTCTTCGCAATTATTTCATGATTTGAGTACTATAATAATGATCCTTACATCTGATATAGCGCCTTATCACGTCTCCAAGATGTCACTCTCTATAGCGCCATCCCACAGTCCCTTTGCCTCACCTACTTCCAGGTCTTTCTGAAGACCGTCTTATTCGACTGTGCCTCCATCCTCAACCCCCCACACCCCACCCTTGGCCCCACCCTTCCTGAATCCAACCCTCGGCTAAGTTGCAAATTCTCTATTGTCTTGGGATGTCCTCCTGAGGTGAAAGGTGCTATATAAATGCAATTTGTTGTTCTTGTTGAGTTCTTTGCTTAATCATTACTTTTACTATTGCAGCCTTAATTTCTGTAGTTGATCATGGATAGGACAGTTTCTCTGCATTTACATCTGTTACATTTCTAGACCTTTGTTTTTTTACATTCAGGAAGTGATGTTCCCATTAGCCATAACATGATTGCTGAAGCATTCAATGAGTCTACAGCAACAGAGAGCCTGTACTTCAAACCCTCCTGTACTCAGGTATGAAAATTACATTGAGTACACCATGAGACTTGTTACACAATGGTGTTAATTTTCCATATAACACATGGGCCCTTTAATTAATGCACCTTTTTACTTTTGGTGGATTTTTGTTGTTGTTTTGCAGTGTAAAGAATCTGTGCACTTTAATAAGTAAGTTTTTTTAATCCTAAATGTATTTTTTTTTTAAAAAAACTGCAACTGAAAGCTTTCAAATGAACCAATATTTGATATTTGCACATTTCATCCACTCATACAGTAAAACTCACATAAGTCTTATCTTTATAAATTCAAAATCGCCTAAGTTGTACATTCACCGGAGTCCCATTCAGTTTCCTATCAAAACCACTGAGATTTCTTTGCTCTATTCGTATTAATCATCTCCTAACTTGTACCTCCGCTCCCCTATGCACTGGTTGGTTGTATTGAATCACGGGAAATGCAGTCTTGATCTGTCAACGCAAGCACAGAAGAGCTTCATTTCCTGTGATACAATGAAATTTCAAACCTCACTGGTAAGTGTGCATGCGGCGACAGGTCAAGACGCATTGGATCGCGAGAAACCAAATTCCTTTCATCAGTAGAGAATTTAGCTGATTTCAAACCTTGCAATTTATTGATTTTATGTCTTACTATATTGAATGATCTGTTACATTGTATTAAATTACAAGATTAACCTATTCATTATTGTACAATTTGTGGACTACATGGGTTTTGATTACGCTGTTAAGGTAAATTCAATTTCATTTTTGTTTCTATCAGAACCAGTCTTAATCTGGCAACAAAAAATGGGCATTTTGCAATCTAGATTGATGCTGGAATGTTAAATCACTACATTTTGAAAGGGAACAGCTTTAAATCTTGAGCAAATTGAAAAATACATCTGCAGTGTAAATGGTACTGAGAATATAGAGTGGATGTTTTGCTATCTCATTATTTTGTGTTTTTGTGGCTCTATAGCTACCATAATTTTGTGACAGCAAATTTGTAGAACATTATAGTTTGGTCAAATATTTATGGAAGCAATAAAATACTATGCAATAAATGTTTTAAAAAATGGAGATAGTGGTTTGACAAATCATGTTGATCAGTTATTGAGTTTTGTTTATCTTGACAGAGTTCACTTGAAGATGCTGAGCCTGTAGTGAACCAAAAGCGGAAATTTGTTCAAGTAGTGCATCACAAACCAAGTAAGGAAAATCAAATCTTCGGGAAGGCCATTCCTAACCAATTGAGGAATGTAATAATAATAATAATAATTGGATTTGATATAGTGCTTGTTGAGACATACCAAAGCGCTTCATGGAATAAACTGTAAAGTGAATTAACTGAATATTTTGTTATGGAACTGTTACTCAAATAATTCAACTTTTCTGCCTTGCCCATTATATCTCCCAAGAGAAAGGCTGTTTAAGCCTACCCCAAAAGATAAATGGAGCAAATTCTGGATTATGTAACTAACATTATCTTCAATATTATTCACCCTATTCCACAACATATTTTCATGGTCAAATTGGTTCAGAACTCTAGATCATGTTTTCCTTATCAAATTTTTTTTTTTACAAAACTGTTGTCATACCAAGCCTGGATTAGCTGGCTTGTATATTACTATACATACTGTTAATGTGAGTTCATAACCAAACAGCAAATGCAGGGCCAGTGACTAGTTATGGTGAAATCCAATATTTTACATCTGATTAATATTAGTTTATTATATCCTTATAGTAACAATTATCTTAACTCAGAAACATGTTTAGACTACACTGACTTTTAAAACCTTGATTTTGCTGTCTCTATAGGTGTTATTTTTGCTAAATATTAAAAAAACTCTTGAATGCTATGTTTGTTTCTAATTGCTAGTTGGATAACTTGTGTAGTTTTAATTTTGAAATATGTAATTTTGTTCCCTAGATTGTGCATCCAAAGGGTCCTCTTTAGGAAGTGGACAAGATCTTGCTCATGAGTTTGAATGTATCAAGTCTTTAGATCTTTCTGCAAATGAGCTGGACAATCTAAACTCCATAAATGAGAAATGTCCAGTCAGCATGCAACTTGCCACACTGCAAAAATTGGATCTGCATCAAAATAACCTGATGGGCTTCTCAAAAGAATTGTGCACTGTAAGATAGTGACACTGGTTTTGCGTAATAATAGTTTCTAGAATGCTCTCTTCATTGAATTCCGGTTTGTTCTATTAATATGTATAATGAAGCATTTCATATTTGACATTTACCAATTGCTTGTGCTGGTGAATGTAAATAGCCAGGACAAAGCTAAGATTAATGGGGTAATCTATGCAGAATTAACTTCATAATCTTACCATTCTTTAAAGCACCTACCTCTCTTGAAAGCTACTGCTGGACATCATACAAATACACCATCACATGTCTCAAAACTTACCCTTTAAGAAACAAAGGTACACTGCCTGGTATTCTTAACATAACCTGCTGGGAATAGACAACAACTATGGTTTCGTGGTTAGATTTTTGCAAAACCAGTTTAATATTTAATAATGTAATAAAATATTATTGAAAGCAGGATCTTGTGTGTTAGGAGGCTAGGCTGGATATTCTGGAAGGATAAGATCAAATGGACCAAATGATCAGTCATCCAAACTAATCTTGTGATGACTGCAAAATTTGGACAAATTGAAGATGTTTAGGAGGTTAGAGGTGCTGAATGTCTCAAAGCAAACTACAGATCTAATCTGGAAATGAACTGGTGATATTCTCCTAGGGAGATTAAAAAAAACTTTAAAGTGGAAAATGGTGCTAGTTAAAGAAGCGATTCTCATTTCTGAATTAACTTAATAGGGTAATAAAATTAGTATAGTGTTCGCTTGGTTTTTATTTGAACTCATTGAATTTGTAATAAAATACTGCTTTTTTAGATTTTCAAGGGTCTGACTGATTTGGATTTGAGCAACAACAAGTTCACCTCTTTTCCTTGCTGTGTGCTGGAAATGCCTTCAATTAACACTATTGATATCTCGAAAAACAACATTGGACATTCTTTGATTTTGAATTTGAACACTAGATGCACTACCCTCAAACAACTAATTCTGTCTCAGAATCAGCTCTCCTCTTTCCCAGAGTGTCTTGGTGAAGTTATAACTAAAATAGAGGAATTGTTTCTTAAAGGGTAAGTTTGGAGAACAGTTTCTACTTATTCAACCTCATCCTAACTTTTAGGCTGTTCAAGTGCCAAGTTAATTTGAGCATTGTATTTAATTACTATAGGTTTATAAATTAGCTTGGTATTCCAATGTTTCATCACTCTGTATGATTATGCAACATTATGGAAGGGAAATGAAACTTTAAAGTGCTGCTCTTGCAGTTTGTTTTAGAACATCATACCGATTTAAGCAATATTGTTTAACAATACTCTGAAAATATGCAGAAAAAGTACAATGTCTAGTTGAAAGCAATAATAATTACAGCATTGAGGATTTAAATCTCACAGTTTACAAAGTTGTAAATAATCACTAAAGTAAATTGAGCATTTGATTATATAAATAAAATAAATCATAACTTGGTCACTCAATCCACGACTATTTGTGGGATACTGCTGTGCGCAATTGATTGCCAGGTTTCGCCCACAAAATGCACAGTCAATTCACTTTCTGTGCAATCTTTGAAGCAATTTGAGATGTCTTAAAGACATGGTAAGGCGCTATATCAAATGTAAGAATTATTATTATATACTCACTTGCAGTACATTCACCAAACCGTGACATATTGCCAGAACGCTAGTGTAGTACATTTTTTTTTCTTCCTACACACAAATGCTTCAAAATTAAAGAATTCAATAATTAAACAGGCAGGGTAGACTTTGCTGGCCAAGCAACTGGAAGCAAGTCTATTTTGAATCAGTTTCTTATTTTAACATGCATTATCTTGAATCTGTTCCCATTAAAATTCATCTGCTACTGTTTGTCCCAATGAGGAACTCCTAACATTTAATAAATTGGTCCAGATTATTTTGCATGCTATGTACCTCCGTTAGATTATTTACTTGACCTTAAAGCTTGGTAGAGTCAACACATTTGTAATAAAGCTGTGTAGAATGATTCCTTGCATTGTAAATCTTTCTTATGCTGATTATTTACATTGATTGCTTGTAGGGTTGGCAAGAAATCTAAATAAATTCACATTTTTCCTTAACTTTTTAGAAACAAAATTAGCACAGTTGTATCTTCACTGTGTTTGACTGAACTTAATCTACTCGATCTTAGTCAGAACTGCATCACGATCATTCCAGATACGTTCCTAATCCAGTGCCCCAAGATGGAAATATTCAGAGCCTCGGAGAATCATCTTAGTATGTATACTCACTTACATAAAACCTCACATTGATAAGAGACACTACTTTTCCTCCTTTAGAATGCATGTTTATGTAAATATGTGTGTGTGCGTGTGATCAATTAAGTTCTGAGAAAAGAGATTATTCTTACACATTAATCATGTGGTGTAATGGCTTTTACCCACTGTGCAACAACAACTTACACTTATATAGCAACCTCCACCCAGGGTAGCGTCTCAGAGTGCTTAACAGTGGAGGAGCCTGACTTTGAGCCGTGGGGGTTGGGGGTAGGTGGCTGTAAGCACGGTTGAAGAGGAAGGTTTTCAGAAGGGACTTGAAAAATGTGAGAGAGGGGGCAAGGTAGAGGGTTTGAGGGAGAGTGTTCCAAAGTTTTGGAACTGTGTCATCAGTCTTCTGTAATGAGTATGTAGTATTGAGAATGAAGAAGAAGAATTTATCTGTTAGGTTATTTTCATTCTCCAAATGGTCACACAAAGATCCCACCCAATTATCCCCTCAGTCCCTTATGTGTAGGGATTCAGAGTGCCATTGCACCCCTTCTTTTGTCTGCCGATCTAAATTAACTAGAGATTTGAAATTAAAATGTCCAATTTATATTGTAACAGTAGAAATAGTAACATATATGATTTTAAGATGTGTAGCCTTTTAAAATGAGGTCACTTGCACACATTGGCCCCAGTGGGACTGACTTGATATATGCCCACCAGGCATAGATGTAATTTGAAAAACAAAAATAGATACCAGATAGGGAATCTGTCTTTCCTAATCTTTCTCAAGAACCTTTTGAACCTATTTGATGACCACAACATCACAGGCCACAGTACCTAATCTTTATTACCATTTTGTTTTTTGTGAAATATTCTAGAATGGTCTTATCATTGGCTGGCTGTTCCTTAGGCTGGCAGAACAAGCCTAATAGTGAAAAGAAAGCTGTGTCAATGTAACATGCTGATTGCTTGATCTTGCTGAATCTTATTCCTTTACGTGTCTTGTAAATAATGTTAGTGATTTTTTGGATTCAGATTAGCAATGCCACCTATGTGCTGATTTATACTGAATGGTGATCAGTAATGGAAGCCAGAAATTTATCAGCTATTATTAGCCTATTTGCAAGTACAAATTCAATTTAGCTTTTTAATTACTTCTCGAGTGTGTAATTTTGCCCATGCGCATTAAAAAGGGCATGTTGTATATTTGAAAGCCTAATTGTACTTATCTTAATGTGCATAATTTTTTGTAAATAAGAATTTGCCTGATATCCATGTTTTAAAAGCTTTGAAGTTTCCTATATGTGATACATTATGAGATGTTCTGTTAACTGGAATGGTCTTAATGATAAATTCACTGGATTAAGTAGATGCAGTGATGGAAAGTAGATTAAATGTTGTTCGTTTAACATATTTTGATTGTAGCAGATATTTAATGTGCCACAAGCAGATTAATCTTACAATTTGGTTTGTGCAATTGGTTTGTGCACCTTCAAAAAGAATGTATTGATTTTTTTTAACTGAATTTCAAGCCCATTTCTTTTATTCATTGGGAATTGAAGATGACATATGGATATGCCATCTTTAATAGAAACATTTTCATTATTATTCAAGATTGTGCTATACCAGCACAGCATTGCACAAATGTTTTACCGTCAAGAGTATACATGAATAGCCACCATTATTATTGATTTTCATGTCAATATGCCACTCAATTTTATCCTAAGATCTACTGATATGTTTTGTCCACAAAATGTAGTCAATTCACTTTACAGTGTGTTCTATGCACCACTTTGAGGGGTCTCAACGACATGATAAGGCGCTATATCAAATGCAAAGATTATTATATTATTTTTTATTTTTACTGATACCCTTAGGGGGAGAGGTACTATTAAGCCACAGATACCAAAATGTCAATTTCAGTCTGTGCTGGAAACACTGCCTTCAGTGATAGTTCAAGTGCATAACAAACCTCTGAATTTGAAATTTATTTTCTTTCACTACGTGCCCTATTTCAGATTCTCTGATTCTTTGGATAGTTATTGTGCTTGCCCCTGTGACACTGAATTTGTGTACTTTATCGATCAGGAAAACCACTGAATAACTGTTACTTCGCCTCAACAGGTATATTATCCGGTTTGCCGTCAAAAATCACTGTAATCGAACTGGCCAATAACAATTTTCATCAAGTTCCAAAAGCAGTTCTACAGCTTCAACAGTATGTACTATATTTTTCCATTCCAATTTGTTTTGCCTATTGTTCATCAAAAAGGAAATTGAATTCCTTTCTATTTTTATCAACTCAGTGGCATTACCAAGCACTCCCAGGTCAGATATAGCTGTATGTATGACAGATGTAGAGATAGGATTGATTCATTGTGATTTTTGTGTTTAATTGACACAACATACAGTATAAACCAGATTTCTGTGACATTAGTTTCCTGATTTGCACAATTCCAACACCATTTGCATAATGAATAAAGCTGATTTGTTATTACAGCTGGTTTCCAAAGAACTTTTAGACCTTAAAAGCTCTCCGCAGTTCATTGGACAACCTGAAGCTTTAACTCGTCAGATGACCCTTGATAATATTAACAATGAGCCAAGGTTCAGCAATGATTTGAAGAACTGTTTTCATAGTTCTGGCATGAATGGTTTTAGTAATCTTTTCAGTTAGAAGTAGACCATGTAACAAACCTTATAGCAGGCCGTCTCAAACTTTGTCACAGTGAACTTCCCTAAACCAAGAAAAAAAACAATTGCACCTCCTCACAGTTCACCAAGACAACACAAAGATCCCTAAATCCCATAACTCGGCAGTACTGAACTGGGGTCCCTGTTGTACAAATTATTTCTAATCCGGGGTTGCAGTGTGGAAAGGTAGAGATGGGGTTTGGCTATGGGGCCTGGCCTGTCAGGGGAGGGCCTCCCTTGGGGCTAGTGGCCAGCACTGCAAAACCTTGACCTGTTGGGAAGCACGCAACTAATCCTTCCCCTGGGGTCCACCCACACCCCCACAGTTTGAGAATCTCTGCCATAGAGAAAGCAAGCAAGTAATGAATGCTGCAGAATGCCCTCCCCAATTATGAATGTGGTGAGTTTTTGTTTTCTTCAGTCCTTGTTTGGTTAACCTAAGTTTCACCAACCAAGTTTATTTTTATTTTCCCTTACCCCCAAACCTGGTACAATAGTAAAATTCTATCTGGCCGTGTAGCTCCAGAGAACTTTAGGCTACTTAGATGCTTTATATGGTTTCAACTCAGTCACTATACCACATATTGATGTGATTTGTGCAGTGATTCAGTATGAGCAGCACAGTTAAATTGGAGTTGATCTAAAAGTAAATTGTGTTGCAGATTGATGCAACCAATATAAAGGTGGATTCAAATAGATTATAATAGTCTTGTCCTGTCCTACTGCACTTGTCAGTTGTATCCCTACGGGACAAAATGCAATAAGAATTACATAGAACATTTACAGGACATAAACATGCCATTTCGCTAAACTAGCCTGTGAAAGTATTTTATATTCTAACCTCTTCTAATCCCTTTTCCAACGCGCCACTACTACATCTCCCTCATGCATGCATCAAGTTTCCTCTTAAATACAGTACATTGATGATTTCTGTTTCAACCACAGCTTCTAGCATTGAGTTCCACATTCTGAACACCTCTTCGAAAAGAAGTTCCTCCTAAACTTATTAAATCTGATACTGGTCATTTTCACAGGATGAGCAAAAAGTCGTGGTACCATTACAATGTCGAATAAGTTTTAAAGAACTGATGATATACGCTTTAGATAATAGGGTAGTTATCACAACTTTTTGGTCACCCTGTATTTATGCCTGCTCATTTTGGACTTACAACAACAAGATTGCATTTACAGAGCGCCTTTCACGTCTGGAGGACATCCCAAGGCGCTGGACAGTTCGGTCGGGACCCGAGCAGGGGGGAAATGATCAGGGTGAGGGGAGGGAAGGGAGGGAGCGAAGAGGGGGTAGAGAGTTGAGAGAAGGGGTGAAGGCACGTTTGAAGAGAAAGGTCTTGAGACCGGCCTTGAAGGAGGAAAGGGAGGAGGTGGCTAAGGCACAGTGGGATGGAATTCCAGAGCCTAGGGGCTGAGAGGCTGAAAGCCCAGCCACCGATGGTAGGGCGGTTGGGGCGGGGGATGTGGAGCAGACCGGAGCCAGAGGAACGGAGGGTAAAGGCTGGTAAGTAGGGAGATAGTAGGTCAGAGAGGTAGGAGGGAGCAAGGCCGTGAATGGCCTTGTAGGTTAGGATGATGATCTTGAATTCGATCCTCTGGGGGATGGGGAGCCAGTAGAGGCGAGCGAGGGTGGGAGTGATGTGGTTGCGAAGCCTGGTGCGGGACAGTACACGAGCGCAGAGTTCTGAATGACCTGCAGCTTGTGAAGGGAGGTGCCGGGAAGGCCGGCGAGGAGAGAGTTCCCGTAGTCCAGCCTTGAGGTGATAAAGGCATGGACCAGTGTTTCAGCAGCGTGAGGGGTGAGGTAGTGCCATATTCTGGCGATGTTCCGGAGGTAGTGGAAGGCGTACCAGTTATGGCGCGGATGTGGGGAAGAAAGGACAGCTCAGGGTCGAACAGAACACCGAGGTTCCTGAGTGGCTTTGAGAGGTGGAGAGTGCAGCCTTGGATGCTGATGCTGTCAGCGCCTGAGGTACGGAGGCGCTTACGCGAGTCAATCAGGAGGGCCTCAGTTTTGCGCACGTTGAGCTGAAGAAAGTTGTCTCTCGCCCAGGACTCAATGTCGGACAGGCAGCTGTCAGGATGGGTGGTCATGGAGTTGAGGGTAGAGGAGGAAAGGTAGAGTTGGGTGTCATCCGCATACATGTGGAAGTTAACCCCATGTCTGCGGATGATGTCACCAAGGGGGAGCGTATAGAGGGTGAAGAGGAGGGGACCGAAGACAGAGCCCTGAGGGACACCGCACGCGACAGTGCGGGGGCCGGAGGAAAAGCCATTTGTGGAAACAAAATGAAGACGGTGGGAGAGGTACGACCTAAACCACTCAAGGACAGGGCCTTGAAGGTTGAGGTGGGAGGACAAGCGGTGGAGGAGGATAAAGTGGTCGACCGTATCGAATGCGGCCGATAGGTCGAGGAGGACGAGGAGGCAGAGGAAGCCATGGTCGCAGATGGTCAAGATGTCATTGGTGACCTTGACCAGGGCAATTTCCGTGCTAGGAACAAATTAACAGGATGCCATTCAGCCCATCAAGCCCGTTCTACTGTTTTTTAGATTATAGCACATTTCTGCCTTTTTTGTTAAATGCCGTGTTTTTGCGCTTTTCCAATTAGGCAAAACATAATAAGTAATGTTTAAAATTTCTAAATTACACAGCCATAACCTATTTTGTAAGGGCATAGACCATTTTGAAAAGATTCTGTAATCCAGAAATTTCTAGAGAAACTCCATAAGAACTCCCGTCAATGTCGCGGTTGCCTCCTGCCCAATCTCAGCCTGGGCTGAGTACAAAGGCAGCCATTATGCATTTCCACTGTGTTCAGAAGTCTGAAAGCCACAAAGCAGAAAGTGAAGAACTGCACATTGTTCAAATACCTATTTTTTAAACAATTTTAATGCTTTAAGACCTGCTTTAATATTGCAGCCTGGAAAATTAGATTCTTTAAATGTAGCCATGGTCTAAACCCTTCTTAGCTTTCAGGCCTGACTTAGTAATTTAGTTGAACTGCTTAGACTGTTGGGGCCTCTTATTACTTGGTTTATCCCTGATACATTTGCCAGTGATGACCCAAGTCATTGATTTGTTTCGCTGTTGACTTCCTGATCATTGTGACAAAACGTCCATCCTGAACAACTTCAGCAAGAGGCGAGCAGTGCCTACACACTGCAACTTACTGTTGCTCCTTGTGTGCAGAGCATACACCTGCTGAACTCACACACCCGACAAAGTGGATGCCATGTTTTATGATATGAAATATGGAGACGATGGAAAACCGATTTCTAGATCTTTGACTGTGTGATCATGATAATATCTGACAAAAGACAATCATTTGAAATGTTGTCTGTTTCGCTCTCCAGCTTAAGGAGCATTAACCTAAGTCACAATAAAATATCAGAGCTTCCCAGGCCTGTACTTTGGGCATCTTCCAACATAAGGGAGCTCATATTCAGTCACAACCAAATCAGGGTTCTGGATCTCAGTGAAGGAATGAACAAATGGTCAAGACTAGGAAAACTCGATCTTAGCAACAACAACTTAAAGGAGGTAAAACCTTTCATTGTTTAGTTATATCACATACAAGTAACTAATGCCACATCTGTGCCATGACCTGCTCTGTTTTCCCCCACCTTCGCAACATCCCCTGGCTCCACCAATACCTTACCTCACAGGCCGCCGAAACCCTCATCCGTGCATTTATCACGTCTGGGCTCAACTACGCCAACTCCCTGCTTGTCTGCTTTCCCAACTCTTTCCTCCAAACTGCAGATCATCCAGAATTCTGCAGCTCGTATCCTCTCCTACACCAGACTCTGTGACCCCATCGCCCTCACCTGGCTCCCCATCCCCCAGAGGATAGAGTTCAAAATCCTAGTCCTTGCCTTCAAGGCCCTCCACAATCTTGCTCCTTTAAGGCACATCTCAAAACCTTTCTCTTCGACCGTGCCTTTAGCCACCCTCCTACTCTACTTACCCTCCATCTTCCCTGATTTCAACCCCCCCCCTCCCGCCCTCCCCCCCACTCGGGTCCAAATCCTGCTCAGCGTCTTGGGATGTCCTCGTGACATGAAAGGCACAATACAAATGTCATTTTGTATTGTACTTGTGGCCTCTTATTTTGAACATTGATGGAAATGAGAAAAGATAAGAATACTAATAGCTAAATGTTCCAGATACTATTGCAACCATTTAGAATTTGTATTGTTTTGTTATAACTTTGCTAAATGTAGGCCTTTGAAGTATTTTGTTTCTCATTAAATAATGTTTTCTTGAACTATTATTTTTCTTTAAATCTTGCTTTAGCTACCCCTGCAGATTGGTCTGCTAGGAAACTTAACCTCCTTGCTCTTGAGTTACAATTCTGACTTGAGATCCTTCCCAAATGAGATGGGAAAGCTGCACAAATTATGGGAGCTTGAAATGCAAGGGCTGGACTTGGATTTGGATTTAAAACATGTGGGCAGCAAAACCAAAGATATTATAAGGTAGTAAACTTTTTTCTTTTAAATATTGACAAATGTTCTGATGTGTCTTGGAACAGAACAGCTTGTGCTATTATATTGGTGTTTACGACTGTGTAAATGTGTTGACTAATATGGATGTTAAAAAAGCTTGTATGTGTCTAAAGCATGCATTTTTGTCCTGAAGGCTGTGTATGAATCAATTAGGGTTAGTTTGTGTACAGAGGAGAACAGAGACTACGCATCACCAGGAGCAGATTGATGTGCCTGATATTTGGATTTAAGACTTGGTTAAAGTTGGCTTCCAGTCAAATGTAGATGATCAAAAATAACAAATGGTGTATCAGTTATGAACCATTTGATAAAACTAAGAAAGTGAAATGTTTAGTTTGTGTAAACTTGACACTTTAACAATTGTTCCAACCTTTCTATTGCTGTTGACTTGAAAACTAATTTAATGACTTTCATTAGGAGAAAGTGATGTATTCTACATTGTGTGATTGACTAGAAGACTAAATGATTGTGACTGAAATGGTATAAATCCTCCAGAAATGAAAGATACTTTATAAAGATGTGCGAAGGTGCTATATAAATTAAATTGTGTAGCTATTTAGTGAATACTTTTCAGGCTTGTAATTATGAAGAAGTTCAGACATAAATTCAAATGATGCTGCTCCTTATGCGCTAAAGCATAGAATTTTCATTACGATTTTTTAAATGTAATTTTAATTTTTCATCAGAATTTACCAATGTAATTAGCTTCAATGCAGCATAATTCAGATACTTATCAAGCTGAGAAGAAACCTGGAAAGCTTTAACAGCCTTTAATGTTATGTTCAAGACCGTATTTTATCCCCTTATTTTGCATAAGATTTTTACACCAACGTCTGAAAAAAGCAGTTCCTTACTACCGAATGAAGTTGATGATAGTGGGAAATGTTGGAAGTGGTAAAACAACGTTGCTTCGGCACCTAATGAAATTAAAGCGATCTGAAACTGGACCAGAAAAACCCACTATTGGCATTGATGTAAAGGAGTGGGTATTTCAAGTTAAAGAAAAAAAAGGAAAGAGAAAAGAGTACGTGTTGAATGTCTGGGATTTTGCAGGTATGTGTCTGCTATTTGTTTTCCTGTTGCTGGTGACTATTTTTTAGTTCTCTCTGCTTTATCTTGAAAAACAACAATAAAATTACATTTGTATTGTGCCTTTCACATTGGGAGGACATCCTCAGGCGCTGGACAGTCAGTGTTTTGGACCTGAGCTGGGGGTCCGTATCGGGGAGGGTGGAGGGCATGGGGGGGGAGGAGGGTCTTCAGACAGGTCTTGAAGAAGGCAAGGGAGAGGGCGAGGCAGAGTGACTGGGATGGAAGGTGAAGGAGGGCTTTGAAGGGGAGGACCAGGATCCTGAACTGTATCCTCTGTGTGATGGGAGGCCAGTGAAGTTGGGAGAAGATGGGGGAGATAGGGTTGCAGAGCCTGGTGTGGGAGAGGACACGGGTTGCAGAGTTCTGGATAATCTGCAGGCTATGGAGGGAGGAGTGGGGGAGGTCAACAAGCAGGAAGGTTGTGTAGTCGACCCTGGATCTTATGAATGCATGTTGAGGGTCTTGGCGGCCTGCAGTGTGAGATATTGGCTGAGTTGAGCGATCTTGCGGAGGTGGGGGAATGCAGAGCGGGACATGGATGTGGGTTAGAAAGGATAGTTGAGGGTCATACAAGATGCCAAGGTTCTGGACTGACTTAGAAAGGTGGTGTGTGCATCCTTGAATGATGATTCTGTCAGTGGCTGAGGTGTGAAGGCACTGATGGGAGTCAATCAAGAGGGCCTTGACGTCTGACAGACATTCTGTCAGGACAGCAGTGGTTCTGGAGTCAAAGGTGGAGGCAGAGAGGTAGAGATAGGTGTCATCCGCATACATGTGGAAATTGACCCCATGTCTGCGGATGATGTCACCAAGAGGGGGCATATAGATATTGAAAAGGAGGGGACCAAGGACAGAGCTCTGAGGAACACCGCACAAGACTAAAAAGTCAATCCATTAGGTATAATCAACCCTTTTGTGGATACTGCTGTAATAATCTCATCAATTTGAAACGTTCTGTTTGATATGGGAGACATAGCATGCAAATTTATAGGTCAGCAGGAAGGAATGTGAATCTATTTGCGGAGTTCACCAATTGGGAGGTAAAAGGGCAGAAGTAGCTGTACCTTCAGGCAGCAAGTGGTCTTAGAAAGCTACACCTGATAGATATAAGAACATAAGAACATAAGAATTAGGAGCAGGAATAGGCCATTTGGCCCCTCGAGCCTGCCACACCATTTGGTAAGATCATGGCTGATCTTCAGACCTAATTCCATAAATTCACTACCCTCTGCATGAAGAAATGTTTCCTCAACTCTGTTCTAAAAGGCAGACCCTTAATTTTAAGACTGTGACCCTAGTTATAGATTCTCCTATCAGGGGAAACAGACCCTCAGTGTCTACTTTATCCAGCTCTTTAAGAATCTTATGTTTCAATAAGATCTCCCCTAATTCTTCTGTACCCTAGAGAATATAGCCCTAGTTTATTCAGCCTATCCTCATAGGTCAGTCCCCTCATCCCAGGAACTAACCGAGTGAATCTATGCTGCACCCCCTCTAGGGCAAGTATGTCCTTTTTTAAATAAGGAGACCAAAACTGCACACAATACTCTAGTTGCAGTCTCACCAAGGCCCTATACAGTTGCAGCAAGACTTCCCTACTCTTGTACTCTAAGCCTTTTGCAATGAACGCTAACATGCTGTTCGCCTTCTTAGTTGCTTGCTGCACCTGCAAACTAACTTTTTGAGGCTGGTGTACAAGGACACCCAAATCCCTCTGCACACTAACACTATCTAATCTCTCCCCCTCTAGAAAATAATCTGTTTTTCTATTTTTTCTACCTAGGTGAATAACTTCACACTTCCCCACATTAAATTCCATCTGCCACCTACTCGCCCACTCCCCTAGCCTATCTATATCCCGTTGCAATCTTTTTGCATCATCCTCAGAGCTTACTCTCCCACCTAGTTTAGTGTCATCCGCGAATTTAGATACGTTGCATTCAATGTCCTCGTCTAGATCATTGATGTAAATTGTAAATAGCTGAGGCCCAAGCACTGATCCTTGTGGCACTCGACTAGTCACATCCTGCCAATTCGAGAATGACCCGTTTATCCCTACTCTCTGTTTTCTACCCGTTAGCCACTCTTCAATCCATGCTAATATGTTCCCATTAATCCCGTGGGCCTTAACCTTGTGCAATAGCCTTTTGTGTGGCACTTTGTCAAATGTCTTTTTAAAATCTAATTATACTACATCTACTGGTTCCCCCCATCTAACCTGCTAGATACATCTTCAAAAACTCTAAAAGATTAGTTAAGCATGACTTCCCTTTTGTAAAGTCATGTTGACTCTGCCTAATCTTGTTATGGTCTTCCAGGAATCCCATAATGACATCTTTAATTAAGGACTCAAGAATTTTCCCTACCACTGATGTCAGACTAACTGGTCTATAATTCCCCATCTTTTCTCTCCCACCCTTCTTAAATAGTAGTGTTACGTTTGCAATCTTTCAATCAATGGGAACCATTCCAGAATCCAGAGAATTTTGGAAGATCAAAGACAAGTCATCCACTATCTCAGTAACCACCTCTTTTAAAACTTTAGGATGTAGACCATCAGGTCCAGGAGATTTATCAGTTTTAAGACCTGACAATTTACCTAAAACCTTTTCTTTACTAATATTAATTCCTCCAAGTTGCTTGCTAACATTTTCTTCTTGGTTCCCCTCTATTCTTGGTAGGTTTTCAGTGTCTTCTAAGGTGAAGACAGTAGCAAAGTATAATTCCCCCCATTTCTGCCTGTAGTGGACCCACATTTACCTTTGAAAGCCTCTTCCTCTTTATATATTTATAAAAGCTCTTACAGTCTGTCTTTATGTTCTTCGCTAGTTTACCCTCATATTCCATTTTCTCCCTCTTAAACACTTTTTGGGTTCTCCTTTGTTGATCCCTAAAGTTCTCCCAATCCTCGGGTTTACTACTCATCTTAGCTGTTTTATAAGCTTCTTCCTTTAACTTTATACTTTCTCTAACTGCTCTAGTTAGCCACGGTTGGGCCACCTTTCCCGTGGCATTCTTATTCCTCAAAGGAATACGTGCTCGCTGGGAATTTTGCACTATCTCCTTTGTCTGCCATTAATGGTCTACTGTCAAATCCTTAAGTCTAATTTCCCAGTTTATTTTGGCTAAATCCTCTCTCATACCAGCAAAATTGGCTCTACTTAAATTTTAAACCTTTGCTTCGGACTTAGCTACTTCTCTCTCTAACTTAATGCTCAATTCCATCATATTATCATATATCACTTTGCCCTAGAGGAGCCTTAATTTCCAGTTTGCTGATCAGCCCTGCTTCATTGCACAAAACAAGGTCTAATATGGCCTGTTCCCTGGTTGGCTCCTCGGCAAACTGATCGAGATAATTATCCCTAATACATTCTATAAACTCTTCCTCTATCATATTTTTCCCAATTTGGTTGTCCCAATCTATGTGCAGATTAAAATCACCCACAATTAATGTTTTTCCTTTACTGCATGCTCTGCTAATTTCCTGATTTATACCTTGAGAGATACTGTGACTGCTGCTCGGGGGTCTATAAACTACTCCCACTAGAGTTTTCTGCCCCTTGTTGTTACGTACTTCTACCCATACTGACTCTACTTCCTGCTTTTCTGATTTAAAATGTTTCCTCTCTACTGTTTTTATCCCATCCTTTATTAGCAGGGCCACCCCCCCCCCTCCTCGTTTACCACGTTGCCTGTCTTTCCTATACATCACGTACCCTGGAATATTTAGCTCCCGCCCTTGATTTCCCTGTAACCATGTCTCGGTGATGGCTAACAGATCATACCTGTTTATTTGTATTTGGGCATTTAACTCATCTATCTTGTTTCGAATGCTTTGTGCATTCAGATATACAACAACAACAACAAGATTCCATTTATAGAGCGCCTTTCATGTCGGGAGGACGTCCCAAGGCGCTGTACAGTTGGGTCAGGACCCGAGCAGGCGGGAAATGGTCAGGGTGAGGGAAGGGAGTGAGCGATGAGGGGGTAGAGAGTCGAGAGGGGAGCTGAAGGCACGGTAATTCTGACTTCGGGCTATTAGTCCTATTCACCAGTACCCTATCCCTGGGCTTCCTTTCCCCACTTGACACCCTTTGCTTATCTCCCTGGTTAATCTGCTCTCCCACTTTCATCGGTCTTAATTTTTATTGTAATGGATTACATGTGATTGAATTTCCCCCTCCCCCCCTCAGTAGTTTAAAGCCCTGTCTACTTCCCTATTTATTCGTGTTGCCAGGACATTTGTTGCAGCCCTGTTTAGGTGGAGTCCATTTCTTTGGAATAGCTCCTGTCTCCCCCAATACTGGTGCCAGTGGCCTATAAAGTGAAACCCCTGCCCTCCGCACCATTCTTTTAGCCAGGTATTCAGTTCTTTAATTTTTTTTTGCCTGTACCAATTTGCTCCTGGCTCAGGTAATAATCCCGATATTAATACCTTCGAAGTTCTTCTCTTTAGCTTAACTCCCAATTCCCGGAACTTGCTCCTCAACTCGTCCCTACCTGTCCTACCTACATCATTGGTCCCTATGTGAATCATAACTATTGGATCCACTCCCTCCTGCTTCAAATTTTTCTCCAGCCCAGAAGTGATGTCCTTCACCCTGGCCCCAGGAAGGCAACAGAGTCTTTCTGTCTCCTTGCTACGGCTGCAGAAAACTGTATCAGTCTTCCTGACTGTCTCATCCCCAATTACCACTATATTCTTTCTGACTATTCCCAGTGTAGCCTCCTGTATAGAGGTGTTGGGGTAAGTTTGTCCATCTTTCTCACAGACTTCCTTGTCCACAGAGGTTGCAAGTATTTCATACCTGTTGGACAAGGTTAAAGCCTGGGGTTCCTCTGCCCCTCTTTTTCGGGTCCCCTTACGCGCCTGTCTGACCGTCACCCTGTCCTGTCCATAGCTGGCAACGGAATGTTCCCTGGGACTCGTGGGAGTGTCTGGCTCCAGGATGAAACTGTCCAGGAAGCTCTCCCCATCTCTAATGCTGCGCAGTGTCTCCACCTGAGACTCCAGCTCAGCTATTCTAAGCTGGAGCTTCCTCAGTTGCAGACATTTGCTGCAGATGAAGTCGCCCGGGCTCAGGTTGCTCTCCGTCAACTCCCACATACCACATTCCTCACACATCACCCTCCAGGTCATTTTCTCCTCTCACTCTATTTATCCCTGTATTATTGTCATTTGGAAGATATACTTCCCCCTCTGCACCTAATTCCCACTCTCACCCAATTCCTTCTCATTCTGGCCTCGCCTCACTCCGGACGTAGCTCACTCTGGGCTCTCTACTCATCTATCCTTAACAAGCTTCGTATTCACGAAACTCTGATCTATTAAGACACGAGCCTAGTGGAATAACTTTTATGTTAATTAGCTCCAGAGAGTCAATTGCAAATTGAGCTAAATTCAGTGCAATGATTGTAAGGTTGGTTGCAGTTCCATATTGGTGCCACCAAGAGGCAGTAAAACCTTATACTGAAACTGAAGTTGCATCAAATCAAATTTTTTTTCAAGTTTGTGGAAACCTTTTTCTTTTTCAGAAAGTTGTTTGTAGAAGTGGGATAAAAATACAAAGAAAGGCTATGCATTAGTGACATTAACCTTTCACAGTTATTACAACAACAACAACTTGTATTTATATCACACCCCTCATGCAGGGTAGCATCCTAGAGTGCTTAACTGAGGTGGGGCACAACGCCGAGCCAGGGGGAGGGGGAGTTGACCATAGGCAAGGTCGAAGAGGAAGGTCTTCAGGTGCGACCTGAAGACCTGAAGATAGGGAAGGAAGAGGCAAGACGGAGGGATAGAGGAAGAGTGTTCTAAAGTTTCGGGGCGTAGTGGTTGAAAACCACCAATGGTGGAATGGAGGCCACAAGGGACATGAATGGAGCTAGACGAGCAGAGACAGTGTGTAGTGGGTTAGGGGGTAAGCAGATCTGAGAAGTACGGATGTGCCAGGGCATGAAGAGATTTGAAAATGAGTCAGAGAATCTTGAAATTCATCCATTGGGCGATAAGGAGCCAGCGGATCCTGGCTAGAACTAGCATGATGGGGGTATGGAGTTTAGCATGGGTGAATTATGTGGGCGGCGGAGTTTGGGATTAGCTGGATCCTGTGCACTGGCGAAGAGGGCTTTTGAAAAGTTGAGTCGTGAGGTGAAGAACGCATGGAGTGTTTTGGCTGTGTCTGGGGTAAGGCACAATGACACGATGGAGTTTTCCAGGACATACTTGCATTGTGAACTGTGTTGTCTTGTTGAAAGATTAGTGGACAATAGATATCAATTACGAAACAAAAGCAGAAGTCGCTGGAAGTACAGAATGTTATCGTTAAAATAGTATTATTTCGCCCACAAATATACAGTTAATTCACTTTACAGCCTATTCTGCGAAGCGCTTTGAGACATCGAGAAGACGTGAAAAGCGCTATATCAAATGCAAGGATTATTCTTTATTATTATCATTATAAATATTAATCTTTTCATTACACCTTAAAAATGATAAATAATGTTTGAAGGCTTAACAAAAAGATTGTTATTTTAGCATTTGGATGAAGACAGCTCACAGTGTCTCCTTGTATCTACTGCATATTTTTCAATTTAGATTGCAATCTGATAAACTGGAATTATCACTTACATGCCACTGTAAATGATAATTCCAGGTTATCAGATTTTCAATATTTTGCTTTTACATCAGTAACCATGAATACAGTAATATGTTTTCACACTTCTTCCTTGAACATTTTTGCTGCATCAGTAATTGAGAACAAAAAAGAGCACTGAAGCCTTAAACCAGAGTGCAGTTCTGCTGCAGCTTGGTGTCGCCAATAGTGAAGGGCATGTACTTGTTATAATAATCCTTATATTTGATCTAGTGCCTAAATTCTACGTCTCCAAGTGTTTCATGAGCAATTCCGTTGATTAATAATATTTGTGCATTTTGTGGGAAACGGCAACCATTTTATGTGTACAGTCAACAAGACTGAAGCCCTCCTGACTGGCTCCAGTCAGTGCCTCCACACCTCAGGCACTGACAGCATCATCATTCCAAGGATACACACTCCACCTCACTGAGCCATTCTGGAACCGTGGCGTCTAGTTTGACCCTCAACTGTCCTTTCTACCCCACATCCGTGCCATGACCTACTGTGCCTTCCCCCACCCCGAAAACATCACCCGGCTCCACCACTGCCTCACCCCTCAGGCCACCAAAACCCTCATCCACGCATTCATCACATCTAGGCTCGACTATGCCAACTCCCCGCTTGTCAGCCTTCCCAACTCTTACCCCTACAAGCTGCAGATCATCCAGAACTCTGCAGCTTGTGTCCTCTTCTACACCAAGCTCCGTGACCCCATCATCCCCACCCTTGCCTGGATCCACTGGGTCCCCATCCCCCAAGAGGATAGAGTTGAAAATCTTCGTCCTCGCCTTTAAAGCCCTCCATGGCCTTGTGTCTCCTCTACCTCTGTGACCTGTTGACCTCATATCAACCTGTCTGCTCCCTCCGCTCAGCAGGCTCTGGCCTGCTCTATGTGCCTCGCCCGTCCCGCTCCATCATTGGCGGCCGAGCCTTCAGGCTCTCTGCACCCCCACATGGAACTCCATCCCACATTCCCTTCTCCTCCCTCCCTCCCTTGCCTCCTTCAAGGTGTGTCTCAAAACCCTCCTCTTCGACCGAGCTTTAACCACCCTCCTAGCCTCCCTGCTCTCCACCCTCCCTGATCCTGATCCTTAACTCGGGTCCAAACCCCTGTCTATCCAGCGCCTTGGGACGTCTTCCCGACGTGAAAAGTGCAATAAAATGTAATTTTATATTGTATTGTACAGCAAGAACTAATTATTACTGCTTCACTGAATTAGACATTTATAAAACCTTTATGCCTTCCAAAATAGTCTTTAGCCATTTGTTTTAGGACTTCAATACTTACAATGGAATAATATTTGTGCACTTAGAATATTCAATTTGTATGTTGTAAACGTATCACATTCACAAGGGATAGAATCGGTTGGACGAAGTTCATAATAGCCTTTGGTTGGTGGCGGGAGTAGATAGGCTAGTAACATTATCCCATTCAATAGGATTTCCTATGCTGAACTCATCAGACAGTCAAAATTCAGAGAGTACAGGCTCCTCTTCCTTAGCATGTGCAGTGGTCTACTTATATCCTTTCTTATTGCTGAATAACTACTGTTCCTGACAAGTCTTCACAAGCATCAACGTTGCTTTAAGTTACTATTTACCTCATATATTTTAACTATAACATTCTGTACTTTGTGCTGTAAAAAAATGACATATTGATATTTTAGTTGTGTAAATTGCTTCCATAAATGTGAATTATATTGGACCACCCTGACTTGAGTGATAGTGAGACACGTTAAACAAACCAGGGTCAAATTATCAAGAGTTTAGTGTATAAATATGTGTGGGAAAATTTGTTAATATGTTAATTTTCCCTCTAATTCGGAAACCGCTTCATTTAAGACCCTTAATTCTTTGCAATTTTCCCGTTTCTAGCTAAAATGACTTTGTAGTTGATCTATATATTTATATCAAAAATATGATTTGGTCACTCAATTGCCGACTGTTTGTGGGACACTGCTGTGCACAATTGGTTACCGGGTTTTGCTCACAAAACACACAGTTACTGCACTTTACAGTATATCTTGTGAAGCGCTTTGAGAAGTCTCAAAAGATGTGATAAGGCACTATACTAAATGCAAGGATTATTACTATTTATTAATTTTTAAGGAAATTGTTTCAAGAGGCACATTGGAAATACTATGAAGCTTTAATTTATCCCATTATTCTGCTCTAACCCCTGAAACTAATACTATCAATATCTGTATTACAAGTCTATCTATATCTGTATTTCTTTACCCATTTTATATTTTTTACTTGTTTATATTGTGCTTTTTTTGTACAAGGCCAAGAAGAATTTTACAGCACACATCCCCATTTTATGTCTCTACGAGCCTTGTACCTCGTTGTTTACGATCTTAACAAAGGAGCTAGTGAAATTGATGCTATCAAACCCTGGCTCTTCAATATAAAGGTAACATAAGATGGTTTATGAATTGAACAGTATTTATGCAATATGTGTTTATTGACTTTTTCTTCATTCAGTGCATGAAAAGGCTATGAATCAGATTACTTGGTTTCAGATTCTATATCTTTGCAGTAGTTATTCAACCCATGTGCATATGTATAAATAGGCACTTATAGCATGTGTACCTCTTTTCTTTTTCTGTAGTTGTTGGCCCAGTTGTTTAAATCGTATCAGAAAAAAATAGTTCTTTAAAATTCAACATGCATCTTAAATAATTCAGTATCTAGCTCGATTAGTGCTCTTGAATATATTTATATTTTTATCCCTTGTTGTTTAGTTTCAGTTGGTGTTGATAGTCTGAACTCTTGGTTTTGTGTTGAATTTTCAAGCAACACTTTTGCTTCATTCATGTATTTGAACTGTACAGCCTGGAATTTTTAGAAAGAGATTGTGAGTAATAAGATGATATGTTAATACTCTATGCTGAACCAGCAAAGTCTCAGTTCACTTTCCTTTTACAAGAACTCGATGTGAGAAAGAGAATTTACGAAATGATGCTCAGTCATTTGAACTTGTTGCCTCTTGGAAAGAATTGACTCCCAGGACATGGTGTACATTATTTCTGAAGGGAGTGGAAAATACTTCATGGGACTTGAAGCACCATATTAAACTTCTAGATGTTAGATTCAAGACTTCCGAATCAAGTCTTTTCTGCAGTGATGAAGGCTCAACTGATACTTCTATGATGGCAGTATCAGATAACGTTTTGTCATCTTCTAATTTCTCTACCACCAACTAATCAGGATATACTGTGAAGCGGAATGACAGTATTTTGTGGGCAAATGTGCAGCAAATTTTATGGACATAGATGCTCAAGTTAGATGCTGCAGTATTGTGAATTGCTGTTATTTTTATTTGTTGCTTAACAACAACACAACTTGCATTTATATAGTGCCCCTCTGGCAGGGTAGCATCCCAGACTTGACAGTGGCAGAGCATGATCCGAGCCAGGAGAAGTGGGGAGGTGACCGTAGGCACGGTTGAAGAGGAGGAGAAAAAAGAGGCAAGGTGGAGAGACAGAGCAAGAGAATCCAGAGTTTTTGGGCGTAGTGATTGAAAGTACGGACACTGATGGTAGAACGGAGAGCATGAGGGACATGCAGGAGCCTGAAGTCAGTTGAGCGTAGGCAGCGGGGAGCTAACAGGTGGGAGAGGTAGTGATGTGCTAGGGCATGGAGGGATTTGAAAACAAGTGCGAGGATTTTGAAATCGATCCATTTAGCAATAGGGAGCTAGTGGAGCCTGGCGAGAGCTGGTGTGATGGGGATATGGAGTTTAGTACTGGTGAATATGCAGGTGGCAGAGTTTTGGTTCAGCTGGACTTTGTGGATGGTGGAGCGGGGGGGACCGGCAAAGAGGGCATTTGAATAGTCGAGGCGGGAGGTGATGAACGCATGGACGATTGTTTCGGCTGTGTCTGGGGTAAGATACGGTCAGAGGTTGGCAATGCGGCGGAGGTGGAGGAAGGCATCCTTGGTCAGAGACTGAATGTGGGGAAGGAAGAACAGCTGTGGGTCTAACCTGATGCCTAAGTTGCGAATCTGAGGGAGAGGCTTAGCTGATGCAGTGTAATACTGTTTGTTATGCAAATTTCATCTGTGAGTTTGTTTTGTTTTTGTTGATAGGCCCGTGCACCATCTTGCCCTGTAATTCTTGTGGGTACTCACTTTGATGTGACTGATTTAAAACATCGAGATGACTGCATCATCAAAATTAACACTGAACTCCTTCAGCATCGGGATTTTCCACCTATCAGAGATTACCATTTTGTGGTCGCGACAGAAGAATCTGATTCTTTATCAAAACTCCGGAAAGCCATTATTTGTGCGATACAGACTTTCAAGGTACGAGTATACAAGAGGGAGGAGGGTATTAAGGGGTGAAGGCGCATGTGGTGTAAGAAATTCGGATAGAGTTGACCAATATGGTTATGTAATAATCCAAGGTTTATTAAGTAATACAAATAGTTTAACTTATTCTTAAAACTGATACCATAGATATCGTAGAATCGATATCGATTCCACTGGGAAGTGCGCTGACCTTCTACGACAACTCCAACTATTCCAAAGTTACATCTTTTATGTGTTTCTAACTCCATTTCCCCTTGTCACAGAGATAGCCCCCACCTTTGCAGGCTGCTAGCGATCCTAAGCTGGCTCTTTTCACATGGGAAAGTAACTGATAAAGAGAAAGATATTGACAGCTAATTGGAAACATCTCCCTGTTTCCTAGTCTTGAGATAAGCAGATGTACACAAGTGTGCTTTTCTGAGCCTCCTTGTTTTCACATCTGTGCTCAAGAACATAGAAACCTATAAGATCATCAAAGGGCATGATAGAGTAGATAGTGGGAGATTCTTTCCCCTGGTTGGAGAAACTAAAACCAGGCGTCACAACCTTAAAATCAGAGGCCAGCCCTTTCGCACTGAGTTGAGGAAGAACTTCTTCACTCAAAGGATGGTGAATGTATGGAACTCACTACCCCAAAGGGCTGTTGACGCTCAGTTCTTGAACATATTCAAGACTGAGATAGATAGATTTCTTATTGCAAAAGGGATTAAGGGATATGGGGATAAGGCAGGGTCAGGTTATTAGCTGGAGTTAGATTAGAAGATCAGCCATGATTGAATGGTGGGGCAGGCTCGAAGGGCCGAATGGCCTACTCCTGCTCCTACATGTTATATAACATGATTAATTAATTCTTAGATGGTAGGATAACATGGGACCCAGGCACCAAATGAGGGAAAGATATCAGAACCTGACCTCAGTTCGGGTCAAGCCAACGTATCTTTAACTTTCCAACGCTGATTGGCACATGTACCCTCTCAGTTATTCATTAAAAACACACCACCTTGTCCATGCCCCAATGACTAAGGAATGCCATAGTAAACAGATTATAAGTTTTTGGTTATATTTTAAAAGTATACTAATTAAAAAACCTTAAAAACAGTAAGCATCACAAATATAATCTTATAGTGGTGTATATAAATACTGTCACAGACTAATTGAATGAGTGACTAATTTTCCATGTTGTATCACTGTGTGTAAAGACTAACAACTGTGTGTTTTCATCTATATCAATCATTATAGATTTATGCATATAGGAAATAAAAATAGGAGGCATATGTAAATCATGGATGGAATAGAACTTGCCAAGGGTGAAACTGAAAGAGATCTGGTTAGATCTAATTAGTTGATTTGTCATTCATCATGTCATTCATCATGTCAAAACAGTGTAAGGCAGCAATAAAAGAACAAGGCCAATAGGATCCTGAGCTATATTGTAAATCAGTTGTGTTCAGATCCCCAGAAATTAACTTGTACAGTGGTCTGATCTGGCCATATCTAGAATACCTTAGACTGTGTAAAAAATTTGGTCACTCAATCCACAACTGATTGTGGGGCACTGCTGTGTGCAATTAGCTGCTGTGTTTCGTCCACAGAATATACAGTCAATTTACTTTACAGTGTATTCTGTGAAGCGCTTTGAGACATCTCAATGACGTGATCAGGCGCTGTATCAAATTCAAGGATTATTGATATTATTATCCAGGTACTGTTCTGATCACTGTGACATAAGAGCGTTTCCCAGGCCCTAGAGGCGGTGAAGAGAACAACAACTATGATCTGGGCCAATAGAAAAATGTGGAAATATTTGCCAAATATTGTGGGACATTTGATGAAGTTACAGAGAGATCTGATGCCTTTTGCGGAAAAAAGCGGAAGGCTGGTTGGTGCTATTGAGAGACGTATTTTGTGAAACAACCCAGATTAAAACTATAGACATATATTTCCTGAACATGTAGTTATATTTAAAATTACTAAAACTATTAATTTGAATAGTACAGCACTTACCAAGAATTGGTCGCAGGAGATCAGTTTAGGCTGCAGTGCCGGACGAAGCCGATTTCCCGCTCACACTGTTTCCGTGATCCCAACCCTCTCTGTGACCGGAACCGCTCGGCCCTCGTTAGCTGCGAAGAGCAAACAGCAAGAGAAGCCTAGGGCTGAGCACAGTGTGTACAGGTGTGTAGCGGGGCCGAGCACACTGTGTACAGGTGTGTAGTGGGGCCTTGCACACTGTGTACAGGTGTGCAGCGGGGCCGAGCACACTGTGTACAGGTGTGTAGCGGGGCCGAGCACACTGTACAGGTGTGTAGCGGGGCCTTGCACACTGTGTACAGGTGTGTAGCGGGGCCGAGCACACTGTGTACAGGTGTGTAGCGGGGCCGAGCACACTGTGTACAGGTGTGTAGCGGGGCCGAGCACACTGTGTACAGGTGTGTAGTGGGGCCTTGCACACTGTGTACAGGTGTGCAGCGGGGCCTTGCACACTGTACAGGTGTGTAGCGGGGCCTTGCACACTGTGTACAGGTGTGTAGCGGGCCTTGCACACTGTGTACAGGTGTGTAGCGGGGCCGAGCACACTGTGTACAGGTGTGTAGCGGGGCCGAGCACACTGTGTACAGGTGTGTAGCGGGGCCTTGCACACTGTGTACAGGTGTGTAGCGGGGCCGAGCACACTGTGTACAGGTTTGTAGCGGGGCCGAGCACACTGTGTACAGGTGTGTAGCGGGGCTGAGCACACTGTGTACATGTGTGTAGCGGGGCCGAGCACACTGTTTACAGGTGTATAGCGGGGCCGAGCACATTCTGTACAGGTGTGTATAGCGGGGCCGAGCACACTGTGTACAGGTATGTAGTGGGGCCGAGCACACTGTGTACAGGTGTGTAGTGGGGCTGAGCACATGGCCTAAAAAGTGTGGTGCACTTTTCTACTACCACAGATTATGATTATTCAAGTTAGAGCTCTTCAGTCTTGAAAAGGATCTTCTCTGATGGGACCTTATGAGGTATTTAAAATTTGAAAGAGAGCAAACCCAGAACAATATGTTTGAATACACAAAGACAGCAGTATAGGAGGACACATATTCAGGGTTGCAAAGAACAATTTCCGAATGGACAGGAAGTATTTATTTATCCATGGGGTAATTATTAATTGGAACAGATACTGAGGCAATTTAAGAGAAAGCGTAATGCTGTATAATAAGGATGGTATCACACCAAGTATACAGTTCCAGATCCTGGTCCTCACCTTCAAAGCCCTTCATGGTCTCGCTTCCCCCCTACCTCTGTGACCTCCTAAGCCCCTACCATCCTGCTCGCTCTCTCTGCTCAGCGGCCTCCGGCCTGCTTCATGTCCCCTGCCTCGCTCGCCCCACTATTGGCGGGCTGGCCTTCTGCCACTCTGCCCCCACTCTCTGGAACTCCATCCTGCAGTCACTCTGCCTCACCCCCTCCCTTGCCACCTTCAAGAGCCATCTCAAGGCCCTCCTCTTCAACTGTGCTTTCGATATCCCTGCTTCCCCCCCTGCCTACCCTCCCCGACCCCGTCACCCAGCTCAGGTCCGTAACTCTGTCTGTCCAGCTCTTTGGGACGTCCTCCCAACGTGAAAGGCGCTTTACAAATGTAATTTTGTTGCTGTTGTTGTATGTTTGGTGGCAAATTGTGAAAGGATAAGATGAAATGTACAATAAGGCCTTTTTCATCCAAATCTTTTTTGTAATCTTATGAAAACAATTTTCTTCAGTAAATTTTAGTGCAATTGATTTTGATCTCACTATTTTGGACTTAATCTGTTTCTGCGTGTTTGCATTTATGTTCCAAAAACTGTTCTTGCATATACAGTTTGACCTCTTGACATTCTTGCAAGGAACCTGCTCTGCATCACAAAAATATGTTTGTCTAGGGTTAGATATATTTGTTTTCTTTGTACCAAAATAGAAGTCGCTGGGAACATTCAGGAGGTCAGGCAGCGTCTATGGAGAAAGGAAAATAAGTCAACGTTTCGGGTCCACGACCCTTCATCAGAACTGGGGCATGTTGGGAGGGAGAGGCTTTTAAAGGCTAAAGAGAGTGGGGAGGCAGGACAAGGAAGACAAAGGAGAAAATGGGATAGAGGACAGGGGACGATGGGTTAAAGAGGTGCTCATGATGCAAAACAAAGAGGGGGATTGCAACAATACAGGGGAATAGAGGTGTTAATAATGCAAAGCAAAGGTGTGTGTATGGGGGGTGGGGGAGGGGGAGAAATTGCAACAAAATAGGTAGACCAGAAAGAGACAAAGTCTGCCTGTGATCCAGATGATATGCTAATGGTCACAGAAGAGGGGGAGGGGGAAGGTGAGCTGTTATGGTCTGAATTTGTTGAAATCAATATTGAGCCCAGAGTGCTGTAAGATCCCTAGTAGATAGATGTTGTATATTTCTTATTAATTTGTTGTATATTTCTGATACTAATCTTCTGTACTAGTGAAACCTTGATTAAAAAAAAATCAATCTGTTCAAGCGGTCTCGATTGCACAATTAACTGCAAGAATGAAGAAGGACCAGTAAGTGAGAAGGAAAGGGAGGTGAATACCATGATAACAAACCCGTTTGGGCAGTCTTCTCAAAGGGTTCAAGGCAGAGTTTATAATAATCTCAAAGTGCTTCAAAGTAATTTACAGTAAAGTGAATTCTCTGGAATTAATAGACAAATGGCTGTAGGCTTAGAAGTAATTTGAAACGTGCACGTGGGCGGGACTGACTCATGTTTCTGCGTGTGTAGTTTGAAAGGAAATTGGCAGGAAATCTTAAAGAAATTGTTTGGTGCGAATAACTTCTACAGTTAGGGAAGGCATAAAATTAATAAGAAACACACGAAAATATGCATCCGTCTCTCACTTGATAATATACAAATTTACTGACTCCACTGTGTAGTAAGAATTTATTTTGCTGCACAACCATTGTAATTTCCCCCAAAACAATCTTCAGTTTTTAAACAATCACAATGTTTTTGCAGATCAGAGACCAGCCAGTAATGGGTCAGCTGATTCCCCACAGTTATATGGAGCTGGAAAAGAGGATTGTTCAAGAACGAAGGGTGGTTCTATCAGAATTCCCAGTGATCCATCACCAGCGATTGTTGGAAATTGTTCAGGAGAACCAACTGCAGTTGGATGAAAATGAACTACCCCATGCTGTACACTTCCTCAATGAATCCGGTATCAACAATATACCTAGAATACTATTTTAGTGTTTCATGTTTGTTTGTCTACAAAAATGCATTACATGATTCATTTTGCACCTGGAGAAAGGTAGGAAGAGGGGAAAGGTTATAATGGTAAAACAAAATGTGTCCATTGGTATTTTGCTCGAAACTCCAAACTGTACATCCAGACTCTGACCAAGACTGCTTTCCTCAATCTCTGCAAAAGTGTTTGCCTCTGCCAACACCTTACCCCCAACATATCCAAAAGCTTCATCATCTCCATTCTACCTTCCAGAAGCTCCAAACTATCCAGAATTGCATTCAAGATGCATTCAAGAGGAAGCTAGACCTCCATATGAGGGAGAAGGGAATAGAAGGGTATGGGAGGAATAAGTAATGGGTCAAGTGGCCTGTTTCTGTATTGTACATTCTTTGTAAATGTTTGTAGTATGCCACAGCCTGTATCCTCTCCCACACAAGCCATCACTCCATATTATGGCCAAACTCACTGGCTCCATATACCCTGGTGAATCAGATTTAAATTTCTTGTCATTCAAATTCCTCTACAGCCTTGTACCACCCTATCTCTATGATTTCATGTGACACTATACCTGTGCCTCTCACTTCAGTGTCCCAAATTTGACCTGCTTTGTGCTTTCTGTTCTACTATCAGCAGGCGAACTTTTGGCCACTTTTCTCCCACCCTCCAGAGCTCTCTTCTCAAATCCCTGCCTTGCCCCATTCTTATCTGTTTTCAAAAGTTGACTAAAGACCCATGTGGTTAAACGCACCTTCAACCACCACCCCTTACTCCTCTCCAACTTTCTCCCAGTTGAGTTAAGGGTTAAGATTTTTAGGGATGTCCCACAAACAGCTGTGATCATTAGTTTTTATTTGGGGAGTTGTTGGCTAGGATACCAGGGGAAACTCGCTTCTCTTTTGGCATTTGACAATTCAATTTGTGAATGACACCACATAATTAAAATGATGCTGCATGTTTTTTGTTCAGAATAACTATATTCCAGCACACACAGTTATGCAGTGATACCTTCTATTCTTCATCATGATTTTGTGTTATAAACCATTATAAACATGATTGACAGATTCCCATTACCAAGTATCATTAAAGATGATTTTTTTCTCCTTTACAGGAGTTTTGCTGCACTTTCATGATCCAGTACTTCAGCTACGAGATCTGTATTTTGTTGACCCCCAATGGTTGTGCAAGATGATGGCACAGGTAGTGTATACAAGCCAGTTAACAAGTGGTTTCTTTAGTTTTTGAAAGGGTGAATGAAATCCGATGAAATACACGCTATGAGGAGGATGCAGGATTTGATATCAGTGTGGACCTGATGATTCAGTAATTCTCCCCATTCTCTGGAACTCCATCCTGGAGTCTCTCCAACTGGCTCCCACCTTCAAAGTTCATCTCAAGACTTATCTTTTTTGATCTTGCTTTCAGACATCTTTCTCCTGCCCAATCCCCTTCAGCTCCCATCCCCAGTTCAGGTTCCAAGCCAGTATTGTTAAGTGCCTTGGGATGCCCTTTTGATGTGAATATAAATATATTAAGGTATGTTTGTATTGTAGTGTATATTGTACAGAGGATACAGTTCAAGATCCTGGTCCTCACCTTCAAAGCCCTCCACGGTCTTGCTCCCTTCTACCTCTCCGACCTCCTAACCCCCTACTACCCTGTTCGCTCCCTCCGCTCAGCGGGCTCTGGCCTGCTTCACGTCCCCCGCCTTGCTCGCCCCACTGTCGATGGGTGGGCCTTCCGCCATCTGCACCCACCCTCTGGAAATCCATCTCGCAGTCCCTCCATCTTGCCCCCTCCCTCGCCAACTTCAAGACCCACCTCAAGACCCACCTCTTTGACCATGCTTTTGATCTCCCCTCCTCCGCCCCCGCCCCTCCTCCATCCCAACCCTCAGCTTGGGTCTGTAACTCTGTCTGTTCAACGCCTTGGGACGTCCCCCCAACGTGAAAGGCACAATACAAATGTAATTTTCTTGTTGTTGTAGTTGGCCAAAGTAAGTTTCATACATAAATTGGCTTTTACACCTGTCTAGTTTCAATAAAATAAATACATGGGGAGCCCCAGAATGTTGAATGTACTACTGTGTTGAATTTTACTCAGGTTGTGACTGTTAGAGCTGCAAGTTTTCCAAAGCATCCACAAGGGATTATTTATCGTTCTGATGTTGAGAAGTTTCTATCACAGAAAAACAGTTTCCCTCGTAATTACATGTCGCAATATATAAAACTGCTGGAAAAATTCCAAATTGCATTGCCTTTAGGAGAAGAGCAATTACTTATTCCAAGCAGGTAAGTACATTTAATAATAATAATAATAATCCTTGCATTTGATATAGCGCTTTTCACGTCGAGAGGACGTCCCAAAGCGCTTCATAGAACACACTGTAAAGTGAATTGACTGTATATTTGTGGGCGAACGCGGCAGCCAATTGCGCACAGCAATGTCCCACAAACAGTCGTAGATTGAAAATGAACAATTTATTATTGTTTTTGGTTTTGGAGGGATTATTATTAGGCTCTGTGTGGAGTAAGGAAACTTGCCCAAGGGTTCGCCCTGCCTGGAATTGAACTCAGGTCTCTCGCTTGCAAAGCGAGTGCTCTAACCACTGAGCTACAGGACTCCACTGTAATTTAAAATATGCTACCACATTTAAAATATGCTACCACATTTGCCTACAAAATACACAGTCACTACACTTTACAGTATATCCTGTGAAGCATTTTGAGACATCCTACTGATATGAAAGGTGGTAAATGAAATGCAAGGACAGACAATAAGACAAAAGTGATAAAATTCTTTGAGATATGCGAGGGTGGGCAGAACAAGAGAGAACATGTTCAGGGTTGTGAAGGGCTATTTCAAGACTGATCTGGGAAGTAATTATTTACATGGAATGGTTGGATGAGTACATCAGACTGATTTAAGAAGCATCTATAATGGGAGGATGGTTGAAGGGGAATTCAGGAAGGATGAGAGGGCCGAAGGGCTCTTTCATAACAATGCATTACATTGTGTTCATCAAATTCATAATAAAATGCATTAATGTGAAAAGCCTTTGCTCCCCCAACCCCTAAAACAGAAGTGTAACACTTCAGAACTCAATGGGTTCTGTGTGATGGAAAGTAAGCTTTGTGGCTGACAATTGCTATTATTCATTAAGCTTTTTTTAAATTGCTGGAGTTATTTAACATCTTTCAAATATGGGATACAGGAAATGTGATTTATACTTAGCTGCTCCAAATTGTTCTTCCTGGGTCTGACCTACAGCCTCATTGTCATAACAACACACTATTATCTGGGGAGCTTTGGGTTTGAACCACTGCAGTGTAAAAAATTGAGTGTGACTGGATTCCAGCTCCTAAATGGTCATGCAGCTGGCTCCTTGTGCCTGCCGTGTTTCGTGGTGATAGTTGCAGCAAGGGCAGTTGTTAACTTTTGCAGTTGAGTAATTGCTTTGGAAGTTGGCTTATTTTTTTACTTGGTTTAAAAGAGTTGGAGACAATCGGTCAGTGGATCTCTTTATTTGTTTCTTCTTCCTGTTGGTAAAAATGCAATGGTGCATGTTCTATAACTATTTTCTTTCTCTTTTAAGCTTGCCTGATCAGAGACCTGTAATTGAACTTCCTCATGATGAAAACTCTGAATTGATAGTAAGGCTTTATGAGATGCCATACTTCCCGATGGGATTCTGGTCCAGACTTATCAATAGACTGCTGGAGGTTTCTGTTTACATGCTTGGTGGACGAGGTAATGGTCGCATTTCATTTTGGTGCCTTGACCTTTCAGTTCTGCGTATATGTATATAAAACGTATAATACCTTTAGATTGTATGAGATAAGGCATTTATGATTGTGATCGCTGCTCAGTGTGATGATTAAGTAAATTACATTTTATAAAGATTCTGTGGGTTTATCTATTATGATAATGTTGCATGACTGCAATAGGAGTGAACCACATTCCAGGGTAGTAGATGTTGTTTCCTGCAGTCAGTTGCCCCAGCAACCTTTTGCAGTATTTAAGAATCAGCTGTAGGGGAGGGCGCTATATTATTATTATTATTATTATATAAATGCAAGTTATTGTTGTAGCATATTCCAGAGGCCTAGTTGAAAAGTTCACTATTCAAAAGTGGAAGGGGGAAAGTGGGAGGAGAAATTCCACAATATTCATTTCTGTGCTCTTGGTGTGTATGGTGGAAGGTATATAGAGTATAACAGGCCAAGATTAAGTCATTAAGTTATTGGTTTAAAACACATATTTTAAGATGGTTTTTTAATTGAAGATGTGGGGGAGTTCTACAGTACATTTGGAGCGATTAATAGCAGAATAAATTATACATACCGTTTTGTGCTTCTACTTGATTTTCTTTGAAAAATAAACTTATTTTCCAGATCTAGAGAAGCCTTTACGTTCAAATAGGACATACTGGAGACAAGGTATATACCTGATCTGGTCACCAGAAGCTTACTGCCTTGTGGAATCAACTATACTGGACAATAAACCAGAGAGTATTCTGAAAATAACTGTCCCATGTTGCAGGAAAGGTAATATGATGGGTTATAATTGGGGCCAAAAGAAAATTGTGGCAATATTTGCAAAAAATTGCGGGGAAATTTGATGCATTTTGCGGAAGCTGTGGGAATTGGTTGGTGCTATTGAGAGGTACATTTTACTGCTAGCCTACACTTTATCCACTTTATTGATTAAAAATTAAACTTGAAGAAATAACACATATCAGATTATTGAAAAAAATTATTAATGCTTTCTTTAACAAAAACTGGGTGGCCCACTTGGAAGGGAGGGATTAGTCCTGACTGAGAGGCTCCAGGAGGTTAACACCTCTTGCACTTCGGGGGCGCCACTGAATACAACAACAAGATTAAATTTGTATAACGCCTTTCAAGTCGGGAGGACGTCCCTAGGCGCTGGACAGTGTACAGCATTTTAGACCTGAGCTGGGGTCAGGGGGGTAAGGGAGGGGAAAGGGGGTGGCCGATGGCATGGTCGAAGAGGAGGGTCTTGAGGCGGGATTTGAAGGAGGCTAAGGAGGGGGCGAGGCGGAGTGACTGGGGGATGGAATTCCATAGGTTAGGGGCAGAGTGGCTGAAAGCTCTCCCGCCAATGGTGGGCCGGGTGGGTCGGGGGACATGGAGCAGGCCAGAGCTGGCTGAGCGGAGGGAGTTGGCGGGTTGGTAGGGGGTTAGGAGGTCGCAGAGATAGGGTGGGGTGAGGCCACGGAGGTCTTTGTAGGTGAGGACCAGGATCTTGAACTGGATCCTCTGAAGGATAAGGAGCCAATGGAGTCGGGCGAGAGTGGGGGAGATGGGGTTATGGAGTTTGGTGCGGGAGAGGACACGGGCTGCAGAGTTCTGGATTATCTGCAGCCGGTGGAGGGAGGAGTTGGGAAGGCTGACAAGCAGGGAGTTTGCATAGTCGAGCCTGGAGGTGATGAAGGCATGAACAAGAGTTTCAGCGGCCTGAGGTGTGAGGTAGAGTGGCGGAGTCGGGCGATGTTACGGAGGTGAGGGAAGCCGGGTCATGGCTTGGATGTGGGGAAGAAAAGACAGTTGAGGGTGGAACAAGACACCGAGGTTCCTGACTGGCTTGGTGAGTTGTGTGCAACCATGAAGGTTGATGCTGCCAGAGCCTGAGGTGCTGAGGCGCTGGCGCGAGCCAATCAGGAGGGCCTCAGTCTTGTTCAAGTCTTACTCAAGATGTGACTCTTTCCCATTCCAAGAATCCCATCCCACGTTCCAACTCCCAGATGGGCTATCATTTAATTTTTTAAAATAAGTAGTTAAAATTATACTAATTTAAATTCATTTTATTTAATTTATATTGTAGCTATTACTACATATTAAAATTATAAAAAGAAAATGTTATGTGCATCAGCTGTTTACAATTGGAGGATCACAAAGACATTTTATCTACAACAACAACGAAGAACAACAAAATTACATTTATAGAGCGCCTTTCATGTCAGGAGGATGTCTCAAAGCGCTGAACAGTCAGGTGTCAGTTGTAGGTTGTAGGGTGCCATCCAGTCATCAATAAGATCAATGAATGTGTTTAGTGAACCTGATCTGAATATCATCGAGAACCTTTAAATCTAGCTGTACAAATGGCTACCATTGAAAGGTTCTAATTTTGAATGCAAAAAGGAAAGATGAAAATAAATAAATAACCTAATAACAACAACAACAACTTGGATTTATATAGCGCCCTCCACGTCGGACGGCGTCTCAGAGCGCTTAATGGGTGTTTGTTGGGCACTGTTGCCTTCACCTGTAAAAAGACATTATAATTTACAGTAAATCCTGTAAAGAGTTTTGAGATATCCTTCCGATATGAAAGGCGCGATACCAAATATGCGGATTATTGCTATAATTGTTTGAAACCCTCTTGAATTTGTGTTTTAAGATAAATTCTTTTGTTTCTCGTATTTGAACTGAGCAGGCTTCATCTTATTGGGCCAGATTGTGGATCACATTGATTCTCTCATGGAGGAGTGGTTTCCAGGTTTGTTGGAGACTGATGTGAATGGGGAAGGAGGCACTCTTTTGAAGAAATATGTCATGTACAGCTTTGAAGATAGTCAAGAATGCCAGCAGATGTTATTGGATGACCTGATTGACATAGCTGAAGAAGGTAATAATTTCTTATGTTTTGAAGGAACTCTAGATAAGCTGATCACCATAGACTATGGTGCAAATACTGTAGTAAAATGTAATATTTATAAACATTATTTATTTATAGGTGCTGCTTGAGTATGAATCTTACACAAATAAACTTTCATTTGAATATGAAGTGTTACTGAATTAGAATTTGCAGCAATGATGACATAATCATAATTTATTTTAACATTACCATCCAGTTTATAGAGTATACTAATGTAAGGTTGTTCTCATAATAATAATCCTTGCGTTTGATATAGCGCTTTTCACGTTTTCTCGACATCTCAAAGCGCTTCACAGAATAGACTGTAAAGTGAATTGACTGTAAATTTTTAGGCAAAACACGGAGGCCAATTACGTACAGCAGTGTCCCACAAACAGTTGTGGATTGAAAATGACCAATTTATTATTGTTTTGGAGGGATTATTATTAGGCGTGTGGAGTAAGGAAACTTGCCCAAGGTTTTGCCCTGCCTGCAATTGAACCCAGGTGTCTCGCTTGCAAGGGGAGTGCTCTGACCACTGAGCTACAGGACTCCACATAGACAGCTATTGCCAAATCCAGCATCTCCTTCCCCAAACTGGAATATAAAGGTTCATGAAACTAAAACATATACATTTTAAAGAGGCAGGGGACTGGATGGTGAACTGGGTTAGACACTGGTCTTTTACTCTGTGACATGGATTCAAATCTAGTCAGGACTGAATATAACATTTTGCAAACCTCCAATATGAGAAGTTTGTGGCTTCTCAATCCACTTTATTTGGGCAAGAGTTCAATTGGCAGTAAATTGACAATCTATTTTCGAGAGGTAACAGGAGGATTGATGTGGGAAAAGAAAGATGTTGGGCTTGTTTGGATGCTGAGACAAGTTGTTAGGGCAGTCTTAAGAAAGCTTCACTCAGCATCTAATCACACTGAACCCAACCTCCAAGCACTTGACCTGAAAATATTGTTGCTTATCTCAATGAGCGCAATATTTACCAAATTTTATTTAGTTTTTGTGTTGTATAATATGTGAATGTAAATTGTTGCTATTAAAGTAATTCAGGTATTTTCCATTATTGTTCAGGGGACTTTTTGTCTAGTCCTACTGATAGAAGCAACAGGATATCTATATCTCGAGTTGCCCCAGACCTTGTGCTGAGTGATCTACCTCGGAATATTATGCTGGATCGTAACCACCTTGAGCTGGAGCAAACACCTGACTTTCTATTAGGTAAGTGCTAATTCAGATACTATCTGTGTTTGCATAAAGGACTCCCCCCAAAATTATAAAACAAAATTATAAGAATGTAAGGCAATGGATAAATGTAGTTTTGTTTTAAAATCTATATATAGGTATGTGTTTACTGAAGTCTAAATATTTGTTATTTCATGGTTTGATTTGATTGAGTTGAAAATTCTGCATGCTGTCTTGGTGAAATTTAAATTTGCATTTTCTTGTTTCATTCTGAAGGTGATGGAGGATTTGGGTCTGTCTATCGTGCATCTTATAGAAGCGAGGAAGTGGCTGTTAAAATTTTTAACAAACATGTGTCACAAATGCACCTTCATCGAATGCTGAGACAAGTATGTAATAGTGGCCTCCTTCAAATTATAGAAGTAATCTACTTGGAGAGGTAATAGTTTTCACTTTGTGCAGGACGTTTGCTAGTCACAGTAGCCAGCTGATACTGACAACTCAGGTTTTAAATGCTTACTGCTCAGCATCCAAGCCCAGCCTGCTGGAGAAGCTTATGTCAGTGAAGCAGATTCCTGCAGAGAAGAGTTTAACCTTTTTTTTTGGTCAGCTGGATGTCTGACACGTGCAGAAACCCATCACCATGCTTAAGAGTATCCAAACCAAGCTGAGATTTCCATGCATCCCACTTACACATGGAAATCCCAGAGCTAAATTGTTGGAATGGAATGTGCACTCTCTCCCTGGAGGAAAGCAGCCCGCTTACCTAATTCCGAAAAGTATTAGGTGCAGGTTGGCAAGAAACAAGGCTTGGGGACCCCATATGTGCGCTAGCATGCTGCTGGAGTTTAACCAGCTAAACCTACATAGCTTGCCATAGATATTACTTTCTGGCAAGCTTTCCTGCTGCTTGTCCAGTTAGGACCATCCTACCCGTTAGGTGTTTGGCTTGTAGGGGTAACAGAAGCTGAGTGGGATGACTCCCTGCCCCCAGTGACTGGTCTGCCCTTCCAGGTCCTGCTGATAAGCAGGGCTGTCTGTGCTGTCATCAGCAGTGCCCTGGAATACTGTGGACCTGCCTGGCTCAGGAACTGGACTACCGAGACCATCATAGAGGGCTTGCTCAATTCTGACATTCTGTTGCCAGGCATGTCACCATGGAGCCAGTTCAGCTCCAAGGATATCCTGTTTGCCTCCCTTTTCCCCTTTGAGAGCATTAACACCATCTTCCTGTCCGCACCATGGGGAGAAGAAAAGAAAATAGATTAAACACTTTAGTTATAGGAAATTTGCCAATAGTTTCTCATAACTTAAATAGGGGAAGTACTTTATATGAAAATTGCTCTCTGTGAATTTATTTAAAGTGAATAAAAAGATAACTAAACCTAGATTATACAAGATTTGTACTTCTGATATTATTTAAGGAAGATTTCATTTGATGTTAAAAATGTCGAGTTGGTGAAATCAGTTTTATTGATGATACAGCTATTGGTACACAGATAACTTTGTGCTTGATTTAAAAACACAAAAGATTGAATGACGTATTGATGGTTAAATTATACCAAAGACCAGAGTACTCTGGGTTTGAGCGCATAATCACATAGTGCTCCAGGCAAAGCCATCATTAATGGATGATTTTACTAGTAATCTGACTCGCATTGCTGGTCTCTAAATGCAGTTGGTACAAATCCATTTTGACTCTGGTTATAAATGATCTCTTAAACGTTTGTGATAGGCTATCCCTTTGTTGCTTTTCGGGAAAGTATCCATCTGGTGAAGCAACAACAACAAGCACTAGGCTGTACAAGCCTACTTCTCATTGCTTTTGCAGTATAGTGATTTGAAGCGGGGAAATTGGATTCATAGCTCCAATGAGCATTGAGGACACACTCGTTTTTTACAACAAATTAGATAGATTGGATCTTTAATAACATCAGTAAACTTAAAAGTGGTCTTTTGGACAGCCTTGAGAATCTTATAATCTTTGCATTTGATATAGTGCCTTATCATGTCTTCGAGACGTCTCAAAGCGCTTCAAAGTATCTTCATAGAATCAGACAGCACAGAAAGAGGCCATTCGGCCCATCGTGTCTGTGCCTAAAAGATCAATCCAACTCAATCCCACTGGCCCGCTTTCTCTCCATAACCCTGCAATCCGGTCCTCCCCAAATACCTATCTACTTCTCTCTTAAAAGTTGTTATTGAATCGGGTTACACTACCCTTTCAGGCAATGCATTTCAGATCCGAACAACTCGCTGGGTGAAATTTTTTTTCCTAACCTCCCCTCTGTTTCTTTTGACAACTACCTTAAATCAGTGTCCTCGGGTTACTGATCCACATGACAGCAGAAACAGTTTTTCCCGGTTCAACCTATTAAATCCTCTCATGATCTTGAAAACCTCTATTAAATCTCCTCTTAATATTCTCTGCTCTAGGGAGAATAGCCTAGTTTTGCTAACCTCTCCTCATAACTAAGGTCCTTCATTCCTGGTACCATCCTGGTAAACCTCCTTTGCACCCTCTCCAATGCCCTAACATCTTTCCTAAAGTGTGGTGCCCAGAACGGAACGCAGTACTCCAACTGAGGCCTTACCAGCATATTATAAATATTCAACATAACCTCCTGACTTTTGAATTCTATATCCCTATTTATACAACCTTGTATCCCGTATGCTTTTTTAACAGCTTTATCTACCTGTCCTGTCACCTTCAGAGATTTGCTTATGTGGATCCCCAGGTCTCTCTGTTCATTTGGTTCCTTTAAGATTGTACCATCATCTTATACTGCCTCTCCTCATTCTTCCTACCAAAATGCAACACTTTGCATTTCTCCACATTAAACCTCATCTGCCACATTTCTGCCCATTTTACCAATCTGTCTAAGTCCTCTTGGAGCCTGGTGCTATCTTCCTCACCATTAACTACTTTTCCTAGCTTAGTATTGTCTGCAAATTTGGAAATTGTGCTCCCTATATCTAGGTCCAGATCATTAATATAGATCAGGAAGAGCAGTGGTCCCAATACCGACCCCTGAGGGACACCACTAACACATCTCCCTCCAGTCAGAAAAACAACCGCTTACTACCACTCTCTGCTTTCTGTCTCCTTGCCAGTTCTGGATCCATGTTGCCACAGTCCCTTTTGATACTGTGGGCTTCTATTTTGCTTACAAGTCTCTTATGTGGCATTTTGTCAAATGCCTTTTGAAAATCTAGGTAAACTACGTCTACCTTCATCCACCCTCTCAGAAACTTCATCAAAAAATTCTATTAGGTTTGTCAGACACGATCTGCCTTTAACAAAGGTTACAAGTCTTGTATAAGTTTAAAAATTATTTTAAAATTGTCAGCTCACAATTACGCACTCTTGTTTGCATTACTACTATAAATCCCTGTATAACAAATATACTTTCAAGTAGAAGTAATAAAGAGTGTTCAATTTTTTAATATTTAGGAGCTCGCAGTTCTTAGTCATCTACATCACCCAAGTTTGGTCTCTTTGTTGGCGGCTGATTTCCGACCACGGATGTTGGTAATGGAATTGGCACCTAAAGGTTCCCTGGATCTTTTTCTTAATCATGAGAAAGGCAGTCTTAATCGAACTCTTCAACATCGGATAGCTCTACATGTGGCTGAGGGCTTAAGGTAACTATCAAATAGCTTACTGCAGGTGATTGTGATATTCAAAAATTAATATTGGAAGAAAAAACATTTAACTGTAAAATAAAATACAAGACAATTTACATTTTCAATGGTGCCTTTCATATTGGGAAGATGTCTCAAAGAGCTAGATAATGCTCGGATTTGGAGCTGAGCGGGGTGGCAAAGGGAAAGATGACTGTAAGTGTATTCAAAGAGATACGTTTTGAGATGTGCTTTGAATAAGGGGAGAGAGGGAGAGAGTCTGAGGAACTCTGAGATGGTATCGAATTCAAGATCCTCATCCTCACCTACAAGGCCTTCACGGCCTTGCTCCCTCCTACCTCTCCAACCTCCTATCCCCCTACTTACCTGCCCATACCCTATGTTCCTCTGTCTCCGGTCTGCTCCACATCCCCTACCCTAATCGCCATCGGTGGCCGGGCCTTCAGCCCCTAGGCTCTGGAACTCCACCCCCCAGTACTTTCGCCTTGCCTCCTCCCTTTCCTCCTTCAAGGCCGGTCTCAAGACCTTTCTCTTTGACCGTGCCTTCAGCTCCCCTCTTGACTCTCTTCCCCCTCCTCGCTCCCTCCCTTCCCTCCCCTCACCCTGACCATTTCCCCCCTGCTCGGGTCCTGACCCAACTGTACAGTGCCTTGGGACGTCCTCCCGATGTGAAAGGCGCTCTATAAATGAAATCTTGTTGTTGTTGTTGTATTCCAGAGGGAGGGGACAGAATGGCTGAAAGTCAGCCCCCAATAGTGGGGCGGATATAAATGTTTATTAATTAGCCTTGTTGAATGATGGATCTCAGTAAAAAAGTTAGCACTTTTAAGCTGTATTTTACTCCTATTTGAAGACATATTTCATTCATGTTCATGGTGATATGAAGCAAATTCTCAAAATAGATTAATTGTTCCTGAATTTCTATGTGTATTTGCTTCTTTTGACAGATATCTGCATTCATCAATGATCATATATCGAGATATGAAACCACACAATGTGCTGCTTTTCAACTTAAACCCCAATTCTGCCATAATTGCCAAAATTGCTGATTATGGCATTGCTCAGTACTGCTGCAGAATGGGAATCAAGAGCTCTGAGGGCACAGCAGGTTACCAACTCCTGTGGCTTTACGTACAGAGTGATATATTTATCAGGAAATTGTTTATAGTATTCATTGTCGCATCTTTTATTGTGTTTTAATTTGGATTGCTGGCAAGAATTCTGTTTCCCTAGTGATTGACCTCATGCTGGTTAATCATTAATGGTGACCTGGAATAATATAGCCCAGCCTGGCTCAGTTTTTGGATCACCAACTCTACCTCGCAGAATTGACTTAGCTTCAGACCTCTTTCGTCAGACCATTTAACATGGAGTCAGCTTGATTTCAGAGCGAGCCTGTTTATTTCTACCTCTGCCTCCCAGTGGGATAGACACATAAAAATTGCCCTGTAGCACAAGGAAATATACTACAACCTTGCACTATTTCATAATTAGCTAATCAGAACCTTTTTTGGATGATGTGATTCATAATTAGAGGAATTTCTAATTTCTAAAATTACTAATGGATATGCAGCACTGTAAATAACTAATAATGGCAGCTTTATCAGGGTGTTCCAATCTTTTGGCTGCCGTAGGCTGAATGCCCTGCTTGAGAATTTATGCGGGTCGCATAAGCTGTATATTTGTATTTCCCTTCCAGAAATATAATAATATTACACAGCACCTTTTTCACATTGGAAAGGTGTCTCAAAGTGCTTGACCCTGCTAGCTGGGCACCTGAGCTGGGGGTGTGAACTGAGGGAGGGGGGATGGGAGGGGAAAAGATGATGGTAAGCGGGTAAAAGAGTTAGGTCTTGACGTGCCTTCAAAGTGAGGACAGAGTTGGGAGTTGGCAATAGTCTGGGAATGGAGCTCCAGAGAGCAGGGGCAAAATGGCGATGGTGGGGCTGATGGGGTGGGGGGACATGAAACAAGCTTATGCTTGCTGGGCAAAGGGAATGGCTGGGTCAGGAGGTCACAAAAGTAGGGTGGTTGGTGGTGGGGGAATAAGGACGTAGTTTCTCACTGAGGAAAGAAGGAGGTTTCTGTGAGGAAACTGCACGACACAGCACTCGGTGTCTCTCCTCGGTCTCCCCGCACTGGCCGAGAGAGGCTATGATTGTCTCTTAACAGTGAACCACAAAATGCTACCCTCACTTCTCTCTCTCTCGCTTTCTTTGTTTCTCTCTCTACCCCTCTCCCTCATACACTCTCTCTCAATCACTGTCACCCCCTCTCAATCATTCTCTTTCTTTCAGCGCATTCTCTCGCACAAACTCTCTCTTCCTCTCTCCCACACACTCACTCTCTCCTCTCTCACCTCTTGCTCAATCACTCACTCACTCTCACTTTCCTCTCACACACTCTCTCCCCTCTCAACTACTCTCTACTCTCTCTTCCTCGCTCGGTTTCTTTCTCTCCCTGTTGCTTTCTCTCTCTCCCATCTCTGTCACTCACTCTATGTCAATCACTCTTCTACTCCTCTCTCAATCACTCTCTTCACCCTTCTGTCTCTCTCAAACACTCTCTCTGTCTCCATCTCTCCCGCACACTCTCTCTTTCCCAATTCCTCTCCTTCTCAGTCAGCGGGAACGGCTGCTCTCCCAGTGGTGCTGCACACTACCGTAATGGACGGCATTATTTATCCCCGCGCTGCGTCTTCCCAACTGCCGGCTCCTGCCGCTGCCATGGGAGGACGTTCGCTGGGGAGAGAGGGAGCGGATGGTCCGAAGTTGGAAATAGTCTTGGGTTGGTCTCAGTTGGAGCTTGCTGACATATAGATTTACTCCCTCACCCCATCCAGCACTATAATGGTGCATCATTGACACACGAACTCTCGGGGTTTAAAGAAGATCCACCTTAACGGTTTGGGCAGTAAATCCCGACCAGCTAGAGTTGCAAATTCTGAGAATATTCTTTTAAAAATAATGTTTTAGTTTACTGATTGGTTGTCTGTTATTTACCACACCTCTACCATACTCCTGCCTAGTGAAAAGGACACAACACAATTGCTAGACACACAGAACTCGCAGGTTTCTTGATTTATTATTACATTTATTAATTATTATTCTCATGAAGTGAGTTACTCTTGTGCTGGTACCTTTCTTGGTAAAAGTAAGAAGATTGTGTGCTTATGGTTTAGAAGATGATGAATATCGATAAAATATTTGCCATTAAGGATGCTTGGGGAAGTTGATGATTTTAAAAATAATAAAATCTGTTTTCTTTCGTTAGGATTTCGAGCCCCAGAAGTTGCAAAAGGAAATGTCATCTACAATCATCAGGCTGATATATATTCTTTTGGATTACTTTTGTATGATATTATCACCAATGGTAGAAGAATCATAGATGGAATGAAGTTTTCAAATGAGTTTGATGAGTTAGCAATTCAAGGAAAATTACCAGGTAAAGTTTGTTGAATTTGTTACATGAAAACAAACTTTTTTTTTAATTTGAAAGCATCTTCCCTCCAATAGAAGTAGTATTTTAGATAGGAAGGTAAGAATTATAGACTTGATACTAGATTTACATATATTTTTCTCGTAACAACTTGTGTTGTCCCACTTTGGAAAAACCTTTCATGATGCTCATTATTAGATAGTTTGTTAGTTTGCCTCTCATTGGTTATTTCTTTGGCATATAACATTCCCTACCCAACAGAACTGGAAGGCAACCTCACTTAGGGTTAACTTAGGCAACTATTTAATTTCCTTGATCAGTTGAGAGCTTGATATGTGTGGGAATTCCTTGCTCTGCCTAGGATTCTCCAGTTCCAGATATTGAACATTCAGTAGAAATAGTTTCCATGATTATTTTTTCCCACAGTTGAATGAAAGATACATTCTCCGATTTACCTGTCAGTAACGTGCAGTGCCCCCAGAAATTGTTACTGGACTGCCAGCTTTTCACTCTGTAGATTGATGATCTGGATATTGTGAAATAATGGGAGCATTTGCAGATGATAGTTTCAAAGTGAAAGTTTGGAGATGATACTAAACTTGGTGGTGCACTAAATTTTGAAGAGAGCAAAACATTACAAAGAGGCACAGATAATTTAAATGAATAAGTGATCTTATAGGTAGGTTTCAACAAAGCAAGGTGTGTGAGATAGCATAATTTGAATTTAGATCAGCTGATGAGATTGTATGCTAACCCGGGGAAAAGAATAAACAAATGAACAAATGGATTTAGGTTCTAGGTTTATTGAAGGCTTGTTCACAGGTGCAAAGAGCAGCCAAAAAGTTTATCATAGAATCGGAGAAACTTAATGCAAAGAAGGAGGCATTTGGTTCATTGTTTCTGTGCTGGCTCTTTTAAGAGCAATCCTTTAAGTCCCACATACCTGCTGTTTCCCCATATCCCTGTAGCATGAACAGAAAGCATCTACAATGCAATATCAATGAAGTAAACTGAAATGTACAGAGCATTGGTTAGGCCTCACTTGGAATATTGTGGTCATTTTGCGGGTTCCCATTTTATGAAGCATATACATGCCTTGAAGTCAGTGACAATTCACCAGAATGATACCTGAGATTAAGGCATTTGTATTAAATGGGGATTAACGCTCTGAGAGGATGTGGAGGGCGCTATATAAGTTCAAATTGTTCTTGTGTATGATGAGAGACGAGCAGACCGCGCAAACATTTTCTATAAGACATTGAATACTTTGATAGCCAAATGTATTGGGACTTTGTGTTCATAAATGTTGTTTCAACACTCAAATAAGCTGAATTCTTTATTGGAGTTCAAACAAACTACATGTTTTTTCAAACATGTTAAATTAGAAATGGTTTGGGGACAGAAAGGTGGAATTGAGTCAGCCCTGTATGTCAGTCTTGGCAGTCAATTTCTTGAGCCAGTCAGGTACAATCATTCCTAATTTCAAACAGTTCACCGAGGTGATTCTGGAAATTATCCAGAGGCACAGAATCTGAATTATGAGAAAAAGAACATTGCCCAACCCAAGGACTTCATTGTACATGAGAATCCACTATTTAGATTGCCTGCAGAACAGGTAAAACTGGATCAATATTCCTAACCTCTGAAAATTGTTAATAGATTTTAAACAAATCTTCATTTCAGGAGGACGTCTCCAGATGGGAGGATGTGACAGGAGCCATTCCTGGCAACGGAATGTCAGAGTTGAGCCAACCCTCTGTGGTGGTCTTGGTAGTCTGGTTCCTGAGCTAGGCAGGTCCACAGTATTCCAGGGCACTGCTGATGATTGCACAGCCAGCCTGGCTCATCGGCAGGACTTGAAAGGGCAGATTAGACACTGAGGGCAGGGAGTCATCCCCTCAGCTCCTGTTAAACCTGCAAGCCAAAATCCTAACGGTTAGGGTGGTCCTAGCTGCACAAGCAGCAGGAAAGCTTGCCAGACAGCGATATCAATGGCAAGCTATGCGGTTTTAGCTGGTTAGACTCCAGTAGTACCTCAACACTCACTCTGGGGCCCCCAAACTTTGGCTCTTGCCAACCTGTGCCTAATACTTTCCAGAATTAAGTAAGCAAGATGTGTCCCTCCAGAGAGAGCGTGCGCATTTCATTCCAATTAGTATCTCTGAAATTTCCAGGTGTAAGTAGGGTGCATGGAATTCTATTTGGTTTGGATCCTCTTAAGCCTGGTGATTGTTTTTCACATGTGCCAGACACCCCTCCCGCCTCCCCACCAAAATGCTACCCACACATTGAAATTTCCCTGTGTCTGGAATGGGATCTGCACTGTTTCTCTGGAGGGATGCACCTTGCTTACCAGAGTGTTATGCACAGGTTAGCGAGGGCCAAGTCTCGAGGACCATTGTAATACTTCTGGAGTTTAACCAACTGATACCAAGGCACTGTTGACAGCGCTGCCAGCCTGGCTTGTTGACAAGACGTGGACAAGCAGACCAGTTACTGGTGTCAGTCCCACTTAGTTCCTATTAACCCTGCAAGCTAAAGCATAAGCAGATAGACTGGTCCCACCTGGACAAACAGTAGGAGATTCCAGAGTTGTTTATTGGAATGAAATATGCACTCTCTCCATGGAGGGACACATCCTGCTTACCTAGTTCCAGAAAGTATTAGGAGCAGGTTTTACTTAAGAGTTCAGGCTTGGGGACCCAGAGTATGCTTTGGGATACTGCTGGAGTCTAACTAGCTAAAACCTCATAGTTTGCCAAGCTTTCCCGCTGCTTGCCCAGTTAGGACCACTGGAACCGTTAGTGCTTTGGCTTACAGGGTGAACATTAGCTGAGTGGGATGATTCCTGCCAAGTGACTGGTCTGCCCTGCCAAGTCCTGTGAATGAGCCAAGCTGGATCACATCAGCAGTACCCTGAAGTACTGTGGATCTGCCTGACTCAGGAACCAGACTACCAAGACCGCCACAGACTGGCTCAAATCTGACATTCCATTGCCAAACATGTCACATCCTTCCATTTGACATGTTCTCCTGAAATGAAAGATCATGTCATCAGATACAAGGATTATTATGTAAAAATACATTTGAAATAATTTGTTTAAAATCTGTCGACACTTTTCATAGAGGTTGATCCAGTTTTATCTGTTCTGTGATTTGCATGATCCAAACAATAGATTGTCATGTACAGAGATGTCCTTGTATCTTGCAATGTTCCTCATAATTCAGATTCTGTGCCTCTGGGTAATTTCCAGAATCACCTCTTTATAATAATAATAATAATAATCCTTGCATTTGATATAGCGCTTTTCACGTCGGGAGGACGTCCCAAAGCGCTTCACAGAACATACTGCAAAGTGAATTGACTGTATATTTGTGGGCGAACGCGGCAGCCAATTGCGCACAGCAATGTCCCACAAACAGTCGTAGATTGAAAATGACCAATTAATTATTGTTTTTGGTTTTTGGAGGGATTATTATTAGGCGTGTGGAGTAAGGAAACTTGCCCAAGGTTTCGCCCTGCCTGGAATTGAACTCAGGTCTCTCACTTGCAAAGCGAGTGCTCTAACCACTGAGCTACAGGACTCCTCTTTGAAGTGTTTTTATGTTATGAAGGGCTGTAACTGCTTCCTGGCAGCATAACTTGTTTTCGTTTCAGCCCTTGAGGTATTTCAAGATTGATTGGATGTGGAGGCATTCCAATGCAATTGTAATGTCATTTGCTTTTATCACCCAGCATCTTAGCCAAGAAGAACAATCAATTGTAATGTGAACTTAGTTGAAATTGCTTACTGAGCTTGGGTTTCAAACATTTGCTAGGTCAAAAGCCAGATAAACCGGATAGGTAATCAGAAGGAATATGACTTCAGCTTTGCTCTTGAGAAAACCTCACTCTAACCTTGAATAATTTGAGTACCCAATATACCTAATGCCTTCACATAATAAGTGGAAGAGGTAATTACAAAAGACGGCCTTCTTTTGTCTAATTAAACTTTTGGTGTTTTGTTTATAGTTTAGAAATTTCAAGATCAGTCGAAGTTCCTATTTTGAGCTATATGTCCACCCTTATACTCTTGTCTTATGTTGGATATTCCTGATTTTAAGCCAAATTTAAATTAAATAAGGCCATCAAATGTCCAGATATTCTTAGCTCTCACAAATAAAAATCTATCAAGGATAGACAGTGTCTGTTTTGCACTTCAAGTTCGGTAGAATAATATACAAAATTCGATTTAAAAAAAAAGTGGAAAAAAAATTCACTTTCGTCATTTTTTACTATTGCTAAATATTTTTTATAATAATAATAATAATCCTTGCATTTGATATAGCGCATTTTCACGTCTTCGCGACGTCTCAAAGCACTTCACAGAATAGACTGTAAAGTGAATTGACTGTATATTCGTGGGCGAAACGCGGCAGCCAATTACGTACAGCAGTGTCTCACAAACAGTCGTGGATTGAAAATGATCTATTTATTATTGTTTTGTTTTTTGGAGGGATTATTATTAGGCGTGTGGAGTAAGGAAACTTGCCCAAGGTTTCGCCCTGCCTGGAATTGAACCCAGGTGTCTCGCTTGCAAGGCAAGTGCTCTAACCACGGAGCTACAGTACTCCACTTATGGATCAAATAAAAATCACCCAACTTACCAAATGGATATATCTCTGTCCTCACTATTGCCAAAGAATGCTGCAAGAGATTCACTGATAATGGTGTTTGGAAATACGAAACATCCAACTTTAGAGGATAATTTTCTATTTGTTAATCTATTCGCTTTTTTTAAATTTCTTTTTTCTCATGAGTTTGCTTTTAATTGTTTATTTGTATGAGCTGAAGATGACCTAATTTAATTTGAATTTAGCTTAAAATCCAGAGTCTCCAGGAGACACCTTACAACCAAAACTATTTTCATTCTATCAGTGAGATCGGTGAGATTTATTTCAAGAGAGAAGTAGATTTAGGACTTAGAACTCACAAAGTTTAAGATGTTGGTCCTGTCCTGATCAACAATCAGTCATTTACTGCAACACTGTTTTTGGGATGATGCTGTGTACAAATTTGCTGCTGTATTCGCCCACAAGATACAAGTCACTACACTTTACAGTGAGTTACTTTGAGATGTCCCCTGATGTCAAAGGTACAATATGAAATGCAAGGATTGTTATTATTATGATGAATATTAATATTATGCTTTCCTCCAAAGCATTTGTTGAATGTTAAATATTGAATATTTGTAAATTATTATGTATTTACCTGATTAGTTTAACACATGTTTTTCTTTTGTCTTAAAATATTAAATCCACATTGTGGTTATAGCTCAGTGATGATACAGTAATCCTTGCATTTGATAAAACACCTTATCACATTTTCGAGACGTCTCAAAGCTGTATCTGTATTTTGCATTTAGAAAGGTTTTGAGGGACATCATCAACCTGTCCCTCTCCTCTGGCTCTGTCCCCATTCCATTAAAAACTGCCATCATCACGCCCACCCTGAAAAAACCCTCCCTTGATGCGTCGCAGCTATCAAGCTACCGGCCCATCTCCAACCTCCCCTTTCTCTCCAAGGTCTTGGAAAGAGTTGTCGCCTCCCAACTGCGCTCTTTCCTTTCCACCCATTCTCTTTTCGAACCCCTTCAGTCAGGTTTCCGTGCTGCCCATAGCACAGAAACTGCCCTGGTCAAGGTCACCAATGATATCCTGACCATCTGTGACCAGGGCTCCCTCTGTCTCCTCGTCCTCCTCGACCTATCGGCAGCATTCGATACGGTCGACCACGCTATCCTACTCCACCGCTTGTCCTCCCACCTCAACCTTCAAGGCACTGTCCTTGAATGGTTTAGGTCGTACCTTTCTCACCGTCTTCATTTCGTCTCGACGAATGGCTTCTCCTCCACCCCCCGCACTGTCTCATGTGGTGTCCCTCAGGGCTCTGTCCTTGGTCCCCTCCTCTTCACCCTCTATATGCTCCCCCTTGGTGACATCATCCGCAGACATGGAGTTAACTTCCACATGTATGCGGATGACACCCAACTCTACCTTTCCTCCTCTACTCTCAACTCCACGACCACCGATGTCCTGACAGCTGCCTGTCCGACATCGAGTCCTGGACGAGAGACAACTTTCTTCAGCTCAACGTGCGAAAAACCGAGGCCCTCCTGATTGGCTCACGTCAGCGCCTCCGCACCTCAGGCGCTGACACCATCAGCATCCAAGGCTGCACTCTCCACCTCTCAAAGCCAGTCAGGAACCTCGGCGTTTTGTTCGACCCTGAGCTGTCCTTTCTCCCTCACATCCGCACCACAACTGGCACCGCCTTCCATCACCTCCGGAACATCGCCAGACTACGGCACTACCTCACCCCTCACGCTGCTGAAACTCTGGTCCACGCCTTTGTCACCTCAAGGCTGGACTATGGGAACTCTCTCCTCGCCGGCCTTCCCGCACCTCCCTCCACAAGCTGCAGGTCATTCAGAACTCTGCAGCTCGTGTACTGTCCCGCACCAGGCTTCGGGACCACATCACTCCCACCCTCGCTCGCCTCCACTGGCTCCCCATCCCCCAGAGGATTGATTTCAAGATCCTCATCCTCACCTACAAGGCCATTCACGGCCTTGCTCCCTCCTACCTCTCCGACCTACTATCCCCCTACCTACCTGCCCGTACCCTCCGTTCCTCTGGCTCCGGTCTGCTCCACGTCCCCCGCCCCAACCGCCCTACCATCGGTGGTCGGGCCTTCAGCCTCTCAGCCCCCAGGCTCTGGAACTCCATCCCCCAGTGCCTTCGCCTTGCTTCCTCCCTTTCCTCCTTCAAGGCCGGTCTCAAAACCTTTCTCTTTGACCGAGCCTTCAGCTCCCCTCTCGACTCTCTTCCCCCTCCTCGCTCCCTCCCTTCCCTCCCCTTACCCTGACTATTTCCCCCCTCCTCGCTCCCTCCCTTCCCTCCCCTCACCCTGACCATTTCCCCCCTGCTCGGGTCATGACCCAACTGTGCAGCGCCTTGGGACGTCCTCCTGACGTGAAAGACGCTTTATAAATGGAATCTTGTTGTTGTTGTTGAGATGTCCTCTCAGCATGAAAGGTACTAAATCAATACGAAATCAACTGCATAGTATTGTGTGTGATTGCTGTACGGCACTCTTCATATTCAATTCAAAACATTAAGAGCCTGACTGTTTCGAATTATTGTTGTTCTATGCACTAGAATTCTGTTTCTCTTCTGAAAATATAGTTTAGGAAATTAACTTGTGTTGCGTTTTTTTAAAATGATCTTCATGAAGTGTAGATGTGAATCCTAACAAAAACAGAAAATTCTGGAAAGTTGAAGCATTATTAGCATCTTGTAAAGGAAAGTAGTTTAACACTTTGGGTACAACTTTTCAATCACCAAAAGTTTTAAGTGAACTTAAACTTTTCATCAGAATATCGTCATCATCACTTAAGAAAGAGCTATGTATTGAAACTTTTTTTTTAGATCCAGTCAACGAATATAATTGCTCTCCATGGCCTGGTATCCAAGACTTAATTGAGGATTGCCTGAAAGAAAACCCCGAGGACAGGCCAACAGCTTTTCAGGTATGATCCAAGAATTGGCACAAGGCTAAATGTTTGATTTCTTACAATAATGTGATTGATCAAAAAATACATCTAGAATTTGGCTATGTGTTGTGAATCTAAGGAATTTTTAAAATCAAAATTACATTAGCTTTAACACTTGTTTCATCAAACAGTACCCTGAAAATGCAGCAGACCTTTTGCAAGTAAGAACAAAGATGCCTGACTTATAAACTGATGATTTCATAGCTGTGTCTATCATACTCGGTCCCAAAGCACTATTTGAAAAGAAATGGGAATTTCTACCAACGACCTGGTCATCCCTCAGACCAAAAATTAGTCATTAATTTCCAGGGACATTGTTTATGGGACATTATTGTGTGCAAGTTGACTGTGGTATTTGCCTATAACTACAGTCACTACAGAGAAGAGTTTTAAGATGTTTCAATAGTATGCTAGGTCGCTATATCAAAATCGAGGATAATGTTTTTAAGACCTATTTAATACTTGAAATCCTTTTTAGCACCTCTTCAGATTTTTATTTTCTTCTCTCCTAAGATTGTTTAGATTATCCGATGTTTTGTTCCCTCACAATCCCAATGCATCTTTCAGAGTCCAACATCTTAAAACAAGCTTGTAGTCTGATATATGAACTTGACACAACGGTCTGACTGTGAAAAGCAATTCTTTACTAGAAATAAAGTTTTGGTTTGGGAACAGGAAAGCCATCTGTTCGTCTGCTGACATACACCAGCATAAAAAGGGTTTGTATGGAGGAAAGGTAGAGGAATACATTCATAGCTTATGTGAGTTTCATTGGAAACAATTTTTTTAAGGTAGTAATCTATTATCGCATTCTTCTTTTGTAGGTGTATCAGACTCTGAATTCAGCAGAACTACTCTGCTTGAAGAGAAGGATAATTATACCCAGTAACTTGACAGGAGAATGCATGGTGGCGACTAATCCAATTTGCAAACAGCCTGGAGTTTGGATTGGTACCGGAAAAAGATATAAGGCACAACTGTCCTCTTTGGAGTTGAATACTGATAGACAGACTGTTGTGGTATGTGTGGAAGTCAGAATCAAAGATGTCAAATAACATGGTGCTGGACAGGGAAGACTGCAATGATAAACTTCCTCATTGGGGCTAGAAATGCTTGACATAATCCTGCCACTTTATAAATCACTGGTGCGACCCCACTTGGAATACTGTGTGCAGTTCTGGTCACCACAATGTAAAATGGATATTGCAGCGATTGAGAGGATATAGAGGGCAACCAAAATGATTGAGGGGATGGAGGGACTGGACTACAAGGAGTGATTAGATAAACTGTGCATGTTTACATTGGAGAAGGGAAGGTTGAAAGGCGATATGATTACGGCCTCTAAGATTCTGAAGGAAATAGATAACGTAGACCAGGATAAGCTGTTTTATATTGTACTGAACAGTAGAACCACAGGACTTGGACTGCGATTGAAGGGGTAAATTCAGAACAAATCTGCCAAAACACTGCTTCAGTGAGTAGTAAACGTATGGAACAGGCTTCCTCGGGAGACAGTGGAAGCAGAAAATTAGATAGATTTTTGCTAGAAAATAGTATCTCGGGATACAGTTTATAGTTTGGGACACAACATGTCAAGTGACAGCCAGGATGGCGGAAGACGAACTCGATGGACCTTGGTCTTCTTTCGCTTTGCAAATTCTTCTCTATACATTCTGTGATCCTTTTCACTTGTCTCACTCTGTGCTTCACTTCAAGTCCCACTTTTGCTCTCTCCCATCATCTGTGGGTAAGCATTCCACTACTTTGTCCTGCCCTGTGAAACTCTCTTCTCAAACATCCCTGCTTTGCTCACTCTCTGCTTTCAAAACCCATCTAAAGATTCTTTTACTATGACTTTGGACACTTCCTCTTATGTCTCACCAAGCTCGGACTCCGACTTCATCTTTGTAAAGTGCTTTGAGACATTCTCCTGATGTGAAAGAAGTTATCTATATACGTGTAAATTGTTGTCACTGTTGAAGTTAGTTGTACCATGGAATATCCTTTCAATCGTGTCAAGGATAAACACATTTATGTTTTATTTATTGCTTTGTTTCTTTTATCATACACTTGCAGTACTTCCACAAGTGGTTTCAATCTGGCTCAGTTGGTTGCACTCTCACCTCTCAGTAGTGAAGTTTTGGATTCAAGCCCCATGGCAGGACTTGGGGTGTACTTCATTGTTAAATGCCGTCCTTTGGATGAGATATCAAATTGAACTGCTTTCTGTCTGTTCAGATGGACATTAAAGATCCCATGACACTCTTCTGGCTAACAATCTCCCAAATAAAATTGGTCACTCACTTCATTGCTGTTTGTGAGATATTACAGTGCACAAATTAGCTGCCGTGTTCGCCCATAAAATACAGTCACACCACTTTACAGTACATCCTGTGTAGCACTTTGAGGTGTTTCGAAATGATAAGACGCTAAACAAATGCATGGATTATTAATATTATCAGAAACATTTTTACATGGGACACTAGGTGATTCATGGGTGATACTAAGTCCTTTTACATTTGTGACAAATCCAAATACAGTCCAAATTAAGGGTTTGAAATTTTCTATGAATTGCCTCGTTCTGTTAACAAAAGCTATTTTCATTGAAAATTACTACAGAAGGTAGTTTCAAGTTACTTCAATTACTTTAAATGACGTTTATCCTTTCCTAGGATATCGACGACAGTCGCATTTTATGCCTGGAACTAATATCTGTAATTGGTGAGCAAGATAATTGGGTGGTTGCTGGCACACAGTCTGGGCATCTGTGGGTAATCAACACAGAGAATGTCAAATCCATTCATCAGCTTCGGAAAATGTCTGATTCTATTACCTGTTTGTTCTTCACCTATCATTCGAAACATAGGTAAGACCCTACTGTATTTTCACAAGTACTGTATGCAGCATCAAGTGTTTTATCCAGTTAAAATATTTTGTTCATGTCAAGGATATCATCTGTTACTCTGGTTCCTTTTACTGTTAAGAGCTGTGAAAGCTGTTTTCTCCTGTGTAAACTATTGCAAACCAGGTTTTTATTTGTTTCAGCTTTTGCATGGTTCTGAGGCAGCTATTAATAATAATAATAATCATTGCATTTGATATGGTGCCTTATCACATCTTTGAGATGTCTTAAAGCGCTTCACAGAATATACTGTAAAGTGAATTAACTGTATTCTGTGAGCAAAACGTGCACAAATTTGTTTTTTGGAATTGGGTAGGGCAGGGAACAACCAAATTGGAATTAGTTTTCTATTGGTTAGAAAAGGGGAGAATGAATTACCAAATAAATATATGTTGTGTTTGGATTGCTTTCAGCAAAGAAGAAAACTTTCTGTTGGTGGGTACAGCAGATGGAAAACTTGCAGTATTTAAGGATACAACAGTGAAGGTAAACTCGTTTTTTGTTTCACGATCCATTTTAAAACCATTAAACCATTCAGATACAATTTTACAAAGATTGTACAGCACAGAAACAGGCCACTCGGCCCAACCAGTCCGTGCCGGTGTTTATACTCCATTCCTTACTCTCTCCCATACCCTTCTAATCCTCTCTCCCTCATGTGACAGTCTAGTTTCCTCTTAAATGTATCTACACTGAACTTACATTTATATATAGTGCCTTTCACATTGGGAGAACATCCCAAGGTGGGTGACAGCTTGGCACCCAAGATGAAAGTGGGAGCTGTGGGTGGGTGGGAGGGGAATTATGACTGACGGAATGGTTGAAGAGGAAGGTCTTGAGATGAACCTTGATGAGGGAGGGCTGAGTCAGAGGGCTCCAGGGTGAATTTCCAGAGAGTGGGGGTAGATAGACTGAAAGCCTGACTGTGGGATGGGTAGGCCAGGGAACATGAAGCAGGTCAGTGTTGGCTGAGCAAAGGAAGAAGCCAATTGGTTCGGCCAACTTTAAGATTTAAAGTTTTAAACTGATTTGGTGGGTTTCACATAGAGTGAAACCCACCTCTCTTCCTCAATCACTTTCTCTCCCTCCTCTCACCCTCTCTTCCCTTCTCTCTCTCTCCCCCTCTCTCTCTTTCTCAATCAACCACACATTCCTACACAGCTGATTTTTTTTGGTCAGCCGGATATCTGACACCCAGCTGACCAAATCGATGATGGGTTTCTTGCATTCAGTGGACCTCAAAAAATATTTGATAGCTTAAGAGAGAGAGGGTCCTCCCAACCGCCGGCGGGTGCTGCCACCGCCTTGAATGGATGATTCACCGGGGAGAGAGGGAGTGGGTGGCCTGAATATTTTTTCTTCTTGCCGTTCCTTCCTCTCTCAACCCCCCATACCCCGCTTTGCATGATGGAGTTGGGAGGGAGGGGCTGGAGTTTGTTGGGGTGCGTATTTGTGGGGTTCTGTTTCAGGTAGGTGCGAGAAACTAGGGTTTTGTCCCGACAGCCGGCAAGTGCGGAAGTTGGCAGTGGCGTTCTGAGTTGCATGATTGTGCAGATACATGTGCAGATACACGACATGTGCAGATACATTTAAGTGGGTTTAATAGGAAATTCAACAGGACTTGAGCAGATGTATGAGTTGGGTGATTATACAATTTATACAGATCAGACAGTTTTACTGTTTCATTGCAATGAAGTTGAATGGAAAATGAGAATTTGCAGAGTCTTATCATAATGTGCATCGTCGGATTTTATGTTTACAAAAATTCACCTTTCAACTGAGACAACTGTGCTGATGGTTTCTAAAGCAAGCAAACATATGCAGTACTTTGTGGAGACTTTGTTTTTCCATCCTGTAGCTTTTGGCAAATTTGTATACAAAATAGTCACTACATTTTACAGTAAATCCTGTGAAGCATTTTGAGGCATCCTCCTGACGTGGTGAGGCAATAGAGCAAATGCAAGGATTGTTGTTATTATTTTAACATGACGCACCTAACACATGCTACATGTTTGAACCACCTTTGGATTGCCATTGAGCCAGTAATTAGAACATTTAAAGGGACTATGTTGCCTTGAGTGCATATTCTGCTTTAGTCAGTAGTCAAAATATAGTTTGTAGCATTTGAAGGCTTTAAATAATGCTGTAACATGCAGTTCTGTTTTTCTCATAAAAATCTGTCTCTTTAATATAATTTATGTTTAGCTCTGATGCTCTAAGATTTGGAAAAGAATCCTTTTTTTTTAATGTACATAGATATGATTCTGTGAGCAAAGCCACTTCGCCTAGGTAAAATTTGTCATTCACTTCATGGCTGTTTGTGACACATTGTGTGCAGATTGGCTGCTGCTTTCACAAATACATAATTATTACCTACAAATACATAATTAATACACTTTGGACAAATCTGATGAATTGCTTTGAGATGTATCGATGATATAATAAGGTGCTATATGAAATGCAAGATCATTATATCATATTTCTAAACGTTAAATGTCTGGAAACTTCTTGAGACAATTCAGCCACAATTATTGCACTGATGTAACCTGCATTAGTAAATCTTAACAGTCTATGCTCGTATTCTATTTCAACAGTATCAAGATGGTGCACCACTGAAAGTTATAGACATTGGTGACGTGAGCACTCCTTTGGTGTGTCTGAACATATCCCAGAATTCAGGACAGAGTGTCATTTGGGCAGGTTGTGGAACAAAAATCATATCATTTACCAACGATTTTACAGTTCAGAAAATGATTGATACAAAAACAAATGTTCTGTAAGTTACTATTCAATTTAAATTGCACTTATTTGATTTTGAATGCGGAACATTGTAAAACTATGATTTATTGATCCCTTTTTAAAATAGACATAAAGATTTATTTTCAGAGAAATAAAGTTTCCTTTTTATTAATGAATGTTGGTGTAAATGTATACATGTATGCATGGAATTCATTAAAAGGTGATGCTTCCCATCAAAAGGTGGTTATTGGGGTCAAATAATGTCTAACCTTTCCAGATCAGTTAAGTATGAATTTCTCCAATTTGTGGCATTGGTTGGATTGCAGTTATATTCCAGGTTTAGCAAAGCCATAGTCCCACTAACTGTCAATCAGAAGCTGGAAGATGAATGCATGATCCGGCTGCAGGATTTTGGCATTGAGAAGTGAGTTGGGACTCCGCTCACTTCCCTTCCCTGTCTGCCCCCTCACATGAAGATGGTTCATATTCAAGTTGTAAGTGAAGTGAAGTGAAGGTAGCATCTTTGGAACCACCAGATTCTTTCTGTTACTGGTCAATTGAAAAGAAAAAAAAGGAAATATTTTTATACAGAAGCACCAACTTTTGATGAATATCATTGACATATGGCACTGATATTGTCAATGCACAAGTTTATAATACCACCTTTGAGGAGTGTTGCACGAATACTTGCCTCTGCCAGGGAATTGGCAGCTATTTTCTATGTCTCACTGAGAGAAGGGATAAGTATCTGGAAATAAACAAATCTTGAGTCACCAAAACCAAATCAAGGAAGATGGTTAAAGTATACTGGAGGAGATAGTTTATTATTTCACTTTGCTTTTTTTGCAGTTGGCAGCAAAAGTATCACAGTGATGGAAATATTATCACAATGGCGATTGACAAATATATTTATTTGGCAAAAAAGAACAGTCATGTTGTTGAACTATGGGACAAAAAAACTGATCGCCTCAATGTGTCAATTGACTGTGCTTCACTTCTTAAGTAAGTGATTAACTTTTATTTGTCTGGAGTATTTGAGACCACTACATGGATTTAAAGATATACGTCTCATCTAAAAGATGACACTTCTAACAATGCAGCAATTCACGTGAGGGAAGGGGATGACCAACCACAGTGAAACACTTTTGAGTCATAATAACCAAGCCATGTGAGACAGAGACACACGTACACTCACAGACAGAGAGGACACACAAACAAAGACACACTCAGACACAGAGAGACACACACATACAGACAGAGAAAGATAAACTCACAGACACAAACACACGTAGAGAGGAGAGATACGGACACACTCACACAGAAACATACACACACTGAATTTCAGTGTTTTTTCTTGATTTTAGATTAGATTAAAAAAAATAGATTTTTTTTGTTTCATCAAAACCAATAACTTTCTCTGAAACAAGAACAACAAATTACACTTGTACAGGGCCCTTCACATCAGAAAGACAGCCCACGGCACTGGACAATCAGGGGTTTTGTACCCGAGCTGGGAGTTGTGGTCAGAAGGGGAGGAGAGCAGTGGGAGGGTGGGGGGAGGATGGCCAAAGGCGTAGTCGAAGAGGAAGGTCTTTAGGCGGGACTTGAAGGAGGCAAGAGAGGGGATGATTTGGAGGGATTGTGGAGTAGAGTTCCAGGGTGTTGGGGCAGAGATGCTGAATGCCCAACCATCAATGGTGGGGTGGGAAATGCAGAGGACCTGAAGCAGGCCAATGTCCGCCGAGCGGAGGGTGCAGACAGGCTGATATGGGGTTATACGTTTAGAGAGGTAGGGGGGAGCAAACCCATGGAGGGCCTTGAAGGTAAAAATGAGTGTCTCTCTGTGTCTGTACTCTACGTAATTCTCATATTTAGAATCATCTTAAGTGAATATCTGCTGTACTCTCAAAATGGTTGTGATGTTATTTATAATGGATTCTCATCAACTGGACATTGATAATTATGACCAATAATGTATTATTATTATCTGGAACTGTATCCCTTCTCCTTGCTCCTTCTCGCAATGTCCGTCTTGAAGACCTTCCTCTTCGATTGCACCTTCAGTCATCTTCCTCCTCCCCCAGCAGTCTTGGCCCTCATCCCTCCTGAATTCACCCCCTAGCTCAGATGCAAACTCCCAAATGTCCATCGCCTTTGGATGTCCTCATGTCCTCCAACATGAAATGCAATTGCTGTTTGTTATTGTATATATCTAATTCTCTTTTAAAGTAATTTGTGAGCTCTTTATAAACAGTAGTTTGTGAGAGCGATTACAAACTTCAGCTATGTTAAAGTTGTTTTTCTAACCTCTAATTTTCTTAATAATTATCTTACATTTGTGTTCTGTGTTACTGATTTAATGCAGGTGTTACATTGGGCAAAAGAAACATTTAATGATGTTTTATCATCTTTATTTTCAGAAATGATAAGAACCTGAACACTTATTCTGCCAGAGTACAAACACAGAGAGAGACAATCACAGACACAGAGAGACAAACTGACAGATACAAACACACATGTACAGAGTAGCGGGAGATATAGACTCACTCACACATACAGAGACACAGACACACAGTGTAGAGCGTGACACCTAGACTATCCCAACAGCGGGGCCTCCAGGGTGAGCAAAGCCCATTTCCCACTTGTGCCACACTGTGCTGCTCTGCCCACATTAGCGTTGAGCAAACAGCTGGCAACAACGCATAGAGGCCTGAGGCCTGAGCATCCTGCGTTTTTACAACAATAACAACTTGCACTTATATAGTGCCCGTCACATCGGCTGTTGCAGGTTTTACCATGGTTACCTAATGAGTGATTAAACTATTGCAATGAAAGGAGCAAAGTTTAATCAGTGTGTATCACAAATTAAATCAGTCACATGACTCAGTATCTGCTTTGCCCGCCTGTGGCTTCATGTTACAGAATAGTTTCCTGGAACGTGATATATCTTCTTGTAATGATCTCAAGTCTCTGACCTCCAGGTTGCATTACTCTAATCCGTAATTCTCAGCAAATGGCATTATTGGCAAAGAACTGGGATTAGGTTGCCCATGGAAAAATGTATGATCCAGGTGAAAGTAAGGGGGGGAAGATTATTTGAATAGCAGAGAGTGAAAGACTAAACTCCGTGGGGAAGCAGATGAAAATCCGACTGAAGCTCCCTGTGTGGCAACAGAATTCAGTCATCAGTGTGTATCCTTTTGAGTAATCTTATCAGCAAATATCAAGACTATTTAATTAATGTTTCTACCTGAAAGTAAATTTAAAGCAGAGAAAAACAAAATAATTAAAGCTTGAGGCAGCTTTCATAATGAAATATTTTTTTATTTCTATCATACCACAACCAGTATTTAACAAAAAAAACTGGGGGTGAAATGAAAAGGTCAGTTAAACTTTCTGAGCACTGCCATTGAGAACATTTAAGGTTTCACACTGAATTTCAGTGCTTTTCATGATTTTTCTCAGTGTCTTGGTATTAAGGAATAAGAACCTAAAACAAATTAGGACAACCATTGCAAATTAGGACAACTATTGAATTGTTTGTTTAGTAAGAGGGTAACTCTCAATTCCTAGCCTATGCCTAAAAGTAGTAACAAATGCCAGACGATTCTGTGTTTTATACTCATGCAGGAACTTTGTTTCCCCCAAAACCATGCTTAACATCTGTGAATAAATCAGGTTCTCTTTTTACATCAGAAAGGAATAGAATTCAAACCTTTTCTTGTCTTGAACAAACGTATTGAATTGTTAACTTTACATCCTTTTGGTGATCTATAACCAGATATAAACGGAGTGCTCCACATCACCCTCTTAACGTGCTCTGTGGTGATCAACATTTACTGTATTTGTTTTCATTGTCATATAAAATGTTTGCTTATTGGATAACCTCCACTGAGACCATTATTATTTAGTAGTTTCTGTCCAATGAAATCGGGTCCTGCTTTATACTGGGATTGTTTATAAAAATAGCCATGGGTCAGAACTTCTGCTTGTGGGTCACTACTTAGGTCATGTCCTGTCCATGCATCCAGGAAGATGGTTATCTTCTCTCTCTTGGCAGTATTTTCAGTGGTTGCTGGGACACACTGCGTGCCTTCTGTACCTTTGCACTGTGCACAGGAAGCTGGCCAGACGGCACTGGAACTTCTGCCTCACTTTTGCTGTATGACCATGTTATAAATGAACCTGTGCTATACTGGCCCCTTTGTAACAAAGTCTGGTTGGATTTACTTTTAATTCTCATTGGCATTGTATGGTAAGAAGAATCATCTTTTTGATGCATAAAATAAACTTGGAGCGTTCCTGTGTTATTTTCCATTTATTCTTGTGCCCAGTTATCACTAAGCACAACATGCTGTCATCTCTTTTTTGTTTCTCAAGATTTTGTGAAGTTTTCTGAATTTTCTCTTTTGGGCAGGGTAGAGGGCTAAAATGACCCGTATGCTTTTTTTCCCCCCACAAATAAATACAGCATATTATTTATCTAACTTTTTTTGTTTCACCAAAAACAATAACTTTTTCTGCATAACTCTTGACGTCTCATATCTAGAATGATATTTGATGAATCCCTGCTTTATCCCCAAAATGGTTGTGATGTTATTTATAATGGATTTCATCAACTGGACAATGATAATTATGACCAATATTATATTTTTCAAATATAGGCTTTCAGCCCATTTGCTTCCACTCTCTGGAACTGTATTCCGGAGTCCCTTCGCCTCAATGTCCATCTTGAAAACCTTCCTCTTTGACTGCACCTTCAGTCATCTTCCTCTTCCCCCAGCAACCTTAACCCTCACCCCTCCTGGATCCACCCCTTAGCTCAGATGCAAACCCCCAATGAGACTCTAATGTCCATCGCCTTTGGATGTCCTCATGTCCTCCAACATGAAATGCAATTGCTGTTTGATGTTGTGTATATCTAATTCTCTTTTAAAGTAATCTGAGCTCTTTATAAAAAAGTTTGTGAGAGTGATTGCAAACTTCAGGTATGTTAAAGTTGTTTTTCTAACCTCTAATTTTCTTAATAATTAGCTTACATTTGTGTTCTGTGTTACTGATTTAATGCAGGTCATACAATGTGTAAAAGAAACACTTAATGATGTTTTATCATCTTTATTTTTAGAAATGACAAGAACCTGGACACTTATTCTGCAAGAGTAAAAGCACTTTACCTTCAAAAGAATACTGCTCTTTGGATTGGGACAGGAGGGGGGCATATCATATTGTTAGACCTTTCGACTCAGCAACCAATTCGAGTGATTCCTAAACTATGTGACTCTATCAGGTGTATGGTAGCTGCGCAAATTGGTAAGAATTTGAGAGTGAGGAACATGGCAGATATGTAGGAAATTATTTGGAGATTTTTTGGGTCAGCCGGTTATGTGATGTATTGAGAAACCCGAAATGGTTTTGTTAAGTTTCATTACCTAGTTAACCGTGGTGAAATACTTTCAATCACATGTGGCGGATACATGAGCTGGTAATTATAAAACTTTAAAATGTAATCATTTTAACCAGAACATGTTGTGAGTTAAGTTGATTCTAAGATGAAAGAACACTGCTATAAATACTGAAAGGTTATTTATGACTACTGAGACTCTACTGCTATGTTTTTAAGATTTATTTTCCTAGGATGTTCCTGAACTTAGGCAAAGAATTGTAAAGGTCTTTTCCAGACTTCCAAAGTTTTTATGCTGAATTTGGGTGTTCTTGCTGCCTTTCTCCTTTTTTGTGGATAACTACATTGTCAGTTCTACGCTCTGATAATCTCCTTATTACAAACTTTGCATTCAATATTGTCCCTTATCACGTCCTCAAGATGTCTCAAAGTGCTTCATAGAATATACTGCAAAATGAATTGACTGTATATTTTGTGGACGAAAACCCGGCAGCCAATTGCGCACAGCAGTGTCCCACAAATAGTAGTGCAGTATTGCACTATGATTACTGGCATCCATATCCTTGTCTGACCTGAATTACCAGATCTCAGCTGCATCAACAGTTGAAACATAACAATTGACCTTTTTAAATGCTAAAGGTAATAACTGGAACAAGTTGTTACCTCTGAAGTGCTTTGAGATGTCCTCCCGATGTGAATGACGCTATATCTACTGCAAAGATTATTGAATGAAATAGTCCACTTTTTTTTAACAGATTTTTTAGAAACTGTTTCCATTTATTCCATAAACTTTATAAAAGGAAGTAGAACAGAAAGCATAGGGCATAGGTCTGCCCAGCGGTCTGCACACTACCAAAAGAGTACAATTAATCCAAGATCTTCAGCATGGTTATAAACTGATGTTGCAAAGTAATGACATTCTTTGTGCATTTTTGTTCATGAGTTCATCTCTGAATAGACATATTTCATTGATTTATTCTAATTATTTATTTGTAGAAAAGGGAAATCCATATACAGTAATGCTAATCCTGGGAAATATTTGTAAGGATTGTCACGAAAGCAACAAATGGCAAAGTGGTAAGATATTTTTAAAAATACTTTATAAGGAAAATTGGAGAGAACTCATGAACTGATAATGAATTGATCAATTAATATAATTACTTATTGACTTCTTGACATAATTGTATTATAAAGTTAATATATTCCATAGTTATCTTGAATAAGTTTATTATTAAGTATTAAAAAANGACAAATATTTAAAATATTGCACTGAACCCATGATATTTATTTGTGGATAAAACTGATTAGGACATTAGCAATAAACTAATACTGTCTAAAAATACTATATTTATTACTTGATCTTTAACAACTTGCATATTTCAGAATTACAGGCACACCTGTTTGTTTGGGATATAAATCTTCCTTACGATATTCAAAATTTGAAGAAGCACACTGACATGAGAAGAGAAATTACTGAAAAAATGCGAACTGGTTTGTTGGAATAATGGTATGTTTGGCAATATTTGATGAAGCTGTCTTGACTTATTGTGTGTTTGTTTAGGTATGGTGATAATCTACAATGTTAAATGCAAAATTGGTAAACGGAGAATGTTTTCTGCTTTTCAATATGACATATACTGTTCAGTAGCACCAATTTTATTGTATGTATTTTTTGGGACTCAGCCAGGTGTCAGACCCATTACCATGGTTAAGAATATCGAAACCAAACTGGGAATTCCATGCATCCCACCTACATATGCATATTCCAGAGAGATTGTTGGAATATAATGCACACTTTCTCCATAGATTACCTAAATCTGGCTAGTATTAGGCACAGGTTGGCAAGAGCCAAGGCTTGGGGACCCCAGAGTGTGCATTGGGGTACTGCTGGAGTTTAACCAGCTAAAACCGTTTAGCTTTCCATTAATATCACTAGCAAGCTTTCCACTGCTTGTCCAGCTAGTATCGCCTTCCCTGTTATGGGTTTGACTTGCAGGTTTAACAGAAGCTAAGCAGGATGATTCCCTGCCCACTGCGGTTTTAACTGGTTAGAATCCAGCAGTACCCCAATGCACACTCCGGGGTCCACAAGCCTCAGCTCTTGCCAACCTGCACATAATACTTCCTGGCATTAGGTAAGCAGGATGTGTTCCTCCAGGGAGAGAGTGCGGTTCCATTCCAACGATCTATCTCTGGAATTTCCATGTGTAGGTGGGATGTATGGAAACCTCAATGAATGGTTGTTGTTGTTCTGCCGATGAACCAGGCTGGCGGTGCTGTGCGTTGCCGTGGAATACTGAGGCTGCGTCTGTTTCAGGAACTGGACTACCGAGACCATCACAGAGGACTGGCTTGATTCCGACATTCTGCTACCAAACATGTCACCTTGGATCCAGTTCAGTTCCAAGGAGACGCCGCTTACCTCCCCCTCTCGGAGGATAAATATATTTGGATATTAGATTTAATTTTCAGTGTAGGCTATTATACACATGACGCCCCAGTTTCCACTTAGTGTTAATTTATAAGACCAGTTAGTCTTAAAATTAGAGAATTGTGAAAAATTCTTAAAGTTGGTCTTCATCTGAAAATTATAAGATAACTGGCTGACCAAAAAAAACCAGCTGGGTTGAAATTCTGATTGATGTTACATGTAGAGGCTTTGATGGTGGCATATCCCCATATATCTGGCATTTACACATAATGACGAGTGAAATTTCAGTCCAATAATTTGAAACAGCAGGTGCCAAGACAAGGATTGTTAAAGCTTTAGAGCATCCTTCCAATGTGAAAAGCTTTATTGTATTGTTCTGTAAAGGAGATGTTCAAGTGCTATATTCGTGAATATATTTACCTGCATGAGAATGAATTTGAAATATTTCTCATGAAGCTTTTTTTAATAAATTGAAGGAAAAATCTTAATTGTTTTAATGATCTGAACTAACTTGTTCTTTTTATTTTTATGTTTCCTTTTACAGATGTTCATAATGTGTCTTGAGAACAATCTTTTATAAAATTTGCATTTTATAGTCTTTTTTGGATTTTGGAGATCAAAGTGATACATGAGCAGAATATTTAGATACTCGTATTATATTTACCACTATTATGTACAAGTTTTTTTTAATCAAAACAATATAATATCCTCTTGAAGTCTGATGTTAAATAATGCACATGTGTTATTATTTCATGCAAAATCACTTTTATGGTGATGAAGTGTAAAGTTGAAATATACTAATTATTGAACTATAACTAGCAAATTTTAACTTGCATATCCACATTATTAACTAAGAACATAAGAATTGCTAGATGAAAGAAAACCAAGGTCCATTATCACCCTTTGTGGCAGTCGCTTGCACATGTCATGCCCCAAACTATATACTGCATTGTACAATGCAATACAAAGTTACATTTGTAAAGCGCCTTTCATGTCGCCAGGCGCTGAAAATGTACTGAAACAGTACGTGAACAGTATATATATATAATTAATGTTTCTGAAATGGAAGGTTGCTCCTGCAGTTATTTGGAATATTTTTCTCTTGTGATGGAGTTGAAGTCAGTGATCTGCAGTCAAGTTCACACTGTAGTTCATTCTTTAGCTCTGCCTTCTTGGCAGCATCAGTTCGAAACATTGAAGCAGACTGTTGGAAGTCAACAGTGACCAAACAAACATAATGTTAAGAAAATTATTCTACACCATTTTGCTCAATCAATAACAAGAGGAATGCTGAGGGTATGTTCAGAGGAGCCTTTTATTATCTTCTGCCTATTATTTATGAGGGAACTTTGATTCTTGTATCCATATTGTTTTAATTGGAACAGGGTTAATATAGGACTATTGAACCTGTTGAGAGCTTACAAGCTAGAAATGTATTCAGAAATAATTTTGATCTAAAGTGCTGTATTGTTTGGGAATAGAGATCATTCATGCAAATCTGTTTTGTGTTTATACTATTAGTAGTATAATGAAGTGCAGCAAGAAGCCAGGTTTATTCTACCTGCTCCACATTACTTTCATTTGGTATTTACAATACAACACAAAATGACATTTGTATAGCGCCCTTCATGTTGGGAGGACATCCCGGGGCACTGGATAATCAGGGATTTGGACCTGAGCAAGGGTGTTAGAGTCAGAGAGAGTAGTGGGGGGGGGGGGGGGGGGGGGGTGGGGTGCACGGTCAAAGAGGAAGGTCTTGAGACGTGCTTTGAAAGAGGCAAGGGAGGGAGTGAGGTGAAGGGAATGTGGGATAAAGTTCCAAAGGATGGTGACAGAGAGGCTGAAGGCCCAACCACTAATGGTGAGATGGGCCAGGTGGGGGACATGGAGCAAGCCGGAGGGAGCAGATTGGATGATATGGGGTTAGCAGATCACAGGGTAGGAAGGAGCAAGGCCATGGAGGGCCTTGAAGGTGAGGACGAGGATTTTGAACTTTATCCTCTGGGGGATAGAGAATTAGTGGAGTGGAGTGAAGGTGGGGGTGATAGGGTCACAGAGCCTGGTGTGGGAGAAAGCATGGGCTGCAGAGTTCTGGATGATCTGCAGCTTGTGGAGGGAAGAGTTGGGAAGGTCGTCAAGCAGGGAGTTGGCGTAGTCGAGCATAGGTATAATGAATTCATGGATGAGGGTTTAGCTGATATTGAAGGGACAGTTTGAGAATGGGAGCTTGAAATGAACCTAAAGGAAGCAAGTTCATTGGGATTTCCACCTGCATTATTTACATTGCACAGTGATAACAGAAGTGAGGCTCCAGTGTGACTCACGCTGCTGGAGTCTATAGCTTCTCCACATTTGGTGACAAGTCACATACTTGCAGAGTTCTGGAAAATTGAGATCAAGCTGACTACTGACCAATGACTGAAGGGCCATCTTCAAAAAAAAAAGAGCAGTAAGCTGTGTTTCTGCTCTGGCTGAAATGTGTTTGAAAGAATGGACATATGGGAACTAAAGAGCATGTCATGCACAATTGTAGATCTTACCCAAGTGAGTATTTTGTGTGTGTGAGCCTGGACAGGTCTTTGGTGTAACAGGTATTTGGACAGGATTCAGAAGCAACAATCGAATTTTACAAGATCGGTTTGGATGAAGAACCCATCAGATATCATTCCTCTAGAGCACCAACTCTGCCATCCCCTCATCATTGCATCAGGCTGCTTTTTAAATGAGTCTCATCTCCTGGCCTCCACCACCATTCCTGACAACATGTTCCAGTTATTACCTTTTGCATTTAAAAAGGTCAATTGTTATGGTTCAACTGTTGATGCAGCTGAGATCTGGTAATTCAGGTCAGACAAGGATATGGATGCCAGTAATCATAGTGCAATACTGCAATGAGGGTGGTTTTTCTCATGATGTTTTCATCTTTAATTGTAAAACACCCTGCATGGGAAACTGGGTGATTCAGTGAGGCTCTTTTATTTGGAACCTGGTTTCAAACCCAGACTAGTGTATTGGATTGAAGTTATCTTTTCTCCCTGCCAGCTCCAAGTAAAATTGATCCATGTCTAATGGCCATTTGGAGCTAATTTGGTCTGTAAAGCGCCACAAAATTTGGCACTGAAAATGGAATACTATAGTACCTTCCTGGCATATTAATGCTGCTTGAGTGGTCTTTGTGAATTATTCAGTTAATCATTTTTATATGTTAAAATAGAGCACTTTTGCTGTGTTTTCAGTTTGATGTTTTACTGAGGAATAAAGCAGTCCACAGCACTGACTTATTTTCTATAAATATATTTAAAAATTTTAAAATATTTGCAACATAACATGACATGTTGGAGCAGGAGCCATTTGGCCCTTCGAGCCTGCCCCGCCATTCAATCATGGCTGATCTTCTAATTTAACTCCAGCTAATAACCTGACCCTGCCTTATCCCCATATCCCTTAATCCCTTTTGCAATAAGAAATCTATCTATCTCAGTCTTGAATATGTTCAAGGACTGAGCGTCAACAGCCCTTTGGGGTTGTGAGTTCCATATATTCACCACCCTTTGAGTGAAGACGTTCTTCCTCAACTCAGTGCAAAAGGGCTGGCCTCTGATTTTTAGGTTGTGACCCCTAGTTTTAGTTTCTCCAACTAGGGGAAAGAATCTCCCACTATCTATCATGCCCTTCGCTGATCTTATAGGTTTCTATAAGTTCCCCTCTAATTCTTCTATATTCTAGAGAATATAGGCCCAAAATGGTCGGCCTATTCCTCGTAACTCATCCCATTTATTCCTGGTATACTAACCTAATAAATCTACGCTGCACCCCCTCCAAGGCAAGTACATCCTTAAATAAGGAGACCAAAACTGCACACAGTATTCCAGGTGTGGTCTCACCAGGGCCCTATACAGTTGCAGCAAACCTTCCCTACTCTTATACTCTAATCCTTTCATAATGAATGATAACATACCATTCGCCTTCCTAATTGCTGCTGCACCTGCAGACTAACTTTCTGTGATTGGTGTACAAGGACACCCAAGTCCCTCTGGACGCTAACACATTCCAATCTCTCGCCTTCTAAAAAATAACCCACTCCACTGTTTTTGCGACCTAGGTGGATGACTTTGCACTTCCCTACATTATACTTCATCTGCCACTTACCTGCCCAATCACCTAACCTATCTATGTCTCGCTGCATTTTTTTAATGTCATCCTCTGTGTTGACACTTCCTCCTAGTTTTGTGTCATCCGTGAATTTAGATATATTAACTTCGATGTCCTCATCTAGATCGTTGATGTAGATGGTAAATAGCTGAGGTCCAAGGACTGATCCTTGTGGCACTCCACTAGTCACATCCTGCCAATCTGAAAAGGACCCGTTTATCCCTACTTTTTGTTTCCTACCCATTAACCATTCCCTAATCCACGTTAATATGCTCCCCTAATTCCATGGGCCCTTATCTTTTGGACTAACCTTTTCTGCGGCACGTTATCGAATGCCTTCTGGAAGACCAAATAGACCACATCCACTGATTCACTAGTTTACTCGAAATATCAACTTTTTATTTACAATAAATCAAAATGAATAAATAGATACTGGATTAATTGAGAAATAATTTGGTTTTAACTCCATCCAGTATTCTGAGGTTAGATATTTTCAGCTTTGAAAAGAGTTACATTTGATATAGCGCCTTATTATGTCATTGAGATGACTCAAACTGTTTCACAGGATATACTGTAAAGTGGAGTGACTGTATATTTTGTGGGCGAAACGCGGCAGCCAATTGTACCCTGCAATGTGCCACAAAGAGCCATGGAGTGAGTGACCAATTTTATTTGGGGGATTGTCAGCCAGGACACTGGGAGAAACTCCCTTTTCTTTTCAAATAGTTCCATGGGATGTTTAACATCCACCTGTACAGGCAGATGAGACGTCTCATCCGAAGGACGGCACTGCTGACAATGCACCTCCGACAGCATTGGAGTGTCAGCTTAGATTATGTGATTCCAATTTCTGACATGGGGCTTGAACCCACAACTTTCTGAGTCAGAGGCGAGAGTTCTACCACCGTGCCAGACTGACACACGTTTCTGGTTATCTTAGATTTGGTTTATCACACATGAAGGAAACGACAACAAAATTACATTTGTATAGCGCCTTTCTTGTTGGGAGGACGTTACCAGAGTTACGGACCCAAGCTGGAGGTTGTGGAGGGTGGAGGGAAGGGGGGGAAGCAGGGAGATCAAAAGCACAGTTGACGAGGAGAGCCTTGAGATGGGTCTTGAAGGTGGCAAGGGAGGGGGCAAGGCGGAGGGACTGCGGGATGGAGTTCCAAAGGGTGGGGGCAGAATGGGGCGAGCGAGACAGGCGATGTGAAACAGGCTAGAGCCCACTGAATGGAGGGTGTGAGTAGGATGGTAGGGGGTTAGGAGGTCACAGAGATAGGGGGGAGCAAGACCGTGGAGGGCTTTGAAGGTGAGTACCAGTCATCTTGAACTGTATCCTCTGTGTGATGGGAAGCCAGTGGAGTCAGGCGAGGATGGGGGTGATAGGGTCGCGGAGCCTAGTGCGGGAGAGGACACGGGCTGCAGAGTTCTGGATGATCTGCAGCCTGTGGAGGGAAGAGTTGGGAAGCCGACAAACAGTGAATTTGCATAGTTGAGCCTCAATGTAATGAAGGAATGTATGAAGGTTTCGTTGTCCTGCGGTATGAGACGGTGTTGGAGCCGAGCGACGTTGCGGAGTTGGGGAAAGGCAGAGCTGGTCATGGTGCAGAGGTGGGGTAGAAAGGATAGTTGAGGTTCAGACAAGACCCCAAGGTTCTGGACTGGCTTAGCAAGGTGGAGTGTGCAACCTTGGATGGTGATGCTGTCAGCGCCTGAGGTGAGGAGGCACTGATGGGAGCCAATCAGGAGAGCCTCAGGACTTGTTGACATTCAACTGAAGAAAGTTAGCTCTCATCCAGGACTTGATGTCAATAGACATTCTTTCAGCGCAGCAATGGTCCTGGGGTCAAGGGTGGAGGCAGAGAGATAGAGTTGGGTGTCATCCACATACGTGTCGAAGTTGACCCCATTGTCTGCGGATGATGTCACCAAGAGGGAGCATATAGATATTGAAGAGGAGGGGACCAAGGACAGTGCCCTGAGGAACACCGCAAGAGACGGTGCGGGGGCTAGAGGAGAAGCCATTTGTGGAGATGAAGTGGAGGTGGTGTGAGAGGTATGATCTGAACCAGTCAAGGACAGAGTTGTGAAGGTTGAGATGAGAGGAGAGGAGCTGGATGAGGATGGAGTGGTCGACGCTGTCGAAAGCAGCAGAGTGGAGGATGAAGAGGCAGAGGGAGCCCTGGTTGCAGATGGACAGGATGTCATTTGTCACCTTGACCAGTGCTGTGGGTGGCACGGAAACCCGATTGGAGAGGTTTGAGAAGGGAATGGCAGGAGAGGAAGAAGCGAAGCTGAGAAGCAACAACTCGTTTCTGGACCTTGGAGAGGAAAGGGAGGCTGGAGATGGGGCAGTAGTTTGGGAGTAGAGAACGGTCTAGGGAGGATTTTTCAAGGACAGGAGTGATGACGGCATTTTTTAACGGGGTGGGAATAGTACCAAAGGACAGGGAGAGATTTATGGTCAGTGAGTAGA